GGTTATTATAGTTTAGCTTAAGGATTTCTACGCGCAGTGTGGCTAATTCTAGTATAAATATATAACCTTTAAAGTATAGTAGCTAGTCTTTAAGTATCTATCCTATTATAGGATGTCCTATAGTTAGTTCCTTAAGCTACTATAACTATTCCTATGCCTTTAGGTTATATTCCTGCGCTATTTAAAGTAATTCTATTATACTTGTACTAAGTTTACTAGTATAGTGGCTATAATCTAGCTTATCTATGACTACTTTTTATAGGATGGCGTAGATTTCTATATAAGACTCTATCTTTCTAGGTACTTTATTATTTAGTTACTCTTATAATTTATAGAGAACTATACTAGTAACTATATCTCCTTCCTCTCCTTTAAGGTAATCTACACGTCTACTTAGTGCATCTATGGGATTCTATTTCCTAGGATAGTGTTTAATATAGAAATTAAACTTAGCTAGCTTCTTAGCCTAGCGTACTTAGCATTTTATAAGGCTTTTTATAGTTATAAACTATTTTAGGTTCACGTGATCTAATAATATAGTAATTAGCTACGGGTTTCCTTTAAGAAAGTATTACTAAGTGTGGAAATATTTAATAATAGTAAGGAGTTCTATATTATGTATCTTATAATCTTATTCTACCTTATTAAGCTTGCGTGACTAGTATATAATTAGGTACTAATCCTTATTATTAAATAGTTAGGATATGATTCCTATAATTACGTATCCCAAGGTGTTGGTCTAAAGCTAGGTTAGAAGTGCTAGGTTAAAGTACTATAGTAGTAGCTCCTATATAAACGCCTACTATAGCCTATGGAATACTTAGAGGGTTTCTCCCTTAAGTAGGAACTTTATAACTATATCCTTTTTAGTCATGTTACTTAATAGTACTATAATTACGCTATAGTTCTTAATAAAGCGCCTATAGAAGTTTATAAACCCTAGGAATGCCATGATCTCCTTTATACTATAAGGAGCTAGCTATTTTATAATTATTTTAATATGCTTAGGCTCCATATGGATCCCTTTAGTAGAGATAATAAACCTAAGGAACTTAATTTCCTTTATATTAAATATATATTTACTAACCTTAGTATATAGCTTATACATCTATAGTTACTCTAAGACTATCTATACATGCTCCCTGTAGTCCTTCTTATTTTACAAGAAGATAATAATATTATTAAGGTATGCTATATAGATGACATCCTTAAGGTCTATAAGTATATAGTTAACATAGCTCTAGAACGTTACTAGTATATTAGTAAGTCTAAAAGGCATTACTTGGTACTTAAAGTAGCTATAGTGCGTCTTAAACATAGTCTTCTATTTATTACTACTCTTAATATAGAGGTAGTGATACGCGTCCTATAGATCTAGCTATGTATAGATCTTTGCACTACTTAAGTAATTAATAGCTTGCTCTATATTTATAATTAGGTATATATTCTTAATTATAATAGCATTTAGCCTATAGTAGTCTACGTAGAGGTAGTAACCACTATCTTTCTTTAGTATAAATAGTACTAGTGCCCCTATAGGGCTTTTAGAAGGTCTAATCTAGCCTTTCTTAAGTGCTTTTTATATATATTCTTTAAGCACCTCTATCTCCTTAATTAAAAGGGAATATAGTAGTTACTATAGAGGTCTCTTACCCACTTCTAGCTTAATAGCGTGGTTATGATTATAGTGTAGTACTAGGATTCTAGCCTATACTTCTAAAAATATATCCTTAAAGTCTTTATAGTCCTTTAGGAGTTTAATCTCTTCCACCTATACTCTATTAAGTATTAGTACGGCACTACTACCCTTTTAGTATATAGTGGCTGCGTAGATCCTACTTAGGAACTCACGGGATACTAGGTCCTCTATAGCCTATATTTCTACATCTATTAGTATATCTTTAAATGCGCGCGTAGTTATCATGATATCTAGATTATATAACTTTAGCTTGTAGTACTTCTATGTCTACTTGCGCTAATTTACCTTAGGGTTAACTTTATAGAGCTAGGTCTAACCTAGAATTATATCATAGCCTTCTAGGTCTATAGCTTTAAAGGCTTGTAGCTACATACGCACTTTATACTTCTTATCTCTAGCTTATATTTTAAGCTAATAATTCCCATAGGATATAACTTTATAGCTATTAATTACTTTAACTTATCTAGGGAATCCTGCGCTTTGTAGTCTATACTTCTTAACCTAGTATTAGTCCATGAAATTAGCTATTACGCTACTATCTATTAGAATACGCGTAGTTTATAGCTCTCTCCCCGCGCCAAGCTTTACCTTAAAGGTAATAGTATTAGGCTTCTCTCTTTTTATAGGGATCCCTAGCGCCTCTACCACGTAAAGTACTAGGTTTATAGGTTTTTTAGCCTACCTTATATAGGGCCTCTATAGTCTTTCCCACCTAGCTTCCTATATGTGGTAATCTTATAGCCTAGTATACTATAGTTAAAGCACTTTCTTTTATTATAATTAGCTTAGTCTAGGTGATCTATAGATATATCCTACTTATAACCCCCATAGCCTTAGTCACTACCTTAGCCTCTATAACCTCTATAGTTCCCCTATGAGGTAGAGTAGCCTCCTAACTAGCTAACATGCGCTCCCCTTAGCTTCTCTGCGCTAGGTTTCTAGGTGTTCTTCTCTTAGTTATAGTTCTTTACATACCTAAGGTCCTCTTACCTTAATAGTATCTTTTATTTAACCACCTATAGATAGGTGACATAGCTCTCGTAGCTATTATCTATAGTATCTAGTTATAGGTACCTTGCTACTTTATTCTATACTATAGGAAGGATCTTACCTAGTAAGTTATCCTTTTAATCCTATAGAGATTCCCCTGGTTTAAAGATGTCTATAAGAGTCTTAAGATATTATATAAATATCTACATGTCTTGCGTCTTAAGTTGTCTTGCGTTAGTATAGTAGATAACTACGTCCTCCTAGAGGATCCTAGGGTTACTAATCATGCGTATTAGCACGTCTTTAAACCTCTCCTATATAACTAGTCGCGGGATTATAGGTTTCATGTTATACTAGTCTTAGATCCTCTTATTACTAATTATAGAGAGTCCTTACCACACCTTTACGTCTTCCTTTATAAAGTAGGAGGGCTATATCTTAAAGTACACCTCTATTATAGTAGACTATTCCTAGTATTCCTTCACGCTATGGTCCTTAAAAGGAGTCATGTTAGGCTTCTTCCTAGGTAATACCTCTTCTTCTCTTTCCTTCTTTAGGGCTACGAGCTCTACCTAGAAGGCTTAGACTAGTTACTTAATTATCTATAGTAATATAGCTACAGTTGTAGGTTAAATTAGGAGGGAAGGATATTTATATATATTCCTAACTTCTTCCTAGATTATTTTAAGAAACGCGTTAACTTCTTAGTCTACCTAGTTTAATTAGGCTACTTTTAACTATACTAGTTTCTTCTTTAGGTAGAGTTTCCTATAGGCTCTAATATTATCTTTATAAGCTTTCCTACGCTCTACTTCTAATTAAATATAGCATTACTGCGCCTCCTACGTATATACTATAATTTATACCTATAATTTAAGTTCCTCCTTATCTAGATCTAGGGATCTCTATGGCTTGGTGGCGTCCTAATTATGAGATATATTAGGTTCTTTGTTATTAGGACTCCCTAAGGTTACTAATAGTTATTTAAGGGTTTCCTTATTTATATTATTCACGTCTTTAACAGGCATGTCTATGATGTTCTTAATTAGGTTAGTATCTATAGGGTTTAAAGTTATTAGCGTAGTTCATTTATTTCCATGCTAGCTTGATCGTAGGACTCACCCCTAAATAGGCTCTTATAGCAACTCCTTATTTATTCCACTTATTATCAGGCTTTAAGAGGGGTAAGTAATTAGAACTATAAGCCGCACTATGTAATAGCTACGGGGATTAGTGTGTATAAAGCAGAATTAGAGGGTCAAATAATAAGTCTCTATTATTAGTGAACTAATCGCTAGTCTTTAAGTAGGAAGGCTAGTGGCGCGCGAAGTTACCTTCATGCGTCACGTGCGTAGCCTCAGCCGCAGTTGCGGCCTAAGGCTCACGACTGCGGCGTGGTGCGGGCACCACACCTGAGTAATTACGGTGATGTCTATACATGGCGTCTAACACTTTAGCTCACTATGTCTTCTATATTTTAAGACTTGCTATATATTTACTACATGTCACACTACATTAGTACTTAGTCTAATGCGAACGCTTCAGTCAGATGGCTAATAAACCATAGACAGCCTGCCCTAGACTACCAATCAGACGACTTTGTCGGCTGGAGCCCCTGGCTCCGGACCCCGCGCAAGCATTCCTCTCACCATTCCATCGAATATTCCTCTCAGGACTCACGAGATACAGCGATTGGAGCAGTAATATTAAATAGCCCCTGTTTCCTTGTTTAGTTTAGTCGATTCCTGTGCTTAAATAGTCCCGTTTCCCCAGTTATTCAGAATGACAGACCTCTCAACTTCTTCAGATCCTCCACCTAGATCGACGGCCCGGCCGACAGACTTAACCCCGCTCACAAAATACGAGGTGCAGGTAATTCATGCAGGGTACCCGAAGTGACAGTTCCGTGCCTTGTGAGATATTCCAGTAGGATTTCAAGGGCTCTCGCGATTTAATAAAAGTGGTGAAAGTAATCCTGGGTTCTCTGAGATAAAGCAGAAAGTTATTCCTGTTACTGGGTTCGACGTTCTATAGCGTGGCAGGTGCAGATATATGGAGGTTAGTCCGATTTGGATTAGCTGGTCGAGCGAAGCCACGAACAAGTTGAAGAGAACCTAAGTCTATCTCTATAGTGACAAATGAGAAAGGTGAGTGTAAAAAGACAGAGAAAGGATAACAGCGAGCGCAATAGCCAGGGAGAGCCGAATCCTGAAACCGAGTGAAAGAATTATATACAGAATTAGAGGGAATATGATACCTAAACGGAAAAAAAAAAAAAAGAAANAAAAAAAAAAAAAAAAAGAAGATCAAATCACTTCTTCCCAACCCTCTTCTTCAGCCCAGCAAGATCCCACTTGCGCACCCTGAAGAGATAATAGAGAATCGCGGCCGCCGCAACATTAAACGCAACATAAACCCAGATGAGCCCGAAATTGCGCCATCGCTCCGACCAATATATCTGACTGCCCGCAAGATACTGGTCGGCAACGGTCAGCGAGCAGTAACTGCATCCTGAAGTCGCATCAGGGTTCTGCAACGAGCCTCCCGCGAGACCGATATACTCGGCCATGTATTCCTGGCATGTTCGGTTGCCGGGCGGGTCAAAGGTCGCTAACTCCTTGGACGAACAGACGACTTCGCGGCCGTGCACTTGCGTCGAAGACATGCCTCCAATCCAATACGTAAACGGAGACGCGCGATACATGAAGATCCAAAAACCCGGTAGCCCCGCCGGAGGCTGCATGACACCACAGAAAGTAAGACACATTGAGAAAAGAAGCACAACAATCGTGCTAGCCGTCTGTGCGTCAGGTAGTGCGGCAATAACCATGTGCGCGAACGTGCTGGCGTACACGTAGAATTGGATGCAGAAGAGCAAGACGAGGCCCTGGCGGGCGGATGATTGGTTGGCTCCGACGACGGCGTAGTAGTAGCAGGCGTAGGTGAGGATCCCCATCATGACTTGGTAGGGGATTTCGACGACCATGTTGGCGATCATGAAGGCTTTCCACGAGTAGGCTTTGCTAGGGCGTTCGCGGACTTCGTAGAGGGAGCGTTGGGTTACGAAGAGGGGCATAATCTGCATATATTGGCATAGATTCAATGTGGGTGGAAGGGGGGAAACATACCTGTTGAACGAGAGAAGCGAAAATGGAACAAACCATGAACAGCGAGAATATGACGTTCTGCATGCCAGCAAGCGAGGGCGCCGCATCATAGAACGAGAAACCGATAAAGAGACCAGCCATAATTGCAAGTCCCCATTTCGAAATGATGTACTCGGGCATACGCCAGTACTGTTGGAATACACGGATCGTGACAACCTTGAGCTGGAACCAAAACGGCATGGCGAATTCCGCGTGGCTCATGCTCTCTTTCCCGTCCTGTTCTGGTTGTGCCGACGACTTCTCTTGGTGGATCCGTTGAATTTCATCCTGAACAGCCCGACTCTCGGGACTTTGCTTCCAAACATCGAACCAGTCGACTCCCTGGTCATTCGTTTTGGCATTGACGACTTCAATCATGTATTCCGCGGGGTTCTCAGCTTCGGTACACTTGCGCCCGCCGTTGGACTCGAAGTAGTCGAGAAGGGTACGTGAGTTGCTTCCAATCTCACCAAAGTACACCGTCTTACCACCCTTGGCGAGGAACAAGAGCTTGTCGAATTCCTGGAAGAGGATCGCACTCGGTTGGTGGATTGTGCAGAGGACCGCCTGGCCGCTGTCGGCTAGTTTGCGAAGGAAGGAGCAGATTGCCCAGGAGCTTTGGGAGTCGAGGCCGCTGCCTTTGTTAGTTTATCGGTTCTGGCACAGGATAAGTAGTTCTTACCTAGTCGGCTCGTCAAGGAACAGAAGAAGCTTCGGCTTCGCAGCCAGCTCGACTCCAATCGTCAACAACTTGCGCTGTTCGACATTCAATCCTTCACCTGGAACACCGACAATCGCCTCTGCAAAGTCTTCCATGCCGAGCATCCGAATGACATCTTCGACGTAGTCATATTTCTCCTGAATCGAAACGCTCGGTGGTTGGCGGAGTGCAGCGCTGAACCTTAGGGACTCGCGGACGGTAGCAGTCTCCAGGTGCAAATCCTGCTGCTGAACATAGCCCGTCTTCCTTTGGAAGCTCGCATCAAGACTTTTCCCGTTGACGAACATATCTCCTGTAATCACTCCCATGGTTGTTCGATGAGCGAGGACGTCGAGGAGGGTAGTCTTTCCGGCACCACTAACGCCCATGAGGGCAGTAAGCGTACCAGGTTTCACCCAACCAGAGACATGATCCAGCAGCCGGCGAGGCTCGCCTTTGATTTCAATGTCGTAGCAAATGTCCCGCCAGGTAAAGATGTCCTGCTGCGGTGGGAGTGGAAGTTGCTCAGCCGTCTGGGTCTCCGTCGCAGGCTCGACGGAGCCAAGCTCAATGGAGTTCTCTTCATCGCTTGGCTTAGTATACCCAGGACGCATATACTCCGGCTCATGACCCCGCCGGAAAACCAATGCCTCAGCCGTACTCGTCGTCGACGAATTCAACTCCGAAGCCACAAAGTAGATAACCATAAACCCAATGAGGAACGCGACGAGAACGCCAAAGTTCCGCCAGACATGGTCGTAGCTGTAATCCCAGTTGAACAGAATATACCGATCCCCGCTAACGGTGGTTTCACCGGGAAGGGATCCCTGAATCGAGCACGAGAAGCTGTTCCCGTCGAGATCCGCGTACGCGGGGACGAAGGCCGCACAGGGAAAGTCTCGCCCGTGGAACTCGTTTGCGATGAGGATTTCGAACGCGTAGTAGATTGGGTTGATGTAGTGGATCCATTCGAACCAGGGATGCATAGACGGTTTGGGGAGGACGTAGCCTGTGTAGACGATGAGGGCGAGAATCAATATACCGGCGAGACCCATGGCTTGTGAGACTGTTTTTGTGAGGGCGGCCATTGTGCGGAAGACGGCGCTCATGACGAACATGATGATGAAGGAGATCAGGAAGTAGATGAAGAACTGCGAAGGTTCTCGGCGGAGATTCGCCATGAAGTACATGATGATGTTGAAGGCGACTGCGACGACGAACTTGACGGGGACATCGCTGACGACTCCGGCTATGGCTTCTGTTGAAGGGTGATAAAAGGCGTAGGAGGCTTGCTTTTCGACAATTGGGCGTTGGGCGTAGAGGTTGTTGATTTCGCTCATGGCAGTGAGTGCATTGAGGAGAACAGCGAAGAACAGAACGCCACCTTTTGCAGCGAATCCTGCGGTTGTGTCGGGAGTGCCGTAGAAGACAGAGCCGGTGATGAGCGCCATGATGATATTTCCAATAACCATCGACATCGTGCTTGAGAGGTCGTTCCAGACTCGTTGGTAGGCACGCTTCGTGTTGAGTTTGATTTGCATGGGCACGCTCAGCAGGTATGGCGAGCCAGGCCGAGTGTGATTGGACTGAGCCTCGTGCTTTCGCCGGCGAAAGCCTGCTGCTGCTGCGTCATCATCGCCTGGTGGGTGCTCTTTCTCAAACTCTGCCAGTTCCTGAAGAAGTTCATTGTATTCAGCCGACTGGAGCCAGTACTTCTCAAAGTCCTCTGGCGTGTGTGGCACGGTGCTCTCCATACCAGCCCGCGCTCGACGCTCCTGCGGATTCGTGACAGAAGTAAGAAAGTCTCCGGTCGTTTGTCGAGCTGGACAATCCCACCCTTGTCGTTCGAAGAACTCCTTCGCTTTAGAGACGTGGCCGAAGAAAATCTGTCGTCCCTCATACAGAACAGTCACCTTGTCAAACACCTCATAGATACTCTGACTAGCCTGGTAGATCGCAACCGCATGCGCCGTGCCCGCAAGATCAGCCATGAGCCGCAAGGCCTCGACGAACTTGAGCGCAGTCGCCGAGTCCAATCCACGACTCGAATTGTCCCAGGCGGCAAAGGGCGTAGCAGCCAGCGCCATCTCAGCAATACTCACGCGTTTCCGCTCTCCACCCGAGACGCCGCGCACAAAGTCGTTTCCAACTTTCGTATTGTATGTGTGGCTGAGGCCAAAGATGGCCATGATGACTTGCGCTGCGTATTTGGCGGATTCATCGCGGGTCATGTTCCGGAAGCGCGTTGCGGGGGTTCTGGCGGCGGCGGCAAATTCGAGGGTTTGGCCGACGGTCAGGTGGGGGAAATGTTTGTCGACCTGTTATTTGTTAGATATGGCTATAAAGTGGGAGGAAAGTGACGCACCTCCTGATTGTAGACAACTTCGCCTTTGAACTCCTTCATCATCCGTGGTTGCGAAACGCCTAGTCCAGTTAGCAGACCAACCTACCACTCAGATAAGAAGCATACCATTATAATGCAGAACACTCGACGATTCAATATCAAGACCATTGGTCTCCCCACAGATAGTCTTGAGCAAGGTGCTACAGCCAGCTCCCGGTCGGCCAAGGACAAGCAACAGCTCTCCACTTTTCATCACGCCATTAAAGTCGTTGAGAATGCGCCGGGAGGGAGATCGTCTTTGCCGGAGCAGTTCCGGGATCCGGAACGGGGCCGATAGCATCCCACCAACAGTCCCTTGCAATTGAAGGGCAGAGCCAGATCCCGAGACATTCAAATGCTGGAAGAGTATCCCGCCTCGAACCCCTGACTGGCCCCTCAGTTCAAAGTCAGCAACAACGGCTTTGAGCCATTGCTCCAGGTTAAAGTCCGGCGATGTAGGGTCGAGTTCTGGTTCGAGCTCTCTGGAGGATTCCGAGCCGCGGGTTTCTTGAATCGCATTGTTCGAGGGAGGATTGTAGACACTTGACCGCCGCCGGGACTTGTTGGACTGGTTGGTTGCGATCCTGCGGAGGTTCTCTGTCTCGGTGCGACTGATGAGGTTTAGGGGGGAACCTGAGGTGTGCATGGGTTCGAATGTCGTGATCGTGTCGTTTTCCTGTGGCGTATTCCCTCTGAGCAGGTGCTGCTCGTCGAGAGTACGAAGACTCATGGTGTAGAGCCAGCCAAGGAGTTGTGTTGCTAAAGGATCTTCAGGCGGCAGATCCTGGGAAGGGAAGAAGCAAAATATATAGCATCATTTTACCCGGTGCCGAAAGCTAGGACGTGGCATCCGGAAGCAATGCAGCCCGAAGATCATGGAGGATTGCCATGAATACAGCAAACCCGATCGAACACTATCTCCTTTGGGCCCCCAGAAAAGCTCACCAAGCCCACGGAATCCGCAAAGTATACATTTCCGGTTGAAGGGTTGGCCAATCATGTCAGGCCAGGCCACATCTAGTTACATCTACAGCCGCTGACTCATCGGATATAACTTTTCCATGGGATACGTCAGGGGCAACGTTGAAGAGGCTGAGCGCCAGGCATCCATATCGAAATTTCAATTCTCTAAAATTTGAGTGATTTTGGGCTTTCACTAAGGAGAAAATATTAGAGTGAAAAGTTAGTGAAAAGTCTACCACCTTCTATTCTAGTAAAAAGCAGCAGAATCCCTTAGTAAGGCGGGATTAAGCGACCACACTCAATACTATATCGATTTTTCGACAACGTGGTGTTAAGAATAGTGGTGATATTAAAGGCCTCCAGATATGTATTTTTAAGTTGTTGTGTACGGAGTAGTGTTGACTACTCTAATACTGGAGGAGACGCAAAATTTAGATCAAGGTCTCTAATTAGCTAATTACTAGGCGGCAGTAAAATAAACTACTCTAATTAGCATGAAATTTCATAAAAAGTGAAAAGAAAACTTGTTTTGAAATTTCAAGATTGCCGGCGCTCAGTGAGGGCCAGCGACAATGCACGCCGGTTGATGCCGAGATCAGTCCTCCGTAGCATTCGGCGCGGAACCGTGCATCCGGAATGTTCAAGCTTATGCCCTAGCTAGGCCCGGTTCATTTAAGCTCTACTCCGTAGAACCTCGATCGCCTTGAGTCGAAGTATTCTGACGTGTCCGCGAATCTCCAGCCAAGAACGCTGACTCAGCGGCTCTTCGCCATCTCCGAGAGGCACCAGACAACCGCTCTCTCCGGATTCCCCGGTCGACATTATCTCAGTCAGCGGACTTAAATCTCAGCAGACAATGCCCGCGACCAACCCCGGCAGCTAATACTCGGCGATCACAACGGAGGGGAAATGCCTCCCAGCAGAAGCGGCCCCGAGGGCCGCACTAAGCGTCGGCGCCGCGTCTATGCATGCGACTCGTGTTACAGGAAAAAGGTGCCGAACGCCCCGTCTTCCGTCGCTTTTTCCGGGTCGGGGATGGAGATTTAGCCGGCTCCGATCGAGATACTGATTTCGCCTTAGATCAAGTGTGATGGGACACTTCCTAGGTGTGATTGGTGCTATCATCACAGCATTCCGTGTACGTACACGCGGAACCAGGAGGTCGCCAGCCTGGGTTCGCCCAATGCCCAGGAACAGGAAAGGAGGTATGACCCCGCCGCTGTATTGGATCCGTCTTGGCCCCTTTTCGCGGTTGTCCCGCTTGATGTATCGTACTAATTATGGTGTAGGGATACCCCTAGCACCCCGGCTTCCGACACCAGTTTCTCACTCCAAAAAGGTTCGCATGCATCGGCGTTTTGACGTACTGTGCTGACGCCGTACAGGATCCGGGTATAATAGCACTCCTGAGATCTTCTATACTCCTCCCGGCCCTCAACCCCTCGCACCACAAGGCTTCGGCACCGACATATGTTTTGCAGGTCAGTCTTTAGGGAACATCTGCGGGTTTAATGGATTGCCGTTCTTCTCTCCAGGTGGTTTGAAATGGATCAGAGAGCGTACAGGGGACGATGGCTCTCTGGATTCGTATAGCTCCGGTGCGCCGCATGTGTGGCCGCCCACCGAGACGAGGGACGAACACGAAAGCAGAGAACGTGTCGAGCTGCCCAATAAGAAGGTCATCCGTCAACATCTCGAGGCCTACCAGATCTCCATTCACGGGCAACTATTTCCGTTCCTCAACCCCCCGTGCTTTGAGCATACCATTCGAGCGGCATACGATGAAGAGCTCTCGGATCTCTCTCCCAGTGTAAAATGTGCCAGGGGGTGCATCTTCGGATTCATGGCAATGGCGTCGTATTTGACGGTGCCCCCTCGCGAGGACGCGATTATGAGCGCAGACAAGTATGCCAGAGAGGTTCAAGACCTGCTGCCAGATATATCCAGGGAGCCGGTCAATCTGGACGGTTTGCAGGCGGTCATCATGCTAGTACGTATAATTCCCACGACCCACATAAACCCCGTTTGTCACTTACCAGCTAATCTTTTCAAGTGCTTCTGCTGCACCGCACTATCCGGCGACGTCTTCAAAATGGAGCTCCTCCTCTCCTGGGCTGTCCGCTACATCTTCCATCTGAAGGGAAATCTCTATCCCACCATCGCAAAGGGCGACCACGCCCACGCAAAACTCCACGTCCGCAATCTGTTCTGGATCTGCTTCATCCAGGACAAGTTCTTCGGCTTGCGCACGGGGCTCAATCCCCTTTTCGACCCCATGAACTGCGAACTGACCCTCCCGGGCGGCGAACATGGCCACTGCGACCCTCGCAGCTTCCACCCCTCGCACCAACAGAAACCCTCCGCCTTTATCACCCTGATACGCCTCTCCATCGTGCAGTCTGAGATTTATCGCGGCCTCTATAGCTGTCCCGCACTCCGACAAAGCGACGCGGAGCTCCTCGGGACAATCCGCCGTCTTGACAGTGCCCTCGAGGAGTGGTGGTCGTCGGTACCGGTTTTCACCGACGACATCCACAACGACCCGACGATGGCCGATCTTCTTTTTAAGATGCAGTATCACTACTGCATGGCTGCGATTCATCAGACAAGTAGTCGGTGTACAGCCTGGGTGCGCAACCAGGATACGCGTGCCGCGGGCTCAAGTCTCGCGATTAGTATCGGGGCCAGTCGCGCTGTGCTGAACAGGTTTCTTGATACATCGCCACAGCTTCTGGGGCAGTTTGTGATGTACGTCTTTCATTCCATCCACCCACTCACCCAGCGGCCCTCCACACCGTCTACTTCGCTAACCCCGATTGTCAACACAAACAGGTTCTGCCTCCCCGAGCTAACAACCTCAAATATCCACCTCTTCTCCAACATCCTCACAAACCCACTCGATCGCGCTAGCTGGACTGATCTCGAGCTCATGAGAGTCACCAGTCGGCACGTTGAGGATCATCTGTGGCAGCAGGCGCCCGCGTCGTTTACGGCTCAGGTCAGGCTGGCTGAGCGGTTTATGGGCGATTTGCAGCGGTTGGCGTCGTGCGCGATTGTTAAGGCGCAGAGGGAGCGGGGAGTTGATAGGGTGATGGGTGAGGGGTGAGGCCATTCGGTTTAGGGCTTGTTTGATCTTACTAGACTTTAGACTATTGGAGCGATCTTGATATCTTGTATTAGTATACTGAAGCGTCTACTCATCTCATACAATGTCTGTGCAGGAGGTACTTCCCCTCCGAGCTTGCGCCATTCGCAATTGCCACAAGCAGAGCGCATGACAAAACCCACCTCTCGACTCCGAGTTCTCAAGGCTCACACGGAGTGCAACATGAGGATTGTTTGCTTCTTCCATATGCACTCTTTGCGCCCACGAATCCTCTCATTGACGCTTCAATGAGGCAGTGCCCGAGTCGCGGACAAGGCTCTGGGAAGACGATCTCGCACCGCACACCGACACAACACCCATCACCTTTTCAACCTCCTCGTCCCTGCTCCCGTTTCTTTCCATCGACATCGCTCGATCATCACGTTCAAAATGGCCGAAATAGTCGGCGTCGTCTCCGCTGGAATCGGCCTGGCTGCTTTCGTCGTTCAGATCTCCGGAAACCTCGGTCGCCTACGCCAAACTCGCGACTTCGTTCCGAATAAGGCTGCGGCTGAGGTCGGGTTTCTCATCGGTCGCTTGGAATTTCTATGCCAAATTCTGCTTTCACTCGATGATTTCCAGGGCCACAGGATTGTTGAACTTGCGATAAGTCACTGCCAGTTCGTCTACAGTAGCGTCGAAGCGACTGTCGACAGAATTGTGGTTCGTCTTTCGAAGATTGAGGGCAGCAAAATGAGCGCAGTTCGGAAAGCGGGAGATCTCAAGGATGAGATTAGTGTTGCGAGTGAGAAGGTGGATTTTATTATCAATGAGTTGAATTGGTAGGTATGCCTCTGCTACTAAAAGTGATTGACCACCAGCTAACAATCGAGATTCTGGATAGTGCCCTCACGCGCGACCTCCATCGAATCGTTGCAATGGATCTTCCACAAACGGCGGCTGCATTGGCATTTTCTTGTACCCCTCAGCGAGCTACTGCCCTGAAACTGAGCGAACCGGAAACCGCGTGTGGCTCTTCTCTGATTCGCGCCACCACCATGACTTCGGAACAAACATGCCCCTTAACATCTCCAATCATTGTCCGCCGTACGAACTTACGGAACTGCATCGACAAGCATTGCCACTCCTCATGCCATCTCACCCACAATGCCTCACGACAGCTCTGGGGCTTTGAGTATACCCCACTTTCCATTGTTCTGAGGCCTTGCGATAATACAAGATGTACAGGACGACGGTATCGCTGGAACTTACGGCTCTCCCTGACAAGATACGGGTTTCCAATAGCAGTCATAGCGGGGCTAGAATTTGTATCAGCAGCGGGTACATATGCTCTGCGGCCTGCGCTAACAGCTCAGGGTGTTGTGAGATATACATCACCCGGTTTTCAGACGCCATGGCTATTTGAAAGAGGACTTATCTCGCTCCAAGAGGCTAAACAAAGATTTCTTGAACTGCGGAAGGCCGATCCCTCGATGAGATACCATATGAACCCAGCTGGTTGCGGCTATGTCCAGGTAGGCTGTTGTTACGTTGAGAAGTTGGGCCATTCGTTTAAAGCTGCATAGGAGCTCATGCTTTCTTATGCCAATTTAACCCAGCAAGAGAGCTATACAGCAATTCTCACCTCTCTTGTTGCCGACCTGCATATGCCAGTTGACAACCTGGGCCACGAGTAAGCACTAGTTCCCTAAGATGGTGGACAAATCACTTCCAATGTTGATCTTGACAGCTTTCTCATGCGGTACGCGATATCAAGGCCCGTCCACAAAAACTGCAGCGCGTTAGATATAATTCTCAAGTACGGCTTCGACCCTGGCGCTTCTGACTATCCAATCCTTGAGGAATGGCAAAGAGCAGCTGAATTCAGACAGCGTGATCTTCTCAGATATTGCGAGGATCCATTCTTCATCCAATTTCTGGCGAAGCTCTCTGCGGTGGACCCAGGCAAGTGAAAGCGATGCATCAGATATTGCGTTGGCTGACGAGCAGATAGGCTTTGGTGGCTTGACGCCTCTCCACGAAGCTGTTATCAAAAGTTCAATAACCAACGTCGCGTCTTTGGGCTCGCTAGCACAGACCCACCGCAATGAAATCAACTGCTTGGGTCAAACCCCTCTTCACTTGGCTGTGTCAAATGCGAAGATTACGAGGGTCTTGATCCAGTCCCGCCATGATCTGGATGCCGTCGATGCGTTTGGAAGAACACCTCTCATGTATGCGGCGGCACTAGGATACTCGGAGACCGTTCAACTTCTTATTTGTGGAAAGGCAAATATGTTCATCAAGGACAAAGAGCCGCAGCTGAATTTCATTGGCCACGCATCCTACGGAGGAAACTGGGACTTGATCATGGACGCACTCGAGACTATACGCCATAGCTGCTGTCCTGAGACATATCAGGGTTTCATTCATTGTGCCATTCGCAAACTCCTGGAGTTCTCTTTCTCCATAATAGACTCAAAAAGATATCCGAACGCTACAAGGTTGTTCTATTTTTCGAAACTTATCGATTTTTCCGACGACGTCAACCGCACCCAGGAAAAGACAGGGAATACCCTCTTACACTATGTATCTCATCGTGATGAGGCTGATGCTCTCGTTCGTCGCGGGTTTACAAGGCTTGATCACCGTAACCGTCAAGGGCAACTTCCGATTCATTCGGCAAGCTATTTTGATGGAGGGGCTGAATTGATCGAGTTCTTTCTCAGCCATGGTACAGACGTCAATGCCACCGATGGAAGCAGGAAAACCGTTCTATTCTATCTGTTTGAACGGTTTAGGGGCTGTGTCGGGGACTTAAGGCTACTCAGCGCAATAAACGCATGCTTGAGGCATGGGGTGAATATCCTCGCACGTGATAGGTGCATGTGTCCTTGCTCGAATTACGGCGGCTGCATAGCTGTTCCGTTCTGCAATGTGCGTCGACGTGGCCTCACTCGTTTAGGAGCGTCATGCAGCTTTATTTGGGTGACTGAGCTATTATGTGTCCTGGAGGAACATGGTGGTGAAGAGATAACCAAGAGACTCCTCCTATACTTGCTACGAAGGAAACAGTTTGATGAGCTTAAGATTACCCATGTCTGTTGCCATAGCGACGTTGCAACATACTCAATCCCGCACCCTCTGGAGTCGGTTGAGATTGGCAAGGTCCTGGAAAAGGAACGTGGCTTTATCGAACAAGTTGACCAGGAGATGGAAAGACTAGAACAACAACCCCTGGGATGCCTTTGGTCCCTCTGGATGTGCATCCCGAAGGTAAGCTATGAGAAGATAAGAAAGAAACAGCAAATGCGCAAGCTGGATACGGTACAGGTGAGTGAGGATCGAAGCACTGGGATATAGAACGACGCTGAAACAAACAGTTTGGGGTTGTGGTCGATTACGAACGCGATAAGATACGCTGGAATCACCTTCCTAGCCCCGACCGGCTTTGGCGCAACACAATCGGGGACATACAGAGATATGCCGACTGGCTGAGGGCGGAGTATGCCTTGCGGAAAGAGTCGGCAAATTCCCTGGTGGAGACGGATGCCTGGTACAACAGGCGCGTATCATGGTTTAGAGAGCTGATAGAGCCGGAGGAAATCAAGATTGACGGATTCTAGCGAACAGGAAATATGAGGGAAGCAAGTGTGCCACACGGCTGTTTCATTTTGAATTGAGCAATTCGCTCGCACGCACAGCCTTTGTTGGTTTCAAGAATGGAGATAGCAGCGTTGCATTTCACTCGTAGAGAAGTAAATCGAGAGTCTGTATCTCCTACCCGGTCCACCAGGGCATTTATTCCCTTCCATCTGATGCATTCTGTCACCGCGCGCATATGCGATTTATCAGGTAGAACAAACTAGAACTGGTGTTTTCAGGTGGATTGTTGCAAGGACTCCTGCCTCGCACCTTTAGGAAGAAGCATAATCCACGAGGGCACCATAGTAGCACCAACAATCTTCACCCATTCCACCCATTTTAAAAGTCCTCCAGGCGGATAACCCCATAGGACGGCTCCTCGTACGGATGCGCCCTGCCCCAGTTAGCCATCGCCGTCCGTTCTCTGCCCCTCAGCACCTGATCAACCCGCAGGCCTAGAGCAGCAGAGACCAGCAGAAAGTCAAACCAAGATAACAGATCAAATAAACTCACTTCTTCAAAGCCTCAACAACCCCTTTCACAACGCCCTCCCCAACGACCAGCGTCTCAACCCGCAGCTCCTCAATCTTCTCGAGCTCCCCGACAGCCCCAATATGTGGATTCGCCTTGTCGCCCGGTCGAAACTGCCCCGTCCCCGACGTCACCCAGCAGCATTCAGTGTAGTTGCCTGGTCCCGGGTATCGGCCTGCGCCGGCGGCGAAGATGGCGGTTTTGACGGTCTCCAGTGCCGCCGGGGGGACATGGAAGACTAGTTTGAATTTCTGGACCGCTGTTGCCATTCTGGCCTTTTTGGGTGTGGGTTTTGTGGGATTTGTTTTGAGATTGACTTGAGGATTGATGGAATGGATGAATTGATGAGATGGTGGATGGAGTGAGTTGTGTTTGTTCTGGTGAGGTTCAGGTGAGGTTCGAGGTGGGGTAGGACGGCCTAAAGTGGGGTCGCCGGTTGGACTCCACTTGCATACATATCCTGCGCTCAGATAGTATAACAGGCTACAAGCTACCACTATTCATTTAAATGCAAGGATATCTCCTAGGTAATCTTCTGTGGTTGTCAGGTGGTATGGGGAGAGTTTAGATTTAGCTGGGGATTGTAAGGTCCACGGTACTGGATAGTAGAATCCTAGCATTGTCAGAGCAGGTTGCCAGAAGGAAAGTGGGATTGCTCAAGTTAACCATGAGTTTGAATTGGTCCTTTATAAGCTGTAGCATTTGGACAAATCTCCCAAGTAATCCAACCAGGCCTTAGAACCGGCTCATCACCATCATAAAGCACCCACCGCGCCGGGAATATCCATTTCCCTCCAGCATCTTCTTCATCATGTGCATAGGATGAGGTTAGGGTAGAGCTGTCGGATAAGTACCTGAAATGGGGTTAAGGCTTGTACGGAAGACGCGACGGCCTCGTATATCCTGTCTCTTAGGACTACCTCGCTATAGACTTAAGGTAATACATAGCTGCCCGAATATTTACTTACCATAGCTTGCTACACGTGGGTGCTTTATGAATGAGGCTCGCAACACAGTAAGACCTTCGTCGAGAAGGACATATGCTCATAAATACTATGCCTATATCCCATGTGTGACGACTAGATGTTATCGAGCTTCCCAGAACCAAATGGCTTAATGATGTCATTGGCCTGCTATAGTTAGGGCAAAGTGGACCAATTTTCTCTCCAGAATGAGAACAACCCATTGGCTGATAGACATCGTACCCACAATTAAAATGAGATAATAACCTTGGAATAACAAAATTTGATGTTAAGGTCTAACTTACCAGAGACGTGTCAGATTTCACGACTGTCGAATATGGGCTTCGAAATCAAGCCCGCAGCCCCCGGTGATGGGGCAGAACTTGCAGATGTTTTCCTCGAGTCCTTTTCCGATGAGTTCAACCAAAAGCTTTGGCCGCGGACGCCCGATGTCCGTTCATTCTGGGCAGAGAAATTCAATGCATCTATCGAACAACGAGGAGCAACATCATTCATTGTTAAAATCGAGGCGCTAAACTCCGAGTCGCAACCCGTCATCGCAGCATTTGCCAAGTGGAAACTTTATAGCGGCGATGCTCGTCCCGAAGAGCAGGAGACGAAGGACATGACAGCCTGGCCCGAAAGCTGTGACGCAGATCTCTGTGATCGTTTCTTCGGCAGGCTAGAAAAAGAGAGGGTCAATGCTATGGGTAACAGGCCGCATTATTGTAAGTATACTAAGCGGTTGATGTTGATTTCCAACGCTGACAGGCGAGCAGATCTCGATATGCTGGGTACAAGACCCGAATTCAACGGCCGCGGCCTCGCTTCGAAACTGCTCCAGTGGGGCTTGTCCAGAGCCGATGAGAAGAAAGTGATGACTTTCTTAGTGTCAACGCCGCAGGGAAAACGTCTGTATGAGAGATATGGGTTTGAGACGCTGGCTGAGAACGAGGCTGTTCCAGGTTATTCCATGGCTTCAATGGTGAGGCCCGCGCCGGTGTAGGTACTCATATTTAGTGCCGATTAGAATCTGGTGAGCAGATATGAACACATCACTATATCAGCCGCGGGGAATCGGAGTGTTTGGACGCGCGAGATGGCGAGATCTCTCTCGGTCTATGGCCTTGAGGTAGGCGTTGCGGACGAGGATAGAGTGATCAATGCGTAGGGGAAAGAAAAGGGTTCTGTGTTCCCAAATGATGGTCAGCATAGTGATGCACTACCGCCTAGCTAGCAGGTGTATTGCTTAGACAATATAGGAACAGCGACGTACAAGGAGTTGGCGGCGACAGGTATGCAGATTTTCCGGTAGATCATCATCCGGAACTCGGTAATAGTGCGAGAAAATGAATTGCCTCTGTCTGAAGGGCTGTGCCTTTTCTCGGTGTCATTGCTGTTGTCCTCGGCAGCTTGCTGGATGGCTCTTGCGCGTGAAATGGCGACGAGGCTTTTCAGAAGCCTCAGGGGGTTCTTATCCGGTGGTTCGTCATGCGTGAGGGAAATGGATCCCTCAAAGATACCGCAGAAGTCTGCTATGCCATGAAGAATGCAATTTGGCGTTTGCTTGGACTTGAAGCTCATTGCAGTCAGTTGGGGTCAGACAGGGGCAGGATGGGATATCTTGGGTAGTGACAGAGTGGGCATATGAAATGTGCACTGGAATTAGGCACACCGAAAATAGCGCAGTGGCTAGAGCCGAGGTGGCAGAGGATATCGAGCTACCAAGCACTGCCTCGTCTAGGTGTCCCTTCGGGGACCCCAAAAGACATGCCACGTCGCCTGCTCCGTCAGGTCCTCGGACATATCCACGCTCAGGCCAATGGTTTGGTCCGGGAAACAAAGCTCACATCCCTCATCCTATACTCAAGGAGGTCCGTCTTATACTATTACAGAATTCAGAAGTCGAACAACTCTCCCGAGAAAAACCCATGTTGGGCTTTTCCGTATTTCCCGCATGTCTAACACGGAGAATCTTTGGCCACTCCAGGTAAGCCACCCACGCTACCCTAGGTATCTAGCTCAAGTACGGCTAGGTGGACTTGCAACCCTATTCCCCATATGATGCAGTCGCACGTAAAGGGCGCTACGTTCCTGTCCCTTATTTCGTATGTTGCTTGAAGATCCACGAAACCCATTGACATCCTAGCATCCTATGCATGAAAAACAAGGGACGATATACGCCTGTTGTCCCAGAGATATAGCCAAACGGACCTGGGGCATGATACACGCAGGTGTATGCATTTCCATGTCTCACAGAGCGTTCCAGCAGCGAATTTACCATTTGTCAGACCGACTTGGCTAGACTTGCATCTCTTAATATGACACATTAGGGGAATCTGTGAGGGACCAGCGTTGTGGCTGTTCCCGGAGAGATAATACTCCACCACTGCTAGGCCAGACTGACGATCTGATCGAGATTGGATCATGCCGTGTAAGCTATGATTCAGTGTTCTACGGGCTTTGTTGATGGATAGCCATCGCTCCTTCGATGCCCCCAGCCGTCTTTCTGACGATCAAACCGTCACTCACCTCAAGTGGTTGTATCCCGGACTAAAAAGGATTTCTGCATTATTCGTCGTGGTGAGACATTCGATGGCCAATAGAAGCGTCGGCTAAGCGAGCTCAGAGGCCATAATCAATGGGCAATATGTCGCCTCCATTAGATTCCTCCATTTTGGCTATGCTGAAGGGCAGTTGTAGGACGGTCTTTATGGGCAAGCCCCAGCTGGGAGTCAAGAGACGGGTTAGCTTCACTAACGGACATGATCTAACCTATACAGGATTCATCTTTATTCCCCTCTACTGGAGTCACTTGGAACCCTAGCCAACTCTTGGCCTTGCAACACAGCACATTGTTGACGATTACATAAGGGATTCATAAGAGATGGTGCAACGCGCTAACAAGGATCGGCCCTTGCATGCCCACTGAGCAGATCCACATGTAATCATCTTTCCAATACTTGATTAATTCTAAGCTTCTGCAGAAATCCAATGTTGCTATACCAGGTCTTGGTATCCCTGGCTTGTTACGTGGTGGAGTCCCTACGTGCATTGAGGTCCATAGAATTATAGAAAGCATTGAAACCAGAGTGGCGCCATGTAACTGTGCCCTAGCCCACGTGTCCTGGGCCATACTCTTGGGATATAAAGATATCCAGCCTGCTCTGGCCATCTCTACTCCAGTGACAGCTGATATTGGCTCTACCCATACTACATTCACCTACCCCTGAACATCATGAAGACCTTTGGCGTCGTTGCCTTTATGGCCCTGGTTGGCAACATTGCCGGTATAAAAAACCCCTATCCTGATGACAAGTTCGGCAATGAGTGCTGATCCCTTGTCTTTGCAGCCGGCGTTGTCCCTTCGGACTGGAAGCGCGATGGCGCGGATGAAGGTAGTTTTACTTCGACTGTGCGCGAACCATATCCCTCGCTCATCTCGATGAATAGATACCGTCGGGTACCCGGGCTGGAAGCGTGATGACGCAGGCGAAGGTACTTTTACCTTGACTGTGTGCGAACCATTTGCTCATCTTGATGAATAGATACTGTTGGGTACCCGGGTTGGAAGCGTGATGACGCGGATGAAGGTACCTTTACCTTGACTATGCGCGAACCATATCCCTTGCTCATCTTGATGAATAGATACCGTCGGGTACCCTGGCTGGAAGCGTGATGACGCAGACGAAGGTATGCTCTAAATTTTTGCGATGTATTGTTAGCCTTCCTACTCACGCTAGCCACCATAGATACCGTCGGGTACCCAGGCTGGAAGCGCGACGATGCGGAAGAAGGTATTCTACTCTGACCACTGATACAATACTTGGAAAAGAACCCCGTCCTCATGCATTCACAGCAACCGTTGGCTACCCCGGCTGGAAGCGCGACGATGCGGATGAAGGTATTTATCATCATTATTCTTTCCCGTCTTCAAGCATTGATCTGACTGTTTATCTCATATAGATACCGTCGGGTACCCCGGCTGGAAGGCGTGAGAGCATTAAACTGCGGTGCCTCTATCAGGCGATAGGCTTGTCCCTGCCCACTCCTGTCTCATAGAGCGGTAGCATAACGAATGTTCGAACAAATGGAATGTTATAGTGAAACTAAAAGTCCACGGAAATTAAATCGAGTATACAGGGAGGAGCTTCGGTGGTCAAGTCAGCGTAGCGTTGCATCAATCGATGACCTATATCCCTTGAGCTCCTCTATGCCAAACTTGTCCGTATGTTGCTTGCTTCTTCTTTCTCTTCCAGGCGTGTCGCCACCTCCAAAGAGATCTTTCTCCCAGCATCGGACACTTCTCTCGCCCGCTTTGGCGCCAACGGACCGGCCCTGTTAAGGGCTGGATTCTTCACGCTCTTTGAACTTATTGCAACCCTTCTTATCTGGGTAAGGTCACTTCAGCACAACCCAACGTTCAATAAACCGGTCTAATGCATAGCGGCACCACCGTACTTCGCTACGTAGCCATACATGGCTGAAATAATGAGAGTACTAAGCGAGATAGCCCATCAGTCCAATCTAGTTGCCCTGCGCACCTCGATACCGAGCCTGCAAACAGAAGTTAGCGGATCTCCCTGTCTGGGCTTTCGTCCCGCCTGCTTCTTGCTTCAACTATAACGGCTGTACCAGTACGCTGGTAGTGATTAATCAATGTCCGTTGGCTGTTTGGTAGAGGCCTGGAGGCCCACAATGCGAGACGATGAAAGGAGGGGAGGACTTGCCCACTTCCTGGCATTTCTGGATTTGTTTATTTGTCTAATCGCTTACAGGAGGAATTTAATAGCAGTAGCATCCGAACGAGAACCCCCAGACCCCAGGGTTAGCTATCATTGTCGGAAAAGCCACATGCTTCCCGTGCAGACAACGACACGACACCAAGAAAAGAAATCAAAGTGCATATCCCACCATCTCCCACCACAAAGCCCTTCTCTTGCGCTCCCACTGACGCTCAAGCCCCTGCTCACCAAACCCCCCGACAACTCATCGACTTCCAGCCTGCCCCCCAGTTCGACGCACAATCCCCCCCAAACTTCCTCAGCTCCCGTCCCGTGCAACCCTTCTCGGCATAGTACGTGCAGTCGCAGAGCTGGAACCCGTCGCAGTTGGCGATGTTGGCGCTGTTGGTGCCGCCGTAGTCGTAGTCGTAGCAGTCGCCGTTGGAGTGGGGGTAGATCGACGTTAGGTAGTTGCTGCAGCCGCCGTCGCTGTAGTAGTTTACTTTGAGTTGGAAGTTGACGGCGGACGCTGTGCTGGCCAGGGTGGCTGTGGCCGCGAGGAGGGCGGGGAGGAGCTTCATTTTCATGTATGTATATATGGTTGTCTGTTTTGGGGTTGGTTTCTTGCGGAGGAGCAAGAGGCAAAAGATCCTAGGGTTGGATAACAAGTGAGAAACGAGGGCATGATATCCTTTATATACCTTTTCTATGGTCCCATCTTTCATTGCAGATCCCTTTGACTCAGCCATTAGATAGATCCCAGTCATCAAGAAAACTGCACGATATATTGCGCTGCGGCGTAACAATACATCTACTCGATTCTAGTCTGCATATAATCTCAGACAAATGAAACCTCAAAGCTATTATCTTGCCACTCTCGCGGCTCTCGCCGTGGACTAGTGCATATCCTTTGTGGGGCTGAGCCCCAGCAGGGTGGAGATTTGATGCGCACCAGTGTCAGATGTTAATCTAGAGCGCTTATGAATTCCTTAGGAATTCTTATACATGCATCCTGCTGTGCTTTACTCCCGCGCTGCGGCGTTTCAACCTCTTTTTAAATTGTCCATGATTGCCTCACACGGATTGAAGACCAGAAACCCGAACGCCCCATTCTCACCTCTTACGACCGTCGCCTCCTTTTACCCAAGTGCCCGTTCCCATATAGAACATCACAATCAACGTCCAAAGATACTACGTACCTCCTGCAGCCTAGTGAGGAACTAACCCTAGCATGCATCACTATCCCGCAAGCCTGCCCTGTCGGACCACAATCGCCGGGCAAATCCCCTCTAGAAGCGGCGACCAAACCGCCCACGATAACGAACGCAAGCATAGACTCTCTGCCACCTCCGGGACGTTCTTCCGGTTCGGGAATCTTGACCAGCCATAATGGAGAACAACCTTGTTCAAGCGATGTGGCTAATGCGGCGCCCCGCACGGCGTCCCCAACAGGAGGGGTGCCGACGAAACTCATGCGGGCGACACGAAGTTATGATAGGTCTGATACATAGGGATCTGAGCAAGTGTTTGACCTAGAGACATGAATGAGGGCTCGTGGAGTATCCAATTCAAAAAGCAGAAGGAAGTAGAGGGTCGTAAGCTTGGAGACAGCGCTGCATATTCGCCATATATCACTATACCGCAGCAGGCGGTCGCTATAGGACAAGGTGATCTAGCTAGAACGTGCTGTTCATAAGCAAAGTGTAAAAAGGAATGTCAACCAATCCCTGTATGTAGGTCCCAGGCTGCTTTCAGAGGGATGAGTGGATATTAAAAGCCGTCTTAGTAAAGTAACTCCGCTCCAGGCACCTTCGCGGCCAACAAGATGTAATCATCACAATTAGCTTGCAAGCCTTTGTCATTGCTGCTTTTCGGGACCTTCGGCTCGTCTTGCTATTTATGTACGTTCTGCCAGGTGGTTTATATAAAGGCAACCGGATCGCACGATGTACTGACCACCCCATCGCTTTTGGCTTCTTCCAGCCTCCAGAGAATAGTGGATGGGCTAGAAATATCATTAACCTCTTAAACAAGCCCTTAACCCTGAGCACTCTCAAGGTAAATAATGCCGCAAATCATGGGTAATACTGGCAATAAACAGGTTGATGCATTAGCCAGAGCCGACGGGGGTACCCTCGCGACGCGAAGGGTCATCCTGCAGACTCTCCAGAATAGCTTCGTGGTCTAGATCTCTTTCAAAAGGGGGGTTGAATGGGTAGGTCGCGGGATCTGCGTGATATTGGTTCTCTTCTTTCCTTCTGGTGTCGTTGGTTTAGACCCTTCCAAACAGTAATCAATCCCCGTACTCCTACAAGGACAACGGTAGCTCCGATGTCAAGTATCAAAACACCCACGGACGGCGCTTGGACGATCTAGCTTGTCAGGATCATCTCCAACTCTCTCAGCGTGCCTGTATTGCGACGATAATGTGAAAGTCCTGTCGCCAATGGAGGAGACCATTCTGGGGATGAGAGGACTATGACAAGACCCCTCAAAGTCTTTCATATCTCAATGTGCTAGATACTACCTACGCTGGTCTAGAACTAGAAGAGCACCGACGCCGCAATTCCCAGCCCTTCCACTGAGACCTCATACGATAAACAGAAGAGCACAAGATCCTGTTCGGGAAAGTATGGACCGAGGGCCTTGTCCATGCGAGCATGGAGTTCCGGATAGTATAGACCCTTTCGCTGAGCGGACGAAGACGATAGAGTGCAGCACAGATCTGCGTTGCATGGCTACTTAGGCAAGGTGCTTGACCTCGTCCACGCTAGATACACTAGTCCTCAGGGGGTATTGCAAGGATAGGCTGCTAAGATTGGATAAGTGGCTACATGAGTGACAAGGTTCATCAATGTCGCATCAGTGTGCCTAACATATAGTTTGGAAAGGCGGCTGATTGGTAAACCAGGCTCGGTAGGGCCTCTTGCTTTCTCGTCCTGTTTGGTTCCTGTAGTACGATCTCCACTTCAAGTCTCATATATGGTAGACTGAGTTCTGTTTCTGCCGCCTGTTTTGCCACTTCTACTCCAAGGTCCCTGAATTATGATCCTCCAAGCAGACGCCGGGAATACATTCCGCAGAACCTGGTCGGAGCATGGAAGGGCCAGGCTGTTTGCAAAAGCCAGTTGGATTAAACTCGCTGGATAGAGGCTAAAGTCAGCCATGGAGGCCCTCAAGGAGCCCCGCGTATAGTTAATCGAGTTAAGGCACGTTGCTACAAGCTTCGTTTCAAAAGTCTCCAAGACCGCTGGTAGTATATTCTACGCAAAAGAAAAAAGTGGTCCCCTTCTCATGAAAAAACCGCCGCCGACTTTGCTTTGTCTTGTCTGGATCAAATCACGGGATTTGGAGAGCGCGACAAAAGCAGTCGCCGGAAGGATTGTGATCCCTGGCGTTGGCGCCAAGTCGGAGGCCATATTCCCTCAAACCGAACGCGCTGGACCTGAGGCGGGGGTTGTCAGCCTCTCTCAACAAGAAACCTGACGAAGATAGCCCTTGTTGTGCGATGAGCATCAGATCTCTCGGCGCTGGGTGAGGTGCAAAGGTATTACGCTGATTTTCACGCCACAGTGAGCGGCCGCTGAGGCCGACTCCTTGCTGCAAATGAGTCGAGGAACGCAACCGGGGAGGCTGAAAAACGACTCGGGAGGCCTGCATTTTATCATCTCCGATCCCTCGAACAAAGGGAATAGCAAGTCACAGTCATCTCGTGTGGTTCGATCTCACGTTGGAAAATGGACGTGGGAAAACGCTCGAAAGGGCACTCGTCGGAAGGAACATCGGTCAGCTCCCAAGCCCCCAGCCGAGGATGTGGCGGGTGGTGATGCCAATCTCTGGCTGGACTGGAGTGATACTCCAGACAGCGCACTCGCCTACTCGACAGAACCCTCATCTTCACCGGTGAGTATGGATCAATGGCTGGACGACTTCTTGGTGGGATCATCCGAATCATCAAGTCCGCCCTCGCTGCTGTCCCCCAGTTCTTCGATAGACATGGACATTCTCGACCCATTTCAATCCCGTGTCTCTTCCCCTATATCGTCTGATCTTGTCAGTAGCACGAACAAGTACTGTAAGGAACCTCTATCCCAATGGTCCCGCAAATGAGACTGACCTTCCAGCACTATCGGTCGTATGGCCGGGTCTCATGCCCAGTTCGCGTACAGGGGCCACTCACGCCGGTGTTCAGGGTTGGTTCACAAGTTCAACCGTCCATCCAGCTCTCCACAGCGCAATGCTATACGGCTCATACTCGCATCGACGAACGCGATGGGTCATGAAACGCCAGGGCCACTTCAACTATGAAGACATGCGGGAGATGGCCGTCTGTGAAGCAAACCTAATATCGCAGATGAAATCTATCCTCCAAGATCCGGTCCAGGCGGCTTCGGACGCCGTGATTCTCAGTGTCCTGTGCCTCGCGACGAATTTGTATAACGGCCCATCGACGGACGACGAGGCTTGTTCGTCGCCCTTCTATGCTCCGCTGCGCAGTTTGCAGTGGCTAGATATATACGGGCGTCTCTCTCCTCATCCGGTCCATCAAGCCGGGCTGCTTCAGCTCATTAACTTGAGGGGTGGGCTGGAGAAAATCGAGCTTCCCGGTCTTGCTGCCATAATATCGTTGTATGTATTCCACCCCAAAACGAGGCCTTGGGCATTCAAAGATGCACGACTAATGCCCCATGCGTAGCTCTAGCATCCTGGGTGCAAGCAAGTCCCTCTCGCGGCCCCCGCTTCCCTTCATCTCACTCCGAACTGAACGCCAGGCGACATTGCCGCACACGATCGAGAAGATCTTTCCATCCGTCCCATCAATCGATCGAGACCCTCTGCTAGACATCCACATAACCACCGAGATGCACGATGTCTTTCGCGGGATGCGTGCGTACATCTCGCTGATAGAAGCCTACCAAGACGGTGTCGACGGCGGGGCAGATAATCTCACGCTCTGCGACACGCGGAACCTCGTGCAGTGGCATGTCATGGCTCTCGCGCCAGCAAACGAACTCGGTCCCCTCCTCACTCAGTTTTGTCCCGTGTACGAGGCGTGTCGCCTTGCCCTTGTTATCTTTGGTGTTGGGGTTACGTTCCCGCTTCCGCCCGGCGTGGCGTTGTTTGCTCAACTTGCAAGCGCGATGCGGGTTGGGATGGAGGGTCGCACGGCGGATAGGGCAACGCAGAGTGTGTCTTCGATGCAGGCCTGTTGCTGGTGTCTGGTGCTGGGTGGGATCGTGGCAGAGTCGGAGGAGGAGAGACGGTGGTTCGTACAGGAGCTTAAACGGACGCTGGCTGCTTTGGATGTGTCGACATGGGCGCAGCTCAAACGGGTGTTGCGATCGTTTTTGTGGTTGGATAGTGCGTGTGATATGGCGGGCAGACAGCTATGGGGGGAGATAGAAAGGAGCGATTAGGTTGGTATTGGCGAGGGATTAAAAGACGTTGAGAACACATGGCGGCGATGGAGATATGGCTGCACCGGCTATCAATACAGATTATGATAAGGATGGTTGCGTCTGTTGTCGAAGCGAGGTGAGATTCTTATGGCGGGTGACGAGCGGCCCTTCGCACCTTCCCTGACAATCTCAAGCCATTAGTGTCAAGTCAATGTCCAACGTAGACAACAGTCCATAATGCTTTCTAGTGTGTGTAATGGGAAGAGCACGGCGAATAGATCAAGTGGTGAATGGGGAAGGAGCAAGAGACTCAAGATATACACAATCTGAACCAAGTGATCACTAATTCTACATTGACCAGAGATGGTCCTTCCACTTTGGGAAGGATTATGGGGGCTGACGCGCTGCCAGCTCCTGCACAGGGTCCCTAGGCCAAGCCTAACATCAGTTGCTAGTACTAATTAGGTAGTAGCATAATGTGATCCCTATTTCTCCTAAATTCTGGGGCCCTGGCGCACAGCAGCCAGCTGGCCACGCCCAGACCCTAGTCTAATGGTCGCCGCTAGTACCAAGCTGGCAGGAATACGGAGTAGAGCAAGCCAGAACCCGGGTTCGGTGGGGGTGTATGTTGGAGCAGTCTTTCTACGGTTCTGACTGTGTCACTGTGATTGTTGTCGCAATTTTTGAAAAAGACCCGCTGTAGTATCTACACATTCACATTATGGACGAGCTGTTGAAGAAACTTGATTCCTGTGGTTGTTGTTGGACCCGAGAGTGCACATCTTTGTCTTAAAAAAAATACATAGATATCGAATTAGACGCTGAAGGTCTGTCTGGCGAAAGAGAGATCGTTCGATTACTGCTATTTGCACGGTACAACTGGAGTAGTCAGTCCCCACACAAGCCCGCTCATCTCCTTGGCCTGTTTGCTTCGGAGTCGAGTACATTCCCGAATCCCGTCCTAAAGGCCAAAGCTGATCGATAACTCGGATCAGATCAACCGACAGGCCGTCAGACTATGCGTAGAGGCCACAAAGATTGTGGGTAGGGGATCGGCGATCTGCAGGGCGAAATGACACCTTCAGACCTTCAAAAATCCGACCTTCAGAGGCTTCAGCTCAACGCATTGCAGTCGATGCTGCAGTGTGATTGGACGAGATTCGAATCCTGCAGGCAGCACAGGGGCTCAACCCGCGAAGTGCGAAACGTCTAAACCGATTTCGGAAGGACCATCGAAGAGCCCAGATGGCGCCAAGAACGCAGGCGAGAGACTAAAGGGGAGTTTAAACTGTCAAGTCCGTCAGAGACTCAGCTAACGTCCAACTTTGGTTGTCCGCAGTTTCAGCCGCCAATGTAGACCACTGGTGCTTGTCGCTGTTTAGCATCTTTTAAGGATGTGGTCTTGCCTACCCAGGAATGCACATTATCAGTGCGTTATTCCCGGGACAATGTTCCTGCCTCAAATGGGATAACCTTACCGTCTGCGATGCTATCTACCCACCTCAACAGAGAATATATATCCAGTCAATACGGCCGTCGGATACTCTGAAGACATTAATCTTCCATCTCAGCATCTCCAAGGCTATCAAACAATTTCCACTCAATACACACTATATTCAAGCCACGAAAACAACTGAAACATACGTCTCAAGCAACCATCACACAAAAGATGTCGCAACCACTCGATCTCTCAAACTTCGACCTTGAGGCCTACATGAGCTTCTTCCCAACGGACTCCTCTTGCTCAGATGTCGAGATCACAACACCTCCAGATTCCCCATTCACTGCCCGGGGACCACAGCTGTACCCTGCAGCAGGCGATGCAACCATGAACTCAAACTCAAGCTCCGCGACCTCCAACCCATTCCGGCTGCTTCATGACAGTATGCGCGCCCCCTCCTCCGCCCCGTCCTCAATATACCAAGCCTCCGCAGCCGAGATCCAGGATAGTACCAACCTCCTCTGCGAGTCCTCCCTATCCGCCACGCCAGCAGCGCAATTGCCGGACCCTACCTCAATGACCCAATCCCCATCCACGCTACTTTCCAGCGCCGAGGACGAACAAGGAGAAGAAGCGTCCCCCAAGGCTAAACGCCGCTCGCAAAACCGCATGGCGCAACAGCGCTTCCGTGAGCGGAAGGAGCAGGAAAAGGCCCAGCTTGCCAATCGTGTCAAGGGGCTTACGAGTGAACTTGGCGCGGCGATGCAGCGGATTCATGAGCTGGAGGCTGAGAATGAGAGGCTTGTTATGGAGCTTAATCTCCTGCGGCCGTGGCATCGGGATGTGATGAATGTTCTGCTGGCTTATCCGCCCGGTGGCGCGGAACCGGCGACGACGACGGTCACTAATCTCGGGTTGGGCGAGATCCTCTGAAAGTGGTCTCTTTCTTCTTCTTTTTTTTTTTTTTTTTTTTTCTCTCTTTTCGCGGGGTTGGGGCGAGGTTTTCTCCTGTTGCTTAATCACCCGGACTATCTGGGAAGGCGTTGCGGGAACAAGGATTCAATGTATATATTGAGACTAGACACTATTGAGTTTTCTTTCGTGACCAGTGTTGAGCTACCTTTGAATGGTCGTATAGACGTATGGTTGATCTCTCTATCCAAAGGGTGGATCTCGATATTCAAACCCTCACGCGCTGCCTGCGCATCAGGCAGCGCAGTAAAGGAATGAACGAGAATCCGCCAAGATTGTTGGCAAGGGTTATTTTCGTGAGAATCCAAACTGGGTTTATTCTTGCTTTTGCAGCCATGGGGAGGCCTACGTGATTTACCAGTTTCATGATATAGGATTTCCGTCTTGTGGTCTGCAGGCGTTTGGAAACGAAGTGACGAAAAATCCTCGAGCTCTACAAAAAAGTGAGTAGACGGATACATGTAGTGCATGCGGAACGAACGAATGGTCATAGAAGATCCCATACGTATTCGGATTATCCAGCTGGCAGAACTGTCACTGAGTCAGGGCTTTCGCCAAAGCTCGCCAAAGCTTCCAACGCTGACCTGCACCCTATGGCATCTGAAACGATCACCGGCGTCACATACCACTGATGGATGATACGTCTTATTAGTATAAACATTTCTATCATTGGGGAGCATCTCCCTTCAGGTCAGGCGTCGCCGTGTAACAAAAGTAGTAGGCTCAATTCAGACTGATCTGGATATAATAGACTATGAAGGATACTCTCTCAACCACTCGGCAATCTCAACATGCCCTTGATTCTCCGCGTACACTGCAGCCCGCTCGCAGACATCTCCCATCGCCTCATCGCCCTTATACGCATTTAAGAGCAAGTGAACCATATCGATGCGGCCATTCTCCGCGGCACAATCAATTGCAGTTCTTCCGCCCTGCTCTGCTGGTGGAGCGGCAACATCTGCACCGAGCTCCAGAAGTTTGAATGCCAGCCCGAACAGGCCATCTCGTGCGGCCATTTGCAAGGCTGTTCTGCCATTCCGGCGGGTCGGTGCAGCGTTGACATTTACATCTTGTTTCAGGATAATGCCAATGATATCGAAGTAGCCACGATCTATTGCTGCTTGGAGCGGCGTGGCTACGTCGTCGGTCGCAGACATGTCAGGCGAGGCTCCGCGCTGTAGAAGGAATTTCGCTATCTGCTGACACCCACGGTGGAGAGCGACTTGCAGGCAGTTAACCATTTCTCTCGGAGATAGTGCGTTGATCGATGCACCCTTTTTAAGGAACAGGTCGATGACCTCGATCTGAGCCATCTCCTTGGAAGGACATAAATACTCCGAGAGCATGATTTCATCCCAGGCGCGCCGACAAGCTTTTTCGACAAAGAAATCAGGCAGAAAGCTGATCGTGGGCATGTTGCTGAGTATCATTTTGTAAACCGGCGTCGTGCTGTAATGGCTATTTATCGCAGCAATCAGGGCCGACTCAGCAGCTTGCCAGCTCGATATATTGTCGGCTGGTCTAAAAAGCAGGTCTATCATGTCAGGGCTTTTGCCACGATGCAAAGCGAATAGCAATGCCGTTGGCGAGCTGCAGGCACTATCCTGCGCGCATTGAACATCCGCCCCACTTATTAGCAACATGTCCGTCATAGCAAGGTCGTCATTCTGGATTGCCCATCCCAATGCTGTGAGATCATCGCCAAAAGACGCATCACCGTGAGGTCGTGCGTTGACGTCTGCGCCTCGGGACAAAAGGTATCTTGCTCCGTCGAACCACCTGTATTTTATGGCTTCTTGAAGGGCAGTTCCGGAGGACTCTGAAGGAGGAGAGTTTATATTGGCGCCGTGGTCGAGGAGTGCTTCGAGCAGTGCCTGGTCTCTATGTCGAATAACTGCTTGCAGGGCAGTGCGCCCTCCCTGAGGGGCCACATATTCGCCATCTGCGCCTAGGGCGATTAGCCTAGCTATCATATGATCGTTCCCACCAATAGCAGCTGCTTGCAATGTCGTCAATCCTTCTCTATCGGCTGGTGGAGCATATATGTCCGCCCCTTTTGCCAATAAAAGCTCGAACATTGGATCATGCCCTTTGAGTGCAGCTGCTTGAATTGCTGTCAAGCCCCGGTCATGCGCTGGAGGTGCATTGATATCCGCACCGCGTTCCAACAGTAGTTCTGCAACCTTCAAGTTGCCCGTTTCCGCTGCAGCTTGGAGTGCTGTCCGGCCTTTGAACCTTTTTGGGGGAGCGTTTACTTTGGCACGAGCATCTAAGAGCATGCGGACTAGTTTTTCGTTCCCCAGACTGGCAGACATCTGGAGCGGTGTGTCGCTGAAAATGTGACCTTGTAGATCCAGATAAGCCCCATGATATAACACGAGCCATACCAGTTTAGTATTCTGATTTGCTATGGCGTATTGCAGCGCCGTAAGAGCACCATATTCTTCAACCTCAGTCTTGCGTGGTTCGTCCTCAAGCAATTTCTCGTGATAACCAACCGCCGGTCGACTATTCAGATACGCATGGCTCAGTAGTAGCTTGGCCATCTCCAGGTCATTGTTGGCGGCCGCGATTTGGATTGGGGTTCTGGCCGCTCTTTGCATCGCGAGGGCAACATCACAGTGTGGGTCCTGGAAGACCTTATCCAACAGAGGCCGGTACTTGGAGTTGCTTGGTGCGTCGATATCAGCAAGAGATTGAGAAGAAAGCAAAGCTTCGACTATGTCGCAATGTCCGTAAGCCGTTGCTGCCTGTAATGCACTTCCATGCTTGCTAGGGTCGTACAAGCTTTCCCTTGCCCCGTGCTCTAAAAGCAGTTGAACCGCTTCCAAAGAGCCTCTTTCGGCGGCAAGTATCAAATGGAAACCAGCCGTCTCGTCCTCAATGATATGGTCTGGATCCACGCCGGCTTCTAACAGAAGGCGGAGCATCTGGACATCTTCTTCTTTAGTGAATATATCCGGGGGATATTCGCTGATCTCCAGAGGGACTTCTTTTTTGCAAAGTAGCTCGACCAGCTTCGGATTCCGTGTGCAGAAAGCGAGGGTCATCAGGCCGTCATGAGATGTGATCTTAATACCACTTTCTATGATTTTCTGTGCTACTAGTATGTCTGCAGTATCGACAGCCCCGTATAAAATAAGCCTGCATAATATCCTCGCCGACGTGGTCTTCGACCTGCATACGGAGCCGAGCAAATCATGCGTCCAATCTGTTATAAAGGGTTGAAAGATATTGTAAAGCACTCGCCAGGACACTCGATTGTTGATGGCGAGGCAAAGTAAGGTGCCCATTCTTTCCAACGCTTGTTGTGTTGAATGGGTAATACTGGGATTTGCGCATAGGTTTATCTCCAAGGGACGAGCTTCAGGCCACATCCATAGTGACTTGTTGATTTCTTTATCAAAAATGTCGTCAGATTCATCCAATGCCAGAAAGTACTGTGGCACTTCTTCAACACGCGCCGAATGAATAATTTCAGTAACTAAAAAGTAAGAGTCAGCCGTCGGCGGCCTCTCGGTGATAAAAGAATACTGTAATCAACCTACCAAGGCGCAAGACCTCATCCCGCAACTGCAACAAAGGCAAGGGTCGGATGCCCGCTGTCTTTTCATACCTTCCAGCATCTCCGGCTGCGGGTGTAGCGACGGTGATACCTTCTGGCGTCGGCACCTCAAGGTTGGCGAGCGAGTCCGTAAAAGTCACGTTGCGAGCAATCTCCTTTGTAAGCTTTTTGAGGGACAACCGCTTCTCGTCAAGGAAGACGTCCGTAGCTTTTCCCTCTAGTGCACGACGTTTGATCTTTCTATCGACCCAGATATACATGTCGCGCGTCGCGTTTTTTCTCACCTTCCAATGCTTCAACTTCGCCCGATACTGGTTCTTACTAATGGCCGAGTTAGCAGTGTAAATAAGGAGTTGGGCTTATGCTGGACAATATTGCCGGTTGTGGCAGTCGGGGCCCAAGTACCTCGCCTCAAAGCCGTGTCTTTCCTTCATGAGAAACATCGTACCTTCCAACGTCGATCGAGGCTCGAGGTAGAGCGACACAATCCGCTGTTTGTGTTTTTCCCACTCCGATTCGGGGATTCTGGGCGCGTGCTTCACCATTCTGTTTGACGGTCCTGCTCAAGAGGCATGTACTGTTGGGAGAACATTGTTGACGAGGGAGAGAGCAGAGCAAAATCGATACTGGAAAGGCTGGCCAGCTCCAAAATAACATTCGGGCAGCGATGGAATGAGGATCAGGAAGGAAAGGGAGGGGCGCAGCCGGGTCGCACCTGCCACGCACTTGGACCCTGATCCTTGTCGCTCCCTCACACGATTGGTCAGTTCCAGAATTTGATTTCCCAACTCGAGCCCGTGAGGCTGCGATTCGGACTGCCTAGGATCGGCGGCCGCACGCAGGACTATTTGATTCGCCGAAACCAAAATGTGATTCCCCTCGGACAAACAGCTCTGTCCAGCGCAGCCCCGCGACCATTGCCACGGCGCCTCTTGGGAGCTCCTGGGCCACTCAGAAGGTTTCCCCGCCCCAAAGCCCCGTTTCCCCTTGCTAGTGAGAACACTGAGGACACCATGGTGGAGCTCGAAAGTCAGCCACTCCAAAATCATGAGCCCGATTTGCTGCGTCCAGAATGTGAAGGTCGCCATGGGATTTTCCCACGATCAGCCTGTCCAACTGGCCAATGCAGACCACAGCCTTATTCCGCCGTCATGATGGAGTCTTAGAGCAGGGCCCTGGACTCTTATTCGCTGATTCCAGAAGATCTTTTTTCCTCTTCTTCTCCATGTCGAATGTTCCACTCTCGCGCCAGAGTTAGATCAGGGTATCGCTGCCCGGTGCCACCGCACGCATGGCATCGCCATCACCCGCCATTAATGACTCTGAACAATGAGGAAACTTTACTGGTCCGTTCCAGAATGTGGTCTCATCCACTGACCGCCGTTTGCTACCTTTCCAAATCTGGCTGCGTCTCGGCTGTCCCTGTCCTTTCCATAAGTGGTCTTGTCCAATGACAAGGGCTCAGTCGTTCTCCCGCCTTCTCAATTCGGCTAGTTGGAGTTAACATGTTCATCCTGCGTGATCTTACTTGTGTCTATGCTCGCCCACGAATCTTAGTGGTCAGGTACGAAATGTTGCTCTCTCTTCAGTCACTGTGTTGAGTGAGATTGATCGCCCAAATGGAATTTGACCAAAAGACGACTTTCGAGCTGTGCCTTCTGGGATCATAACAGATCTTTCCCATCTACTCTGCACTGCGATATCTGGCTTATGCTCTCTTTGATCAGGATATAAAGTCTCCCGCGGCCCCCAACGAGGACGACTCTTTTTTTCTGGCCATCAACTCTCTCATATCGTTCTAGCGCAGATACATAGCATTTACAGTTTGCATATTCAAACCATGGTGCTGACAACCGAATCCATTATCGCGCTGGTTGCTCTTCTCGTCACCGGGCCCCCTTCCATAGTTCTTGCGTGGAGCTACTATAAACGCCGAGCGCGCAGGGCTGCTTTGTCGACTACATCGAGTCAGTCCCTCGTGATTTAAATCACCTTACACTAAGAATCGGCTAACATGACATGATGACACCAGGAACACTTTCCGATTCACCGCAGTCGTCTTCGCCAGTCCCTCAAAGCCTCGCATGGTCGCCTGCTCCACAACAGCCGGATCTGCTGCTCGAGCCGGGATTGTATACTAGAAGGACTCGGACAGATTTTGTAAGTGGTTTCAATCCCCCGCATTTATATATTCAAGCTAGATATGAAGCGGAACTGACAGTCCTAGCACTTATCGCAGGTGTACTTTTCTCTAGAACAGGTTCGCTAGACGCGCCTTGGCCTCGGCCTTGGAGTTTCACAGTTATGATATGGGGAAAACAGGCGCGGTTCCGGTTATTAGCGTAGGCTCTGAGATTTCGGACTTGTCATTATTTCTTGTCAGATGGTGTCATTAGCATTGCTAGCGGGGGATTAGAATCTCCTAGAGTCAGATTCTTCGAACAAAATGTAGTATATCATATTCTAGAGGTTTGGCTTTCCTGCGAAATGCCTTGAGAAGGATTTCGTCTAATTGAGACCTATTCAATGGCTTCTAGGCTGCGCAGAATAAGACGCTATCCCGATGTCCGTGAACCGAGTCTCAACGATGTGTTTGTTGCAGCGCCTCTCAACTATACGTCGGGATTGGCGGGACCTTTGGGCATCTTGATGACGCGAATCGAGGGCCTGATAGACGAGCTTCATGGCAATAGACGCAAGCTGGCCTGAATCCGGTCTTGCATTCCCGAGGTGTGGGATTCGGGGCCGAGTTCGCTTAGAACTAGGGCATTCAAAGAGTGGCCCCTTCACATCACAGCACAGAGAAGCGTGCCCGCAAGAGCTGGATAACAAGGATTAGCTCGAATACCAATTTATAGACTTACGCCGTTGATCTTCAGAAGGGAAGCTCACCTCCAACAACACTCGTTGTAACAGCAGCACCAACCCCATTCGCAAGCCCATTCACAATGTTTCCCGCGACTCGCTTCAACCGATCCCGATTGGATTTGGCATCGTCGATTTCCTGGCTCGCATTGTGGACAATCTCCTCGTGCGCATAGAATTCCTCCTCGTCGCCAGAAGACGACGACGATGTATACGTATCTTGCCGGATCTCGTGGATGGACTGCTTCAAATCCTCCAACTCTTCTTCCTTCTCGGCAATCTTTGCCTGAAAGGCCTTGTCCAGTTCGTTGATTTTCTGCATCCATGCTTGTCGTTCTTCGTCGTGGAGATCGCTCATCACTTTTCGGAGTGCCTTCTTCTCGCCCTTGGCTTTGGCGACTTTCTGGAGAATCTCGCTCTTTAAGTCTTGAAGCTGAGCAGTATGGCACTCGTCGGCCTTGGTGAGCTGTGTTCTCAGCTCTGTTTCCAGCTCCCGGAGCTGACGCTCGTGGTCTCTGCGGGCCCTATCCAGCTCACCTGCGATGGCTGTCCTTGTTACAAGCTCGCCCAGTGTCTTTCCCTTGTCGATGATCTCGCGCTGCATGCGAAGTGGTTTCTGTACACATGTCGGGGAGTCTGATTCCGCAACAAGATTCGCGACGATACGCCGTGCTGACAATATCTGGGCATTCAAGTTTTTTCGACCTGGTTTCATTATACCGGAAGATGGTAGCGCCTTTGTCAACAACCTCTCCCAACAATCGCTCATCCGTTATCGGCTCTACCTCGCACGTTTCCAACGTTGTCTGGCTATCGACGCGTAAGCACTGACCCCACGATGCAACATCTGATGTCGCCGATGATCTATCTGGCCACATTGTCGTCACAACAGCCATATTCTCGTACGAGGTCCATCCACAAATCATCCTCATCATCTCCATAGCCCGCATGCTGGACCCACTTATTCAATTATTCGTGATAGGATGGAGGAAGATTATGACGTTTATTTGTATCCCGTTGGCGTAGGACGCGCCGAGGTAGGAAGCGAGCACGGCGAGGGTCTCGATATCTGAGCGGTTCGTGTTGTTGAAGCCCGGTGTGTCGATTACGTGGATGCGGCGAGTGCGTAGGCGACCGTCGGGCTTTGAGGCTGGGAGGGGGTAGCTGTAGGTATCTATTGCGCTTGTGCCTTTCATCTTCTTGGTTAGTGGTCGCTTGTCATATTCGGATGTCGAGACGTACACGAGTATAATCCATGGCCAACAGTACCATCCTGCCCCGTACATCTCGCGATGAAAGTACTCTTCCCTCACCCAGTTTTGCCCATGACTAGGAAGAACCTGTCTTCGGCACTAGACTTTGTTTGGACCAGCAATTGCCGAGAAGTGTAACGCTTGGTCCACGAGTTGTTTTGCAGAGAGATTCAGGACGTCCATCGTGAGGGGTACCGCGAGTCCGTGCGCCAAGTGGAAAATGAGGAGCTGTGATCTAATAAGCAGACGGTTTAGCGAGGTCGCGGCGCCTGAGAGCTGGATGCTTGGAGGCTGGTGTCGCGGTACGAGGTCCAGCGACGCAACATGAAAAGCAACGACAGGCAGGCTGCAGCGTGCTGATATCAGGGACTAAAACGCCATCAAGCTCTGACAAATGAGCCCCGCTCAAGACAGAAAAAGAACGGAATCTGCCTCTGCCTGGCAGTGCACGCAGACTCGGCCAGCCTTTCGCTCGTCTTGGCGGCGCATCCGGAGGTGGCGAGGCAGCAGTTTGCGCCGCCATGATTTGCGAGTCCCAATGAGGGCATCGATCCTTCGCACGTATTACCCCAATTCCGGAAGCATTGCCCCTCAGCCGAGAAGAGTGATTGTTACGAAGTAAATAGTGGCCGTTTGCCTCCGAGTCGTCGATGGTCGCGGTTCAGGCGACGGCTGCCTTGGATTTCTATACGATAAGAGTATTCACGGCATGTTATTTCGGAGACTTGGGGATGTCTTTGCTTAGTACGTATTGTCCATGTACTGGGAATTGATCGAAGCTCATCTGGAAAGATGGCTCAACGTATAGCTTGCCCGGCCGCAGCGCGTCGAGGACGCCTGATGTGAGCGATCAGAGTGATTAGAAGGATAAAGACTTTCGAGGTGGACGCGAGGCGGGCAAATTTTGACTGGTGACAGTGAAAGCCAGCCAACTAACACAGCGAATGATAGCCCAAATGACGTCTTTATCGCTGTTATGGGCGTGACAGGGTCGGGAAAAAGTTTGTTCATCTCGCGATGTTCGGGGAAGGTGGTGTAAGGTCGGACATCAGCTGGAAGCATGTGAGTCGTGCGTTTCTTCCTAAGGACTTGGGAAGGATTGATGACAATGCAGGCACCACCCACGTCGACGTCTGGCATACGAAGCCTCGCCTGCTAAAGCTATTTACCTCATTGACACTCCCGGCTTCGACGACGCGAACAGAAGCGACACGGAATTGCTAAATGATGGCTCGATGGCTGGTTGCTTCATACAAGGGAAGGATTCTGCTGAATGGCATTATTTATCTGCATCGCAGCACCGAAGTTCGCATGTAGGGGTCAGCGAGGAAGAACCTCATTATTTTCAGACAGCTCTGAGGCAAGAATGCGCTCAAGAGGGTTGTGCTGGTCACGATCATGTGGGATAAAGTGCCCGAGGACGAGGCGGCGCAACGAGAGCGAGAACTGATCGATACACCCAAGTTCTGGGGGTAGATGCTCGGCAAGGGAAGCTCTTGCCAGCGACATTACAACACCGAAGATTCCGCACGGGTCATTGTGAGTGAGATCGCCGGACACAGGGTGCGGTGCCCGTTACCACCGACCTGCAGAAGCAAATGGTGGACGAGAAAAACGAGCTCGGCGAAACATCTGCAAACAGGAACTGCAGAGCAAGATGAACAAGGAGAAAGCTAAGTGGGCTCAAGAGAGGCGCGAGATTGGGGAAGAGTTGAAGCTGGCCATTGAGCAGCGGGACGATGAGGCTGAGGAGATGATGGGCGAGGGCCGCGATCGGTACACCAAAATAATTCAGAGAGTGAAAAACGATACAGAGGCCCTGATGGCAACCATGGACAAGTCGTTGGCCGAGAGAGATGATCATGTGGCAGAAATGGAGATGATGCTGAGACGACAGAAACTTGAGCACAATGAACAGCTGGCGGCCATCCGCGAGCGACAGTCAGCTCGAGAAGGAAAACGCAGAGTTACTTGCACGCCAGCGACAAAACAGACTACCCAGGGGTAGGTTGCCACAGGGAAAAACTGTCTGGGGGATTTGCTCTAGCCTTGCCATTCGAGACGGCGAATTTGTATGCATCGATCCCATCCACACTTCAAGGTATGCGGCCCTATGCCTAATGATGTCCATATACTAAGCAATATACAGGAGCTTGGAATATTGAAAAAAGATGGAAGCGGGCTTTCCCATCAAGCCTGTCAGTTTGGGCGATTTCAGCGACGCCATCGGTCGCTTTGACTGGACCTGGACTGCGCATTACCCACGGGCTGGAGCGCGCTACCCAGATTCTGAACGGTGTGAGTCTGTAATGACTCCCCGGTCAATGACAGAGGCTAAATCTTATATGACAGGTCGACAGCCCCAGCTTTTCTCTGTGTATCCCGAGTTGGAATCCGCTTAGACGAACGTGGGACGGTGAATCTGGGAATGTGTACTCTGGGGACCAAGGGAACATAAGGTACTACGCGAGATTAAAAAGCGGCCATTGGGAGGCCAATGTGCCAGAAGAGATCAACAAGGCGTTGCAGGCTGCGATTCGGGCGGCGGTAAGGCCATTCTTCGCATATATATGGTCCAGGCTGATCGGTTACTCCTACGGTTCCTCTGCCCTAGGCAGGAGTCCGTCTACAGTTGAATGCTGCCGGCAAACCAACTCTATTCTTAGAACACTTGCAATAGCCTTGATCGACGTGAGGGTGTGACGGGGCTGGTGGCACAGGACTGCGCCAGGGCCATCCCTTTGCTAAAGCGGTCGAATCAGCGCCATCCGGGTCATTCCGAATCAACGTGGTTGGTCTGCTTGCTGGCATAAAGAGGGGGACTCCTCGCTTGCACGGAGGACTCGGAAGGAGGCGCACTGGGCCCTAGAGTGTGCCGTACTGTGGGTTAGGTTGCCCACGATGACATCGATGGGCCCTGTTACGACAATCGACTCCATTAATTCTCCCCCGCTGAGGAACAACTTTGACACATTGCCTTTGTATGGGGACAGTTGCTTCCACTGCTTCACTATCCCATCTCTAACATCCAGAAGAATCAACCCAACCTCATGAGAATATCGTGCTCTATAGCCAGCTACCCCTCCAGAGAAGAGACCCCTCTCTTGAACAGCTCATAACGTGGCACTGCGACAGACTGTGTAACCAAACTCGTGGCCCGGACTAACGACCTCGCTTGTTCTCCTGATCGCAATGGTTCACAGGTTGCAGTCCAAATTGTGACTACCGAATCAGCCCCGGGCAAGGCGTCTCCCCTCCATTCCATGCCGTTCGTTACACGGGCAGTTCCGAACCACGATGTCAGACCAAGGAGCCTCAACATTGCCATTATAAGGAGCTTAAGCCCCTCGCTAAAGGGGCGTTGACCGCTCTTCACTCAAACCATTGTCTCTCTCCACTATCGAGCATTGGTACTATATCATGGCCGATAAACCACCCACTTACTCGGATCAACCCCTCCTTCACGCTATCATAATCCTCTTCATTACCGTCAGCACGATTACCTTTCTCCTCCGCCTGGCCTCGCTCAGAATTGGCCGTGAGAAATGGCAGCTAGGTGATACGCTCGCTTTGCTCGGTTGGCTCACGTTCAACGCCTTTATGGGACTTACGCTCGGTATGACCGCACCTTGACTTCCACCCCAACCAGTCCCTCCACCTCCACCATCCATACAGCTCTAACAACTTTAGCGGACATTGAATACGGTGGCGTCGGCCTGCGCCAAGCCTCACTCCCTTCCTCGACCCTCCGCACCTGGGCTAAATTCCTCCTACCCAGCTCCCTCCTCTACACCTACGCCGTTACCTTCCCCAAGCTCACCATCGTGGCCTTTTACCTATCCTCCTTCTCCAACCACCCCGCCTCCAAAATAATCTGCTACGTCACAGCAGTCACGCTCTGCCTAAATATAATAGCGAACACCGCGGCGGGGCTCGCCATCTGTCGTCCTCTGCATGCGCTCTGGGACGGCGGGATAGCAGACCATTGCTTCAATATCAGTGCGTGGTTGCGGTATGGGAGGGTTGTAAATGTTGTTTCTGGTGTTGTTCTGTTGGTTCTGCCTGTGCCGCATGTTTTCAGGTTGAACTTGGCGCTCGGCGTCAAGGTTGCGGCGGTGGTTCTGTTTCTGATGGGGAGTTTGTATGCCTCTCCTTTTTCATCATATCTTCTTCGTTACTTTCCCACTTCGACGGTTGCCTTGAATACTAATGAGAACAGCGGCCTTGTCGCAAGCATACTCGGCCTTATCCATATCCCAACAACAGATGCCGCAGCCGACCCCACCTACTCCGCCGCGCTGGCCTTCCTATGGTCAACAGTGGAAATCGGAATGTACCATCTCACCGCATGTATGATCGCGTACCAACCGCTGGGCAAGTGGATCATGTCCAAAATCCGAGCCGAGCTGGATGATGTTGAGCGGAAGGAACCGAACTTCGTCCCGAGGAGGCGCGTCGATATCTATCATCCTGTTCGGGATTATGGGGACGGTGAGATGGCGTTTGTTCATGAGATCGGATCGGCGTATTCGGTGGGTGAGATGGGTGTTATCAGGATAGGGAGGAGGGTGTATGTGGAACCTGTTGAGTGGATTTGACTTGGGATTTGTTTGGATTATAGAGTGCGTCCTGGCGTCTTGTTTGGTCTGATGGGTTTTGGTCTCCTTTGTTAATTGTTAGTTGTTTTGAGTTCCATCTTACCTATGATTCATGGTTGACGACCTAATAAAGAAGAATGCAATCACAATGCCAGATACAATGAATGTCCTCAACAATCCGTACAAAGTGGCTAATGCTATATAAACTCCCCCGGCCATCGTCTCAAATCAATCACTCAACCAGTCAGTGTATCTCGCCCCATCGACTCACTACGCAAGCTTAACCACATCCAAGTTCCAAATATCACTATCTACCAACCCCAACACCACCAAAATGCCCACAAAACTCAACCTCTGCATCGGCTTCTCTGCCCCGGAACGCAATCTTTACCAGAACTGGGTCTTGATTCTCTCCACGGGCACCCCTTCCACCACCAGCAACAACAGCATCCTCTCAACCCCACTCGAAAGCACATACTACTACACCCTCAACAGCCAGGACACACACGGTAACCGCCTCGCCCCCAACAGCGCGTTCCAATTCCGGCGCTTCGTCACAACAGCAACCTCCTTCCCCGCATGGCCAATCAACAAGATGGAAAAAGTCTGCAGCATCGACGCACACCACAAGAAATACGTCGACAAAGCGGCAAGCGAGGGTCCGACGCAGAACTCGCAGCTATATATCGCGCTGATTCTGGAGCGGCTGGGGAATTATGGCGTTATCCCGGGGCATGTTGCGGATCGGTGGGGGGAGAGGGTTGATCAGAGGCTTTTGGCGCTCGCGGAGATGGCATCGCTTCGCGGGGATGGGACGCTGGGGTTGACGGATGAGGAGAGAGAGAGGAGGTGGAAGGAGTATAATGATAATCGCGGGGTGGTGTGTCGGTGGACGTTTGCGTATTTGGTTAAGAGGTGGTGGTGGGTTGCTTGAGTAACTCTCGTTTGTGCTTTCTGTCTCTGTTTTCTTAATAATGGGCTAGCAGAAGAAATTCTAAGGATAAAAAAAATCCATATCTCAACAAATCTCATTCTATAATACTGTAGGTGCACTTTCCTGTCCACATAATCGAGCCTTGAGCCTCTATTATCTCCGACCTCCTGTCAATTGCCAGATTACGCCATACCATGTCGTAGTTATCTTGTCGGATGTGAAAATTTCCTGCGGCGAATAGGTCAATTTTTTCTAGATGGTGAGGCTTAATAGTCTTTTTTAAGCTGTTCTTTGCAAGAAAACTGCACAATCAATACATATAAAGAACATTATATTCTCCTTCTCCTGCACAAAGGCAACAATAAAACCACCAGACAACCCTCCTCAAAGAAGCCCTCGCTATATAAGTATACAAGTCCTTCCATAAACACAAACATAAACCCCCTCTCCAACCATAGCCATGCTCCCCCCAACCCTCGATCTCGTCCTCGGCAAATCCGCGTACCGCGACCCCCAACCCCAGAACTGGGTTCTTATCCTCTTCCCCTCGACCACCCTCTCCGCTGACACCCCAACCCCAAACACATACTACTACATCCAAGGCGGTCCGCACCAAGACCCACCTACGGAATTCGAGGCCTCCGTTGATGTCGACACGCAGTTTTATGCGTGGACGATTGCGAGAATGGAGAAGATTTGTAGTATTGATGTTAGGGATAAGGAGAGGGTTGATGCGGTTGTGAGCGGGGTTGAGGCTAAGAGTTCGCAGGTTTATGTTGTTGAGATACTCAGGGAGTTAGAGGGGGTTCATTTGGTTCCTGATGGGACGGCGGCGGACTGGGCGAGGAGGGTTGATAAGAGGTTGTGGGGTTAGTGTAGCCTGGGAGGTATCTCTCTTAGGGCTTCTAGAGGCAGGGTATGTCTTGTCAAAATTGGAAAATATCAATATGGATTTAACTTGATAAAGAGTGTTCTTTTCCAGCCTTATTCACGGCAGTGACTTGAGGGAATAACCTAGTAGAAAATCACAATTAATCCTAACTTACTTCATGATTGAATGCATAGAATTAAGCTGTGTAAATTGCTTCCTTTCCAGTCTCCAGCTATAGCTATTTGGACGTTACAGCATACCAGGCCATCATCTGTTGTCAGTGACGAGAAGCGCTTTAGACTGGAGTGTCCCGTTCCTTTGTCTCGTACTGTTTGTGTACCCCAAACCAACAAACATGATAATAAAGAAATCGGAAACACCATAAGCTGTCAACATAGCAAGCAAACAAAGCCCAAAAACAATGAACTGACCTCTTTGTAGAAGAACGCCTTCGCATATAACAGCTCAAAGCCCCTGGCGGCTCAATCTCGATCATCAGTTCGAAAAGATATACACATCTTTCTACCTACATACACATATATACTATACCAACAACAAGAACAGCAACAACAACAACAAAATGGTCTGCGCACCAACCTTATACGACCTCTACATCTCCACCCTCCCACCCACCTCCAACGCGCGCCGCGAAGCACAAGCCCACATCCTCTTCCTCACGCCCACCTACCCGCTCCCCTCCCACGAATCCGCCGTGACAATCTACTACACGAAGCGCAATCTCCGCAGGGAGGAGAACGCGTGCCCCAAGCGGTACGAATCATGCATTGAGACACAGCATGAACCGGGTTTCCTGAGTGGGCCGCGCTCGACGAAGATTACCACCATTACGCTGGAGGAGAAGAAGGTGCTTAATCAGATTGTGATGGCTGTTGAGCCGTGTGAGTCGAGGCATTGGGTTGGGAGTGTGCTGGAGGAGTTGGAGATTGAGGGCATTATAGCTGATGGGATTGCGGCCATGGCTGTGCGCTGGATGGAGAGGAGTGGAGTTTGAGAATCTGATCTATGGGGTTATCTCAGGGCGTCCATGTGCACTTGACAGTTATATGAAACGGCCCTTATCCCGGTATTTGTATTTATAATGCACTGCACTCACATGGAAGTTATTTCTGTCTGGCTTCATATATGGCACTGCTATACTACAATATAACCTATACCATCTACTTATCAACTTGAACACGCTGTTGACACTGTTGAATGAAGTAGCTAATAGAGAGCTCTTTAGGTCCATTAAATGGGTAACTCAAATTCAAAAGTGGCCATTCGCCCGGCTGTCTTCTTCCATCCTGTTCCATCCTCAAACCCTCGACGTAGTCGCTGTAACCCCTCCTTGAACTTCAGGATACGAATCCGCGTGTGCCGGAGAACCAGTGAAAGTCTGTGGAGCAGGAGAGCTCTCAAGGGTACACAGTTCATATAGTGACTACAAACCCGTCACAACTGCCATTGTAGTGCCCTTAGATACTCTTTAATCATTCCTATAACGCTACTCCTAGAATACATAGTCTTCAAGGGCATTCAAACGAGTTGATCGGGCAACCGAACGATTCAAGCCACTTGAACGAGCAATTCCACGCAGAGCTCAGAGGTTCAGGCCCGATATAATCTGATCAGGTGCCCCATCGGTAATCCTAATCGTTACAAGCGTATCACCCCCGAAGAAAAATGCTTCGCCGTCTTTCTCAGGAAAGTTCATGAGGGCGTCAGCGCAATCAAACATAGTCCCCGGAAGGCCAGGCCATGCGTGAATCAGGCTATCAGGCCCAGCAGTGACCCGATCGATTGTCCTTCATATGGGACATTGACATACGTTGTTCCGCGGAATATCCAGACCTCGTGCTTCTTCGCGGGCACATTCATCGCAGCATAAATTCCGTCGAATCAATCCCACACTTGCCAGACGTTTCATCTTCTCACTGATCTTCCAAGGCCCGCTACCAATAATCGCATCTTGGTCGAAAGTGTAACGACTGATCGGCTTCCGTAGAAGATATAGGCCTCGTACTTGGTTTCTCGAATGGGCAGCCAGGCGTCGACGGTTGGGAATCCGTGCTTGGGGAGTCGAGCCTGATTGCGGAGTCGATGACCATTATCGTCGCTGGGAGGATGGTTTCTTTTTTTTTCCCTTTTTTCTTCCCCAAGGCTTATCTAAGATACAAAGACTGTTCTCCCATGATATTTCAATAAGGGCAGTCAGGGTGTCCGTGGGTTAAGAGAGTTATCAAAGCCAACTGTAGATGGGATTATCGTAAAATAGATTATATAACATATGAATCTTGCCTAATCATGACGTGGATCGTCTTCTTCTATACACGTTGTACTGTCAGAAGACTTTGACCAATTCAATAAGGGTATACTCGACTTGACCTATCGCCGTAACGATGAAGCTGCTGAGAAAGATGATGCTTTTGGTGTCGAAGAGGTTCGGTGATGATCAAGAGGTTGTATGTTATCTACTCGCAAGCCCAGGGCCCCTTCTCTAACAGGAGTGTTGTGCCATGGCAGAAACACAGAAAAGGGTCTGGTCCAGGGACCCCACGTTCCGGAAAATCCACGGCCTAGCAGGGTTGAGCCGCCATATATCCCGGATTAGGGCATCTGGAGGCCAAATACAGTCTAGAAGAAAGGAGTGCTCGACGCGCCCGTTTTGTCCCGAGGGCATAATATGGTGGCGTCACCACATTGTAGGAGTGAGGTATGGGAGGGAATCGAAGAAGTATGTTCGGCCTCTTCGCCTTTTCGTGTATTTTAGTGGCATCAGGACACTGTCGCTATGCATAGCGGCAAGACTATCGCAAGACTACCGCGCAACCAAAGCGGCATAGGAAACTTATCAAGGAGGCGGATTTGAGGGGTCTACAGATATACATTGCTCGATGAGAAGAACCGATAGTGAAATGGTAAAGAGTCTTTATGAAAAAATATGGACATCGCTAAAAGCAAATCTAACTGTACATGAATGCATCGTGACTGATATGGTATCAATTTTCCCCCAAGAAACTGTCGTCGGAGACTGCAATCTACAGCTTCTCCTTGGCAGCCTTGTTGAAACGCTCAAACGAGGAAACGGGAGGCGCCGAGTTGGGGTTGGGGTGGTGCTTCTTCAGCGCCATGGTGACGTTGTACTCGAGATCCAGCTGAGCCTTGGGGTCGTCGGTCTTGGGCTTGAAGTCCACAACGAGATCATCCTTGACGGCAAAGACGGAGTCGATGTCGAGATGCGGGTCGTCGGAGGGGTAGATCTGGTTGATGACGGTCGCGTAGTCGGGGTGTGTGATCATGAGATGGATATGTGCGGGCCGCATGGGCGAGCGGTCCATGATGTTCAGCAGGACGCCAGCGGGTCCATCGGTGGGCAACGAATAGGGGGTCGGGTGGTAGCAGTACCAGTAGAACTCGCCCTTTTCGTTTGAGCGGAACTTGCCGCGGAGGTTGTTCTCGCTCTGGTTGGGGTCCTGGAAGTCGTACTGGCCGTTTGCGGAGGCCTGCCAGATGTCGAGGACGGCTCCCTCGATGGGGGCGCCGGTCTCCATGTCCTTGAGGACACCGTGCATGTATGTGACTTTGCCGTTGGGGTTGGGGTCTTGGATGATGGAGTCGCCGAGGGCGCGGAAGGGAGCGTTGGGCGACCAGAAGGGGCCGAGGATGACGTTGGAGGTGGGGGAGAGGCCTTGTTCGGTGACGATGCGGTTGGCAATTTCGTCGACGAGGCTGTTTTCGATGTTGTTAGTTTGTGATCGAAAAGGCGATAAAATTGGGAAACTCACGATTCCAGACCGATCACGTCGCAAATGCGGTGGCCCTCGTTACGGATGGGAGTGCTGATCTTGCCGATCGAGTTGATAAACTCGACACCGAGCATCCACTCGGCGGGGGTCAGCTCGACCTCGCGAGCAAAGTCGTGAATGTGCTTGATCAACGAGCCGAGAACAACGCGGGCGCGCTCAGGCGTCTTGGGGCCCATGGCGTTGATCACATAGGGCGTGAAGTTGGGGTCGAAGCGGGCGTTGGTAGACATGGTGGAGGTATGATCGACGGAAGTCTGTGTGATCGGAGGGAATAAGAGTTGGAGAATGAAGAAGCAAAAAGCATGCTGCGGGCGAGGTGAGTCTTATATCCATGAAGCGACGGTGACGGCAGATGAATCGGCTACCCGTGGATGAGGGGGAGGAGGTCCCAAAAAGTTGAGCAATACCGGTGCCACATGCCGACCGGTTGGAGAACCATCTCCCTCAACTCGCGGCTGTCAAGCCTGATCCGCGCACAGTACTCCGAGGACGTGCGCTGACTGGCCAACCAGCTACCGGACGATCGTTATCAAGATCCATCTGCAGGGGACTGCAAACGTCCCAATGCACTGCAATGTGCGACTTGCGAGTGATGGCGCTGGTGAGGGGAGAGCGGATCTGACTTTACCCGCGGGTTAAAGTTTCTGTCGCTAACTAGAGCATATCAGGACTAGCGCGCTTTCCCCGGGATTTGCCCCAGGCCGGACTCCGGATCCCCAGCAAGATCCAAATGTTATTGGCCAATGGTCATACGATTCGCGCTCTCGTTCGGCTGCGGCAAAGTCAGCGCCTTTCGGTGGACTTTTATTGATACGCGACTCCCCTCCACTGCCGGAGCACGTGATTCCCGCCCCAATCGCGCCACCACACCGGCGCCGAGTTCAGTCAGGTACCAGAATCAGGGAGATGAAATTATCCAGCTGCAACGGGTTTGGAGATTAGAGTGTCTCGCTTTGAGGCAGATCACGGAGCTTTCTTGGGCAGCACGAAAAGTTAGCGTTGAACAATTACTCCTTACTGTGTTGAGATTTCACACATGACCACCAATATATATTATGAGATAATCTAATTCTCTGTAAATACCGTGGAATATTAGGTATGCGCTGCATGATTTCTCCAGGGTACCAGCAATCCCAAATGTTCAGATCCATACATTTATCCTCACTTAACTCGGATTCAGAGGGTACGTCAAAAATCAAGGCCTCTATCGTTCATTTCAAGCAACTCCAAGTATACTCCAGAATAAATCAAAGGATTAGCAAAAGGCACACACACCATCAAAATAAGTAGGAGAAAGCGCCTCGGCCAGCAACGTTCCACCTGCAATTCACGCGCCTCAAAACATCTTCATTGTACCACCAGTATGCAGTCCCCGCATTTACCCAAGAAGCGTCGCAGGGTGTCCGCAGACATCATTGGTCACCAAAGCAGCTGCGGAGACGTTCTCGGCCGTCGCAAGTGGGACATGGATCGTGCTGGTGGGTTTCTGGATCAAGGATAGAGTGCGGGTACCTAGAGATGTACTAGTTGCCTGGTGTGACGAGTGCGCTGAAGGAGATTGTTCGCGTAACGGCTACGTCGAGTCGTCAGACTAGGTGTTGGTTGTGGAAGACCTCGATGAAGGAATAGATTTCCCCTTATATACGGGTGAAGCTGTCCCCTTGGGTCATAGTAGAGCGGGTAGTTGGTGGCGATGCGGTGTTGCAGTAATACATGAGACGACCGAGAATATGCGATGCCTGAGCGACACGCGCAAAAGGCGGGGGTTCTTTACCACTGACTCGGGTGTCGATATCAGGATCCTCGGTGCTTAGTGGGCGATACTCATCACTTCAAGCAGCAAATCTACGAAGCATCAGCATCTCGTACTAATCTCTCGATGTGAGTCTCCGACCGGTCAAGTTTCGCAATTGCACACCAGAATCAGAGTCTCTCTTCCCCGTCAACCCAAGAGGGAGACGTGGCAGCGAGTTGCGGAGCAAGTTTATTGTGCATTCCTAGAGCAAACGCCTTGTCTGGCACATGGCTGACTGCCATGAACCCTGCGGGGAAGATCCCGTGGCCAATCTCATAGAGCAGGAGGGGGAGCTGGCCTGAAGCGCGCGTAGGCTTATCACGCCTTGCGACTCGACTTCGAGCTATACTCTGGTGCAAGGCTGTACAGCTTCGAGGGGTCGCAAATCTTCTTGGACCGGTACCTCTCGGACTAACTTTATGCAATCCAACAGCAACGCAACGTCTGCTTTCGCGGATACATAAAATTGTGAGGCGTTGAATAGGCTGCTCCGACCTCATTTTGCAGGTAGAGGGTAGATGTATGGAAACAGACTGCTACTATTCCCTCAACATCTGCTCGGCCGTCAAGCGCCTCGGAGATCTCATTGGGAAGAGAACCCAGGCATTAAGTTGGGTCCATCCAGAGCCGGAATCCGTTGTGAGGCTCAAACTGTCAAATAGAGAGATATGTTTCTTGAAGCGATGGAATTTCCGGTGGCGTTCGTATCGGACCCCGGAGGTGATGGATACTATGGTATTCCAGCTCACCTATGGGGCTGCGGATAGCTAAATCTCGCTTTCCGAAGCTGACGGCTGAACACGAACTATCCTAGAGCTCAACGCCAGCATAGATTTTGATATCTAGACTCAGGTGTATTGGTTGGGCCGCTGGGCTCACCGAGTTCACCTGGTCGATGTGCGGGAATGGAATTAAGCTGCTAACTCCGATGGCTTACATTTGGTCTATGATATAAAGTCACTCGAAAAGAACGAACCATGCTAAAGACACTGACCGATTTTGAAACCATTCTACATCAAAACACCATGTCCAGAGTGTGGTTCATCACGGGCTCTTCACGCGGCCTCGGCCTGGCCATCACCGAAGCAGCCCTCGCCGCCGGCGACCGCGTCATCGCAACAGCCCGGAACCCCTCAACACTCGATGCCCTCGTCTCCCAATACGGTAGCGACAGGATCCTCCCACTTACACTCGACGTCAGCGACAACGCGCAAGTCCTCGCAGCCGTAAAAGCCGGCCACGAGAAATTCGCCCGCATCGACGTCGTAGTCAACAACGCGGGCTACGCAAACACCGTCTCGGTCGAAGACATCGACATTGACGATTTCCGCGCGCAGGTCGAGACGAATTACCTCGGTGTAGTCTACGTCACCAAAGCCGTCGTCCCGATCCTCCGCGCGCAGAAATCCGGGTATATCTTCCAGGTGTCTTCTCTCGGAGGCCGAATCGGGGTTCCGGGGCTTTCGGCGTATCAGAGCGCGAAGTGGGCTGTTGGTGGGTTCTCGACTGTGCTTGCGCAGGAGATTGCTCCCTTTGGGATCAAGGTTACAGTCTTGGAGCCCGGTGGTATTCGCACGGAGTGGGCGGGGTCGTCGATGAATATCCCAACGCCCAGCGAGCCGTATAAGCGGACTGTCGGGGCGTTTAGCGAGTTTCTGCGCGGCACGGTGTACGGGTCGGAGCCGTCGCTTCCCGAGAAGATTGCAGAGATTATATTCAAACTTCTTGGGGAGGAGGAGCCGCCGTTGAGGCTGCTTGTTGGGCCTGATGCGGTGGACTATGCGGAGAAGGCGGCGCAGGGCCTTGCGGAGAATGATGCCAAGTGGAGGGAGCTGAGTATTTCTTCGGCGTAGATGACTGCTAGCAATATACAGATTATTCAGACCTTGTATCTACCTTGTTACTTCAAGGAGCCATGTCGGCTCCTTGGCGAGATTTCTTTTGTGTCCTGCCCGGTTTCTTTCGACGATGATCTGCTTGCTCGGAATATATTATACCGAGAGCACTGTCGTCATTCTAATTTCAGCCCATCTTGCATACTGTACAACTCATCGAAACCCCTCAGATGATCTTGTCAAGTTCATCAATTTCGCCCTCCGTCGCTGTCTGCCAATCCGGACCCCTATATTTGTCTTCGCTTCAAGTGTTTGCTGTTTCTTAAGCAGAAAGAGGGAATCCACGTGCGGGGAACTTTATTCCCCTAATCTCAGTTCCGATCGTCGGATAAAGTATGTGGTTGCTTTTCTGCAGAAGCGTAGGTAGGTAGTACCGATGGATTCCTCAAGACAGTCAACAATAAGCAGCCGAAACTCCTTGCGAGCGGCCTAGGGCCCTGGGACAATCATGGCACCTCAAGAACATGCTTTTCAGCTGCAAGATGACTAAGTGAAGCGAAGGCCGAGAATCAATCGAAATACAGTATTTCAGAATCCGAATCCAATCGATCCTTTGCCACGCAGAGAGGAGACGTTGGCTCCCATCATTCGCCGAACGATATATCTTGGCCATTCTCTTTTGCATGCACATGAGTAAGACAGGCCGCTTGTCACGATTTGTTAGTCCCCAGTAGCAATGCTAATTTACTCGGAGATGATATGAATACAAAATCCCCTGGCCTCGTGATCCTTTGCACAATTTGCCCTAGGCTAAGCCAGACTCATCGGCGACTAGGCTCGGGCCCCAAACTATACCAGGACTGGTTTAAAGCCACTGTAGTGTCGTTGCAGAGATGTGGATTCCGTAGTCATGGGCGTCTGGACTTGGGGGACTGGAGACGAACTCATAGAGCCTTGATATACGTTGTAGGTGAGATTCTCCATCAATTGCGGGGGTTTCGAACATTTTATTCCATGATCTGCATAGATCTGCACTGAGCCCATGTGTTCTCGGGACGTTGAAGACCGAAGCGCAAAGGCCCTAGCACCCTCAAAGGATAGAGTCTGGGGACATTTAGCCCAGGCGCATCCCAAAGCATACCCCATGCACGGAGCTCACTCCATGAGGCCTCGATCATCACGCCCAAGACCCTGACTCAGGCCTCCTTAGTAATGGCAAGCCCTACCCCTGACGCAACAATCTGCAGAACTCGGCGCGATATTACCACGAACCCTGAAAACTCGACATCCCTGCCAAGGCCATCAATGCGGAACAACACACCAGGAAGAGTAATTTCCCGGGTTCAGACGTTTCGGCTAAATCAAGGGTCTCTTCCTTGCACGGTTATTGGAGGCGTTTTTGCGGCCGCGCTGCGCTGATCGCCCATCGTGCCAAGTTCGCCCCGTTTCAGGTCCCGCCGGCGCGACGTCTCAGCAAGTGCTTGGCGTGTGGGATAGACTGGTTAAGCTTGGTATACGCGGGTTATAAATTGAGCGTGTTCTGCCGGGGAGGCTATGAAGGGGCAAACACTTTCTTTTCGTTTCTTTTTCGTACTTTGTTCTGTCTTGTCCTGGCGACATGCTCCCCCCACGCTCATTCCTCGCAGGCGCAACGGCAGTGCTGGCACTCGCCTCGAGCGCCCATGCAAAGTGCGGCTCCAGCTCCAGCTCCAGCACTAGCACCGCACCTGCAATCCCAACAAGCACTCCAACCTCGACAACCCTCGTCCAACAACCCACCTACACTCCACCCGCCTCTGCACAAGTCAAAGCCGCCGAAGGCTGCGGCGCCGGAACCCCCGACGCAACCGTAACAGGCTCCGGAGGCTCCTACGTCGCAGCAATCGGCTCGAGCGAAGTCTACTCGGGCTCGGACTACTACGCCGCCATCACGACGGCCCTCGAGGGACTCTCCTCAGGCCAACGTCTGTCCGTGATCGCCTCGGGCTCCATCGGCGACGGGATCGTCCACATCAACAGCGGAATTACCTTTGAAGGGTGCGGAACAATCGACGTCGGATACGCCGCGGGCCACGGGGCCATCGAGTCGCTGAACACTGAGAACGCAGCGATCCCGTACCTGACGCTGACCGGGGCGCCGTACTTCGGGCTGCGGTTCTACGGCGTGACGGGTCTTTCCCTGGGGCAGATTACGATGAATCTGAGCGGCGGACTGGGAATCCGCTTCGAGCGCGACGAGGCGGCGAATCGCGATGTCTCGATGGATGTCATCAGCGTTACGGGCGCGGGCAGCCACGCCGTCGAGACGTGGAATATCGACGGGCTGACGATCAACTCGGTTATTGCGCGGGATGTCGGCGAGTGCGGGCTGCTCCTGCAGACGACAACGAATGCGCATGTGGGCACCGTCGACGGGGACAATGTCGCCGCTGGGACCGGGTACGCGACGTTCCGGATGGCGAACCGGAACGGACGCCTGGCTGACGGGAGCTACGAGGCGAATGTCATTGTCGAGAATGTGATCTCGCGCGGTGGAGGCCGCGGAATCTTCTGTGTGTCTGAATCTGGGGGCGTCGAGATTCAGAATATTGATCTCTCGGATAACGAGAATAATGCGATTCTTATTGAGAACTGCTATGGGGTTTCGATCCTTGGTGGGACGGTGAATGGGGGTGGCGAGGTGCGCATCTCGGCCAGGGATGAGTTTGAGAATACGCGCGATGTTTCGATCAGTCTCGAGGTCAACGATAACAGTGCGAGGGAGAGTCCGTGTGGCGAGAATATTACCTGGGATATCTCGGGGAATGCCTCGTTGGATGTTTGCTAGACTCTCTAGGGTCTTGTCTTTCCTTGTGCTTGTGGTGCCTCGTTGGATACTTGTATATAACTATCAAAACTACTGTCCTACCTCGATCGAAGCAACAGACACTCAAAGATCCAAGGCAGCAGCCTCAGTGCCTTTAGTGAGAGGAGGCCAGCCTTTAGCCTTGGTGCTCCGAACAAACGTGTAGCAAAGGGCAAGGACACTCGCCCGACGGGACGGGTGTTGTTTATCCAGATTGTTTATCCAGAAAGTCACGTTCTATAGAGGCGTCTTGGCCGTCATAAATGATCCGGCAGATTCAGAAGCCCAATAATAGATGGCTTACCTGCTCAGCACTGGGTCTAGGAGTACTTGCTCTAACTGCTCGCATCCTGTCTAGATCATCGAACGAGCAAACAAGCCTACCTATCCCAAACCAATTACTCTAGAACAATACCAACGACCACTGGCATCCCATCCTCGTCATAGTGTAATCCGCCATACTTGTATTTTGTCCTGCATCCGTCACGCCCCGTACGGTCCTGTCACGGGAGAGAATCCTGCACGCTGTGCAACGCTCCCACTAGCGGCTGGTCCAGTCGCTGGCAGCTTTCCCCGCATCTCAGCCAGCCACAAGTCCACAACCAGTTCGCCGGCTGATGCGTGAACCCCGATGGCCGAGATCGCATCCAGAATGCAGCGATTACCTGGCTGGCTGAGGAGCAGGGAAGACATGGACGAGCTGGGCCTGGGCTTTTGGGTTATGTATGTATATGGAGATCTTTCCCGATTATTTCGATCTGCGTTTGCTGAGGTTGACCCTCCCCCCTCTACTCCAATATACCATCTCCTAAGGTATCTCGACTGGGTATACCCACAGCCCCGATAAGACGATGGAACACCTCCCCCTCCCCACGGGTGTGTCCCATTTCATCACTGCCCCCTACGAAGCCCCACCCAGCGAATGGTTTACACGAAATCACTCCTTCCTCAGCTACCCCGCGCACCGCGGCTACAGCGAAGAGAACCTCCGCGGCGGCGACGACGTCTGCCAGGAGGACCTCGACGACCCAGAGGGATTCTGGAAACATTCCGATAAGCAGCTCGCGAAAGTCGAGCAGTTCTTCCAGACGTGGCTATTCTTCGGGTTGGCCATTGATGTGTTGAGTGTCGGAGATGTCGCGGTTACAACGGAGGATTTCCTCAAGTCTGCTGCGGTGGGGAAGGCGCGGATCGTCGATACCTCAAAACTACCGGCCTTGCTCGTCCGGTGGGAGAAGAATATCCAAAGAAAGCAAGGCCAAGGCGACATCTACCTCGCCCTACACGCTTGCTTCGAAAAAGCCGCCGAGATCCTCGACCGCTTCTGCCGGATCCCCTCCCCCAGTTCCTCCGACGAACGCGCCCTCTTCCCACTCAACACGACAAAACCGCGTCCCTGGCCCGTCCGCGACGAAATCTCCACGACATGCATCGCCCTCGTCTGCACACTCCGGCAGGCAGCCATCCGCGCCTGCGGCGTCGAGCTCCAGATCGACTCGACGGGCGTCTGGCCGGTGCACGCGCGTTCGGCAATTCTGGCCCGCCGCCTCGGGCGGAAGCACTGCGTCGCGGACGTCACGACGATCCTCAAGCAGCTGCCCGTTGACGGACACTACTTCCTCGCGGGGTCGGGCGGGCTGGATGCCGAGGAGCTCGATCACCATGCGAGCTGTGAGCGCCCGCACTGTCTGTATGATTATGATGGGCAGATGTATGTGACGCGGCACACGGGGGATCAGTATCATGTGGAGGGAAGGTGTCCTGAGGAGGTCAAATATGGTTGGCATCTGGGGCCGGAGAGGGGGCAGAAGGATTGGGTGGATGCGGTGCGGAAGATTCTGGGCAGGAAGGACAAGGATGCGATCCCCATTGCGCTGTGGAATAAGGGGCGCAAGGAGATTTGGTCGGTGGAGTATCATTGTGATGGGACGCGGAAGCCCGATTATGTGGCGATTTCGCATGTGTATGCCCTCTCTTCCCTTCCCAATTTTTCTGATTGAGATCACTCTGTGAGAAGGCTAACCTGGAATGTGGATGGCATGTGTAGCTGGGCGCAAGGAAAAGGCAATCCCAAGGGCAACGCGCTGCCGCTGTGCCAGATGGAGAAGATCCAACGCCTCGTCGAGGGCGTCACCTGGGAAGGGCGCAAGGAAGTCCCCGAGAACCCATACCACAGCAATGGTGTGGGCTTCTGGATGGATACGCTGTGCGTGCCGCCCTCGGGGATGGACAAGGCGCTGAATACCAAAGCGATCGCCTCGATGCGGCACGTCTACGCGAATGCAAAGGCCGTCCTCGTCCTCGACGACTGGATCGAGCAGATCCGCTACGACTCCTCGACACCGCTCGAGGTCATTGCGCGGATCTACACGTCGTATTGGCACAAGCGGCTGTGGACGCATCAGGAGGGGTTCCTGCCGCAGGCGCTGTGGTTCCAGTTTGCGGATCGGGCGGTCGGGGTCAAGGAGATCAGCACGCGGCTCGACGAGTATCGGGCGCTGCTCCAGTGCCAGGGGATGCATCCCGGGTGGCCGCTTGCTGCGAATGCGACGCTCGTGCAGGTGTACAGTGGGCTTCCGGAGCTGTTCAAGGGCATCAAGCCGGAGGACAAGTGGAGGACGTACCCGCTGCTAGCCATGTCCATGTCCGAGCGCAAGACGTCGCGGCTGGCGGATGAGATCATCTGCCTCGCGACAATCATTGATATTCCGCTCGACGACTTTTTCGAGATCCCCGCCAAGCCAGACGACGCTCTTGCCGGCCAGCGACGCATGGGGCTGTTCCTCCAGAAACTCGGCAGATTCGACTCGGGGACCATCTTCAACAACTACCCCCGCCTCGAGAAACCGGGATACCGCTGGGCTCCGCGATCGTTGCTGAACCTGCGCACTGCAGACCTCGCGCCCAGTGAGCCGGGCTGGCCGAACCCCGACGCCCCCTTTGAGGCAATATGGGACTTTGAAGCGAGCCGGGAGGAATGGGGTCTGAGGGTGAAATACCACGGGTTCATCATCAGCTTCACAGACAAGAGACCATCCCTGACGGCGGCCGAACGAGGCTGCGCGATCCGATGCGAGGAGGTCGGGGACTCGTGGATGGCGGTGGAGGGGTGGTGGTTTGTCGTGCAGCTTCCACCCAACGATGTCGAATGGCGGATGCATCAAGAGTACGCGGTGATTCTGTCGCGGGTGCCGGATCCGCAGAACAAGGGCCAGCGCGTGCCGGCTGCTGTGGCATCGGTGGAGGCGTCTCGCTCTGATGGGGGCGAAAGGCACCTGGTCGCCCACGAGTCCATCGCGACGGTTTGGGTGCAGGAGACGGCGCCCGACTGGGTGGATCAGTTCGAGAAGCCGCTGCTGTCGAGTGTTACGGAGTGGGTGGTTACTTGATTCAGAAGGAGGATGAAGAATTCCAGAGGGAGGTGAACTTGGAAGCTTGAGCGAACCTTGAAAGAGCGATGATTTACGAATCTTTATCTTATCTGGACTTTTGGCAGCGTTTGGGTCTCCACTGATTTTCCACAATTCCATGGGTGAAACTGAGCCTCATCTCGTATCCATCGAGACTTGTACATCTGTATATCAATTCCCAGTGTTCTCGCCATCCTCGTGAGCTCAAGCAGAGCAAACATCGGCACACTCGCACGTCAGCCCGCCACCAGCAAAGGGAAAGCCCCTGTCAGCCCGTCAGCTGAAGAATACAGATTTACAGACCAATACGTATCAATACCAGCCGCCCGGTTTCTTTTCAGCTCCCTCCCAGTTAATCAATCCCAGTTAATTAATTCCCTCCACACTCTTCAGCTCCAGCTCCAGCTCCCACTCCCAGCCTTTTCTTTTTTTTTTCCCCCTTGCACCCTCCCCCTTCTTCCGTTGCTCTGTTCCTTCCCTCCCACCAGCACTCCAGACATCCTCTGCTCGTATTCCCTCCACCCTCTCAGCCTTACAAGGTACGGAGTAGGTGAATACGAAAATGGCCCCCGCATTCCACGACCCAGGCAACAACCCCTTCCTCGTCCCCCGCCGCAACTTCAACCCAGGCGCCACCTCTGCCGCCTTTCGCGAAGAATGGACGAATCCGTCCAACTACGCCTTCACAATCCTCCTTCTCATCGGCGGCGACCTGGTTAATCGTGCCCTGGCGCAGCTTGCTGGCGGCTGGTTGACGCCCGTTGCGTTTTCGTTTGGTAAGTCGCGATCCCCATTTTCCCTATCCCAAGCACCTGCATTCGATAACCTTGGAAGGACGATCACTGATTTTTGGTTTCTAGGATGGGTCTCCTACGCAGCCTCCTCCGTCTGCAGCGCCCTCGGCGAATACCGCCTGATGCCCGACGCCGACACCGCATGCTGCCTGATCAACGGGAAAAACGGCTACGTCCGGGGTAACAACTCGTGGGTGCTCGGGCGCATGATGCGCGACTACGAGTCCTGGATGGGCTCGGCCGTGCGCGAAAAGACCGAATCGCTCATCAACGCGCGCTGGAACTTCGACCAGCAGCGCGAGGCCGAGAAATACCCCGACTCCGGCATCGTCGTGCCCCGCCCCGCGCAGGCGGGCCTCGTCGTGAGTATCTGGGAGCCGAGTAAGAAGAAGCCGCCGGGTATACCGGGGAAGGATATGCTCTTCTGGTCCGGGTTGGCGGTGACCGTCGTGCAGTTGGGGATTGCGGCGATTCCGGTGGGGCTCGAGGGCGATTGGGGCGTGTTGATGATCACCGCGGCCGGGACGGCGCTGTGTTATGGGACGGGAGCGTTGACGCAGTGGAAGGTGGAGAAGTGGGCGTGTCGGAAGCTGGATACGCGGACCAAGAAGAATTTTGTGATTACGCGGGGCAATGGCGCGCAGCATGCGTTTGCAATTATTTCCGACGGGCATGGGCTGGATCTGGAGGATCTTGCGACGGGGTTTTCGAATGTGGATTCCCCGGTCATCACCCTTGGCGCGCAGCTGAGTTGCATCGTGCTGGGCATCGCGTGGGTCGCGCTGCTGATCACTGCGTCTGGACTCCCCGGCGACTCGTGGTATCTCATCGCGGTTGGAGGCATTGGAATGCTGCAGAATATCTTCGTGGCAGGGTTGAAGCGGACTCCGGAAGCGTATGGGGTTCCGTTGGACTTTGTCGAGGTGATTGGGGAGGTCAAGGTCATGGCCACGTTGATGGAGGTGGAGAAAAAGTATGAGAAGCTCGGGAAGAGTATGCTGGGGACCTTCTTCCCGGGCGATTTGAGGGAGAATGAGGTGAGGGAGTGGGAGGTTATCGCGGCCGAGTGGAAGGAGAAGAAGGCTGCCAGAGGGGAGAAGAAGTAGGTGAGTTGATGAGTATGAGGATCTATACGAGTTTCCATCGAATGGAGTCTTATAAACATATGTGTAGCACGATGTTATGAAATGCATAATCACAATGAGCTATAGCAGCAATTGTAGATCTTAGATACGAGCCAACAAAGAGATAGATGGCCAGCTCTTTATCTATGCTGTGGAAGACTGCAAGGGTTCTCGTCAACTCCTTTCCCTCTGTACACATTCAGGATTGAGAACAGCAGACAACCGAACCAAGTCTATATATAACCAGGTCTAATCTACAATCTCGACCCTTTCAGGTTCTGATGAAACTTCGGAACCCTCAAACTCCTGGCCCTCCCTCATCCACCCCCTCAACTCCTAACCCCAAATGGCACAACGGCACAAGACACTTGACATCCCTCTCAACCTCAACAAGCCCCCTCCCCTTCCCCTCCTTACCACTACCACTACCACGATCACTAGCCCCAACATACTCCTCCCCCACTATTCAAAAACCATTCTCGACTGCGGCGCCCCCCTCCACACAAAAAAAAAACGTATGCACCACCCCCTCAAACTCCCAATGTTCCACCCTAACCCCCTGAGCACTCGCCCTCTGCTCAACCAACAACGCCGCATCAACCGTCTGCTCCTTGCCCCCCCCGCCCATCCAAATCGGACACGACCCGGTCCAATCCTCGCTCGCGGCGGGACTCGCAAGCGGGTGGCATGGCATCTCGGCTTCGCATAGATATAAAGCTCCATCCGGCCCCCAAGCTATCCTCCGCCATAAATGTAAGCACTAATGGATCCCCAAATGTTAACGGGTGGATCATCCGCACATTTTTTAGGCTCAAGCCACATCATAGGCTTATGATGATCTCTTCCTCGGTCCAGCGATGGCAGAAGAATACTCAGTGCTAGATAGGTTGCTTGGGTCATGGAGATGCCTCGAGGCTGCACTGCGTAGATCGTCGGCCAGTATAGAAAGATAAGTCCGGCCGCAACGGACTCTCCACAGCCGACGGAACGAACAAGAATACAGCCACTGTGCCCGATCTACGGCATTGCATCTCACCCACTTGTCACCACCTCCGTCCTCACTCTGCCCTATCTCTCGCCATGTCTCGCAATACCCGCCCGGCTCGTCCTGAAGAAGAATGCCCTAGAGCTATACGGTGAGCACAAGTACAAAAGACGTCGATGGTGCGCATGATCCCACTCAACGGCAAGAGCAGGGCAGGGCTGCGATTGCTGTGAGGAACGTTTCCTAGAAACTTTGCCTGGCAGCAAAATGACCGTCGCGGCGTGGGCGACGTAGTTTGGGAAGAAGAAGACGATGTAGTCGTACCATTCTGGTGGTTTGCAGAGGAGGTACGGCGTTCCATGATTGTTTAAGCGTTCGGTGACTGTTAGGTGATGTTCATCGTGGGCTTGGGGTCGTTGGATGACGGACTTTGGCGGATTTTGGGGCGGATTTTGAGACGGCGCCTAGTAAGGAGATGGATGGCCCGTCCCAGCCACAGCCACCCGCACGATGGAACAAGATGCAGCCAATCAAACAGGGGACTCAGTGTAAGGCGTGGTGCCAAGCTATTAGCATAACGAAAGGGCACTTTTCTGGCAGGGAACGTATCGATGAGTAAGGAGTTGTTGGTGCAGAAGAGGCTGATAGCATGATAAAATAGTGACAGCAACATGCACGACCGTCCGACGGCACATGGAGCCGCCAATCGAACAGGAAATTTGTGGACTGCCAAGCCATTAGCATTCAATACAACCGCTCCAGGATCAGAATAGCGCGAATGAGGGGTTGTTGATAAGGACGAGGTTGATACTGACTGGGTGAAGGAGGGTCCTTTGGTTACTTCCACGCCCCCAGCACACTCTTCACAAACAGACTCGACTGCCCAAAAGTACAGAAGGCGAATCAAAAAAAGCTCCAAATAGAACAATGGTATTTAAATCTCAAACGTAGGGATTCACTTTGCTCAATGACGATAAGAAATGGAAACGCAACGACTCTGAGACCAATATAGACATAAAAACCCCAATTATCCCAACCGCTTCAGCGAAAACACCTCGACCTCCTCTGGATTCGTTGCAATGTTGTTCACAGTCCATTCCCACAGGTCCTCCTGCTTTTCCTTATTGTAGCTCAACTCACTCGACTTGATCTCCTTCTTCCCCTCGTAGTAGACCCCCGTAGTGTTTTGGACCTCGTCGCTTGCCGCAACCCACGCCAGCGATCCTCCCGACTCGGCAGGCGTATGGATATTCGGGTACATCAAAGCCCTTAGCAGGGGCAAAATCTTGGGTAAGAGAGAAAACCATATGAAGCGCTCTATCACATTCCCCGAGCGGACCAGCCCTGTGCCCGGCATGAGCCCAGGGTCGAACATGACTACGGTCCAATTGCGCACATTGGACTCGCGCAGCTTCTTGAATCGTGTCTCGAGGGCGTATCCCCAAAGCATATTCACTAGCTTGCTAGTCGGGTATCGCTGGCGTCCCGGATATTTCAACGATTCGCCACGGGGATGCGCGAGTTCTTCGGCAGTGTTGTATATCGCATCAGGCATCCCGGTCTTCTGTGCGGGGTCGTGTGTGCCACTAGAGGTGATCACAATGCGGGCGGTATGCGCGAGGTGCGGAAGAAGCAGAGAGAAGAGCAGCGCGTGACCAACGTGATTAATGGCAAATGTTTTCTCGAAGCCGTCGACTGTGTATTCCGGTTCTCCGGGAAACTGAAGCCCCGCGTTGAGGAGGAGGTATTCAATTGGGGAGTAGTTCCTATCGGCCCATATTTTGACAAAAGCGCGCACTTCGGCGAGGCTTCCGAGGTCGAGGCGGAGGTACTCGACGTTGTTCTGATTGAGGGCTTTGTTGATTCTGTCCGAGGCGTTGTCTGCGTTTGATCGCGAAGCAATCACGATGCGGCGGTCCGGGTACTGACGGGCGAGCGCCGTGGCGCAGTGATAGCCCATTCCGGCGGTGCCACCAGTAATAAGAATCGACATGATGTTGTATCTTGATTTTGAGGAGATTGATGCTTTGTTGTCTCGAGAAACCCACCGAGGGCAGCTGCGGCTTTATACGCGGCTGCCAACGCTCTGGCTGCATTTTCCAAGATATACTTGCGGCCCAGGCCCACCCTTCAATCTTAGCGCCGGCTTTAGCGCGAACGGCACCGTCGATTTTACATTTTATCTCCGCTTCGGGAAAGCAATCCCAAACTTAACTCCTCAGGCCGGGCCCAGCGCCTTGACATCGACGCTGCCGTTCCATGATTCATAATCCCAAGCTCCCGCACAGTCCTATTCCCTAATGCCGTCTAAATCACGGCAAGAATGTCACCGCTCAGTCAACCAAATACTCTATCTCCGGCCGAACTGCTCAAGTACCTCCCCGAGTATGGTGTCGTCATCTGCACCGCCTGCCATTATGCCGTTCAGCCGCAGGCCATATCACGCCATTTGAAAGAAATTCATCGCATTTTGCGAAGCCATCGTCGAAAGTACACTGCGTTTGTCGCTGGGCTCTCCCTGCGACAGCCCCACGATGTTGTCCCGCCAATGAATCCTCTGGACTTTCCGGTCCGGTATCTCCCCGTCGAACCGGGGTTTAGGTGCAAGGCGCCAAACTGCGAGTACATGTGTGTCTCGTGCAAAAGAATGGAGGCGCATTGGCGCTCGGGCCACGGAACGAGGGCGCTAGCGGGGGGTAATTTCCAGCCTGTGCCGCTACAGACTTTCTTCCGTGGAAATTTGCTGAAGTACTTTACCGTCTCGGAGTCGATCCTGCACAAAGAAGGGCAAACAATTTCTTTGATCAAACAATTTCCAAGCGGCAAACGAGTTCTAAGTTCCAGGGATGTGGCGCTTCTGAACCACTATTTGCAGCATACCGCTCAATCTTTCAGCACGGATGCCGAAAGAGACCATATCTGGAGAACAGTCATGCCGACCCTCGCTCATGAGCACAGTTTCGTCCTCTATGGGCTCCTAGCCTGCGCGGCATACCACAAGGCATACCTGACCCCCGATAAGCCAGAACTCAAACAAGAGAATATCCTTCGTGCCTGGACATATCAAGACGCTGCTCTGCCAGAGTTCCGTATCGCAATCGAGAATGTTAGAGAGGCAAACTGTGACGCGATCATTGTCTTTGCATTTTTACTTGTTGTGCACTCCTTTGCGGATAGCAGACACGAAAGTCGCTCACTAGGAATTAACGACGTCAGCGAGAGCAATGGCAATCCACCCGCTCTATTCTTCTTGAGCACGGACGAGAAAAATCGCTTACAGCCAGACAGCATCTTCTCAAACTGGCTATACCTCCTTCGGGGCGGCTGGTCAATGATCTGCGATGTGTGGGAATACATCCAGATAGGTCCTGTACGCGCTCTCCTAACGGCATGGGAGATTGACCTCGAAGGTTCCGATGAGCACGATCCAGAAATCCTTGCGCGTCTCCTCAAAGTTATCCCGACCGCGCCAGTCTCTTCCACTTCCACAGTTGACGAAGCCACATACAATGCTGACATTTGGTCCGACGAGGTAAAAGCTGTGTACACCACTGCTGCGATTCAACTAAGCCGATCGTTCGCATACCTCCGCAAGACGTACCCCGACGCTTCTCAGATCACGACGTGGGAAATTCTTCGCGTGTGGCCGATGGAAGTGTCGATGGAGTACATGGCGCTTCTGCAACAAGAACACCCCGGTGCGTTGATCTTGCTGGCTCATTATTGTGTGCTGCTCAAATATATGGAGCGGTATTGGTATTTTGAGGGAAAGGCAGGGGCATTGCTGAAGGTGATTCGTGGGAGGTTAGGCGAAAGGTGGACAAGCTCGCTCGAGTGGCCGGTCGGTATTGTTCTGGGAGATAAGTGAGCTGTCAGTGGGTGCGCGGTGACGATTGAAACGGATAATTGTGCCACGTGAGGCTTGAAAAGCCAAGCACATATTGGTAACACTCACCAACAATCTTGAGGCGCAGTTAAAAGCGCAGTGAATTACTGGCTATTGGCGAGGTGATGGTGTTGCACCGTAGATCCGGGTCAACACAGGTCCAGATCACCAGCGCTAAGCCTTGTGGCCTGAATCCACTAATCCAAATCGAGAGTAGCGGCCCGTGAGAGGAAGCAATGGACTCGCGGGCCAACGAGCAACACACGAACTCACCTTTCTCAACTCCACACTCGCTCTGCGAGAGCGTCTCCGGTCATCATGGACGCATTTCTACCTCGCCTTCCTGCTGAGCTTCTCCTTATCATTTCCGGCTTTCTCGACTACGAATGCGAAATCAATAATCTCTCCCGCGTGAATCACAAGCTCTACGCACTGCTTGACCCGTCCTCTCCCAAGTAAACTTCCACGCCGAAGTCCGTCACTCGCAACCTCTCATTTGGGCTGCTACGCATGGTATCGAGACAACTGCTCGCAAGGCAATAGCCGCTGGGGCTAAACTAGGTGGTCTGCACCTGACGATAGCTGCCTACAATGGACACAACGACTTGATTACCTTATTCCACGAACAAGGCGCAAATATCAACTGCTATATCGGGGTTGGAAATGGAACAGTATTAGTGCGAAGAGGCTCTCCCTTTTACAGATTGCCCGAGACTCCTATCGCTGCGGCCGCCACGTGCGGCCACGAGTCCATTGTACGGCTCCTTATAGGCTACGACGCAGATATTGAGCTGGGATCACGGCGTCAATATACACCGTTGATGCATGCCTCAGAATCAGGAAAGTTATCTACTGTACAGGCTCTCACACATGCAGGCGCTGCGATCCGCGCTCGAGATAGCACTGGCTCCACACCGCTATATCTCGCTGCTCTTGGAGGTCACATGGATGTCATTCAGTTTTTGGTTGAGAAGGGGCCGAGTCACGGTCCATATATGCGCTCAACGTCCTTTTGCGTTAGGTCTCCACTCACCGCGGCTGTGACATCAGGTCATGTTGAGATTGTGCAGTGCTTAATAGACCATGGCGCCACGATAAGTGAGGCGATGTTTTTGATCGCTGGTTCCACCGGCGAGCCGGAGGTACTGAAGATTTTAGCGCGGCATTCGAAATTTCCCGAGGCTGCGAAGAATGCTGCGGATCAGACTATCTTTGCTGTTGCAGCGGCTGCTTGTGGCTTGGGTGACTTGCTGACACGGTCTATCTCGTTGGGATGGGATGTTAACCAGGTAATCATGGACGGAACCGAGTTGAGTGCATTGGGATGGGCAGCTGCCCACGGGCATTTGGAAATTGTCTGCATGCTGCTATCACACGGTGCACATCCGGACGGAAAGCAAGGTTTCGATAACAGCGTTGCCTATCCGGCCCATCCATTGCTAGGGGCCGTCAAGGGAGGGCACGAAGAAATCGTCTCGCTATTGCTCGAAAACGGATCCAATGTGAATGTGCGCGATGATAACTCGGAGATCCTGTTCTACGCGATCACAAACCCCAGAACTTTCAGGAGGCTCCTGGAGAAGGGCGCGATGCCAAACGGTTTTAAGGGATGCACCCTTGAGAATCTCGCGGGACGTGCAGTGAAAGCTGGGCAGGCATCTGAGGTTCAGATGCTTATTGAAATGGGCGTTGATTTCTCCGTCCGTGGTTCTCGTTCAGCGGCGTCACCCTTCCTATGATACTTTCCCTGAGTAAAGAAGCTGTTTTGGAGATTTTCATCCAGCGAGAAATCCTCCCACAGCCCGGCCTAGACGATAGTCGAGACCATAACTTCGTCCACTGGGCAATTGCACATGGGAACTTATCCCTCCTCCGGCATCTTCTTTCATGTGAGTTCGATATTGGACCAGACTTCTGGCACGCAGGTCACATCTCCACAGCGTCGCTGAACGACGATATCGAAATTGCCTGCGCAACCCTCAACTTTCTCACAAACGAGTAGTGGCTAGATGTTGGTTCGGTCAACAGCGACGAGGAAACTGCTTTACTTTCAGTATGGCAGGAGCTGAAGTACTCTGGGTCTGACCATGCGCCCCTTCTTCTTTTGGAGTGGGGTGCAGACCCGTGCTATGCGACTTCGTCTGGAAGGTATCCGTTGTTGGCCGCTATACAGGTGAAAAACGTTTAGGTCGAACCGGTACAGGCATTGCTAGATGCGATGGAGAGTAGGGAGCACTACGAAACGTTCCTCCCGCAGGTAGAAGCCGCCATCAAAGTCCTTGAGAAGCATAATTGGAGTCGTGATGTTTTAAAGGCGTTGAGACGTTTCTATTGGCGCTGGAAATGTATAGCTCGCGAGGAACAAATTGCTGCTGCGGCAGCTGAGAGCAAGGTGTGGCAGAGCTGATATCGACCCTGGTCTTTGTTTATGTTTTCTTTTGTGTGGTTTCTGCTTTGAACTTTGTATAAGATACCCAGTCAGTGGCGCGTCAACTGGGCGAGTGCCCCTGTGTACTATATAGCTATCTGACCTAGGACCTATAGCTACTTGAGAGTGATCATTACCCTACTCACGACTTTTCTCTCTGTCTTACTCTGCTACATACCTCACTCCAACATGATACTCGCCGAGTTTCACTTCTAACAAGATACGCCAACGGATTTTATCTCCCCACCCCGCCTACGAAACCAAGAACCTGGTTATCATAAGTGTATTAAACTTTGGCGGCTCAACCGCGACGTCAAGTCTCGCTCGGAGTTCGTGTATGTGATTGAGATTTGATGTTAAAAGTGCTACTTCTAAATTCATCTCTTATTCTAAAGTATGTACAAACCTGGTCTAAAAACACCGCAGCTTCTTCCTCCCCTTATGCGCGTGTAGTATGTGAAAGGACATGGAAGACTTGGTACAGGGATAGAGTAAGGAATGTCAATCTGGTTCGTACAACCCCCTACATTTGACTAGGGACATATTCTTCGAGTATGGAAGCACCACAACCATGGATTCACTTTCTCTCTCATTATTCTAGCCCTGGACAGCTGGACTGCGCTCCACTCAGAATGAACATTGCACGAACTTTGAGAATGGCCGGGGTCAATGAGTTGGATCCGTAGTGAGCAGATGAGGCTGCAGCGCACATGATATCCTCGGTACCTGCTGTCTATGAGAAGTTGTTAGCTCCATTTTAGACGAAGCATACGAGTCCGGTATACCAGACAACGCAAGAGCGAGCGCATGACAACTTGGTGCCAGTAGCCGCCTGCATCGTTGTACTAGTAAAAAGGCGCACGTACCTACGGCTCGCAGTCTATGCCCACCTACACCCATGTCGTTATTTTGCCAACATACGCTCAGGACGGAGGAGGCTGGCATGTACTTCAAATGCGAAGCAAATGCGCCTTAAACTTTAAGACGTGTCGTTCTCGCGCTGGCTGGTACTTTCAGACTGGCCACGTAGGCTGCGTCCATAGCCGAATATACCGTCAATTCCCAATATGCCTAGATACCCCCGCCACGCAGATCCGGTCAAAATAGCGTCATTGTGCACCTTTTGATTCAGCGATTGTGTAGTAAGCCAGGAGAAAACAACTATTGCCCTCGGTTCCTTTCTCGATTGTTTCGAATTCAAAGCACATGTAGTGCTGCCCCTCGCATAACCAAAAAGGAGGATGCACGATTTCCTAGACTTACAGTCGCGCCGCGAGCTTGTGATAGACTCGAGCGTTGTCTGCTCGTCTAAGCCTACTGCATTCAGGAATAATTCCGGCTGAACTTTCCCGCAGTTTGAACGGATCTACAGCCCAGTTACTCGCCATGTTCTTTGTCGACATCCTTCCCATTTTCCGGCGAGAATCTCTATAGATGATTCTGACGTCTCCTGTAAAACACGTATATTGTTTCTGCTGTTGCACGCTGCTTCAATTCCTCCAGCTTCTGGTCTCTCTTTCTAGATTTGACAGCTGCTCTTGAGACGGACCGTCGCTGTTTCTTTCGCGGATTGTTTGTTGTTCGATGCGTCATGAACTGTTGGCAATTTGGGACCTTCCCTTGCTTCAAGCTAGAGGACGGGAAATTTGCTTTCTACGCCCAGAGTGTTAGCAATGACTTCAAGTTCCTTATGGAGATCTTCCACCCTGATTCTGGCTTTATCGAAACAGACTCCGATGCACGATGAACAGGCGGACTGCGTCGCATTATCTACTAGGACATAAGCCCTCTCCCTTGCGCAAGAAGTCTGACTGCAATCTTGCGGATGATGACATGGGCGAAGGTATTAATCAAAGACATCTAATTCCCCAGTTGTTTGGATCAGACCTGGCTAACGGGACACCGTCCCTACTTAGGTAACTCATATATGCAAACCAGTGGGAAGTAAATGTCACGACTGGTGCCTAGGTCTGGCATTGAGCGCTGAAACGGACCTAAGAGGCCAATGTTTCAATATCTTGGAGTCAGGACATTATCCCAGTTCGCGTCCACGTCCTCGACCGAGCTTTCGGAGACGGCGTGCCATTCGCTACTTGATTCAATCTTGATCATCAAGGACCTCTACTGTTCTCACTTCCTCTTGAGGCGGACTTCACGCCGCAGTAGGGTGTCTGTCCTTCAAAGGCGGCTTGGTGAGTTGTGGCCTTGGTCCGTAAGTTGTCTCTAAATGCCTGGCATTTGAAAAAGATCGATCCTGGTCGTGCCAAGCGAGAACCACGGCTGGTCTTTGATATTATGGAGGCAGAAGGGAAAGCCGTGTCACTTAGACTAGCCCCGGCCACATTTCGTCGAGCTAAACACTTATTGGGTACGTCAGTGGGGCTTCTGGGGAGAGGACATCCAATAAATAGTCTCTGTTCGTTACCCTTAGTCTTTAACGTGCCATGAATGGTAAGCCTCCTCCAGGGAAAGACGGGTCCGATTGGGATTTCTCTTGCGCACTGGTCAATCAGGACGGACCAGAAGCCAGAGAGCTGCATCTGCAGCAACGGCTAGAGCCATCTTGGCAAGTTGGTTCTCTGCCATTGCAAGGCGCGGCGCGGCTTCATTCCTTTGTTCAACAGGGTGTATCGGCAGGTTTCAGACGGCAGCTTGTTCAAGGTAACACTACCAGGGACAAAGTCAAGAGTCCCGCCATCAGTTCTCGCGATATGCTGTTGGATCTTGCATACGGCGGTATCTCTGTATCTCAGAGCACATAAAGCAACTAAGCCGAGGGCCAACTACCACGCGATAGAGGATTATAGCCACGAACGGGCAGGCAAGCCCCTACTACCTTCGAAACGGAGCGAAACTGCCCAGTATCCATTGGCAGCAACGGTCTTGAAGTACAACCGAAGATTTCATCGAGCAAGTCTCTACCAAACTTGTTCCAAAGGCTTCATCGAGCAGTTTGCTTTGACAGTTACAGCGCTGAGATGAACCTACTGGTTTACCGTTCTTATCTAGCTTCCCATGCGCCTTCCGCGGGTATTTTTGCCTGGCCAAGGATCGAGATGAGCAGTACGCAATGACTCCTGCTGGCCAACTGTCGTGTCGTCATGGGTGTGCGTAAAAACCAATGCATCCTTCAACTCCTGGACTAACTTCGACTCTGACCTGTACCCAAACATCTCTGGTCGCCGAGGTTATCCGTCGCTCATCTGTACCCTTGGCCTATGAAGCAGGGAGCCCTGACCAGGAAATACATTAAAAAGCCAGCCAGTGTCATAGCCAATAGCTATGCTCTGGGTTTTCGATCCTCTTACCTCTTGAGTTTCCTGTAAACCTGATGCGACGCAATATACCGCGCAACAGAAGCCCCGCAAGAAACACCTTAGACGTGCTCGACCCACTGAGCTTGCAGTCATGTGAGCTGGTTGTTGGTCTGGCTGTATGGTGGTTGTTCATCTGCTACAGAAGAAACTAAAACATTTCTCGGACCGTGATACCGGGCGGGGAATTGCGGCTCAAGGGGAAACGTATCCAAGAGATTTCAAGGACACCAGATGATCAAGAGAAGACAAGCTGGTGGCTGGTGCCTCGGCGGGAAGCAGGGGGCGTTATCGTGCCCGACGGCTGGGTGCCCGCTGATTGGTATGTCGTGAAGGAAGACTGATGATCCCGAGGTCGTTAGCACATTGCTATCCAAACTGCAGGCTATCGGCTCGCTAGGTGGTGTCCTTGGACCTTCGTCTGAAGATTCGGACTCCCATGACCTGCCGTAGGGTCAAGAGCTCGCGCGGACTCGTTAGGCTCGCTGATTCCATAGCGTTCATCGCAGCGGCGGGCGGGGTAAGACAGCCCCGGTGATTCGAGCGATGGTAGGGTGAGTCAATGAGAGTGCGAGCAGAGAAGACAATATATAAAGCGCAAGCGCTGGTGATATTGAGTAATCCGAGAATCGTAGAAGACCCATGCGCCCCGGTTTTGCGGTATGTATCACGGCGCTGATGAAAATGGAGAAGACGGGTATGTAGAGAGATATCAACGAGAGGAAAACCAAGAAGAGAAAGAAAACCAGAGGACATGGGGGTATTTATGCACAGCACGCCCCTCCCAAAGGACAAGACAACCAAAGATTCACAGCACCATCCATCCCATCCTTCACCAAAAAGCAACCGGTCGGAGCTGCCAAACATTCACCCACAGAACACCATTCACATACAATACTTGATAGAAACACACGCCTCATACGGATCCGAGTGAATCTCCTCCATGAACCGGTCCACATCCTTGCGGAACTCGCGCCGATAGTTCCGACAGTGCCCCGTCGACAGCAGATGCCCGCGACACGACTTATCCAGCGCGTACCGGAAGAACTGCGGGTTCCCGCGGACGTGGTCTAGTCTTTGGACCATTCCTTCGATCCGCCGCGCGTAGTGCACGCAGTCCACGCATTCTTCGGCTTCGGTTTCCGTCATGATGTGTGGGCCCCGCCCGTACATCCATGCTGCGGTGGGTGTGTTAGGGGCGTGGTTGGATTGTTGGGTCCGGGTTGGAGGGGGGCGGGCTTACCGATGCCGATTACTATGAGGAGAAATGTAAAGAGGGATATCGCGAGGGTGGGTAGTTTGAGTTTCATGATGGGAGCATGGCTGTTGTGGTGAGATTGAGGATGAGTGAAGTGAAGATGCGGAGTGAGATTCGATAACAACTCAGCCACCCTCGGCGCTAGCCTGTTTTGGTTAGGTTGCTCTCGCGCTATAAATATCTCCCTCTCCAGAGTCTGAGACGAACAAACATCTTCAGAATTGCAACTTCTGTATCCATTGCATCCAATAATAAAATCATTCGGTCCCACTCGGCAAATTTACCCTGGGAACTGCCTCGTTCGGAATGGCAGCCATTCCATCCCAAAGTCTCGCCTGCACCTTCTTCCCCTGCTCGGATAAAACAAACGGCGATGGCCTATACACAGAAAGAATCACCACACGTCTCCGTGACTAATCATCCAGCCAAGCACATAAAGGCTAGAGAAGAGAGTCGCCTCTTGGAAACCTGCTCACTGACATAGCGGCCCATATCCCCCTGCACAATCGCCGCATCAACCAAACAATGCCGCCCAGTCGCAGACTCGACGCAAAGATCTTATTGAACAGCACGACGCCGGGGGTCGTATCGGATCTGTGCAGCTCGCTCGCGCAGAGGCCAGGGTTTACCCGGTTGATTAGGATATTGCCCCCGTTTCTGACACGCGAGCTTAATTCGCGGAGCCAGAGGATATTGAGTAATTTGCCTGTAGGTACCGCTCTATCCCTGAGCCAAAGGTGGAGGGGTCGTCCATTACGAAGAGGATGTGGGGAGCATGCTGTGCAGGGAAATCGCACCAGAAGTGGGCTTCCTATGTTACGATTGTTAGGCGCGTGGGCTCTGAGTGGTGCTGTGCTGTCGAGAGGAGGGCGGGGAGGATGGGGAGGCAGAGGAGGAAGGTGGCGAGGTGGTTGACCTACGATATCAAAAGATACCGAGGTGAGTAGGGCTACATAGCTCGGTCGAAATGGGGCTAGGATAGGAATGGGAAAAGAATGAATCGGAGGAGGTGGACGAACCTGAACATACACATATACTCCAGCAACTTGATCCCCGCAGAAAGAATCACAATATCTAATCTCTCTTGGCCTTTAACGCGCTCGCCGAAAGCCTTCGTCCTCTCAAATGACTCCATATCTAGCGGCCAGACATCAACATCATACCCGGGAGACCGCCGACTGATTTCATCGCGCGCAGCCTCGCCCTTTGAGATCGTGCGAACACCAAGAATTAGACGACTGAGTCCCCGCTCTGCGAGTTGCTTCGCGGTTCGAGACTGAGACCGACATTTCCGCCCGTTGCAAGGGCTGTTTGACCGGTGAGGTCTATGGAGGTGGGGAGGGGTTTCGGGGTGCATGTTAGTTGGTGGTAAAGGAAGCCAAGCATGCCACCTATCTTACGAGTAGATCGTATGCGAATGTAACCGATTGCAGCTGGATTATTTCAAAGTCCAGCAGGGGGGAATGTGGCAGAATCTGTACCAAGCCGTAGCCTACGCAAGACCGGAAATGTCAGGCTTAAGCGCGGAGCTACGGTGAAGGGGGTTCTTTGTCGCGATGCCCAGTCTTACTGTACCCTAGTATGCACTCCCACCTCGCTGTTTGCATGGTATGGCCTTTTAAGCCAACCTTTCACACTCCTTAAAACAGACCAAGCCACTGTTGACAGCCGTACTGTTCCCTCCCAGTTGGCAAACGCGCCTCAAGCGATTCTATACTCCCCTCGGCCTTCAGCAAAACAAACGCCGCTAAACCGCATCTTCGTTACTGAAATAATTAATAGGGAAGGGGAAGTGAGTCCAAGGAAGTCTATCGCGAGCTCGAATGTTTGGCAGCGCGATCGCCGCAGCCGACAGTCCTACACGGCAAATGCGCCTGCAGTTCGTGGCGTTGCTCGAGCGGTTCTAGCTCTGGAGACCGGCAGGCGATTGAAACACTCGTCGCTGACGCATTCACACGGACCAGAACCGAGATGGTCTTTGTCGGTGCGAGCAAGACGGCAACCGCTGAATATGCCGTTGGGTAGTCTCATAACGGGTTCCAGGTTGCATTGGGGGGCGGAGTCCCAGCAGCGAGCCTTGACTCGAAGGCTTCGGTCGGTCATCATGAATCAACCAACGTCTCTGGCGGATGAAGAGGGCTACTTCCATGATACCAAGTTGAGAGGGGGCTCCTTCCTGTCGTGGTTCTTTCCTGGTGGTTGTCAACAGCGCAACGCACCTGCCCTAACCGGGGGGCGCTCCCAGCCAACTCCCCCAACCTCGAGCTCCCGCCGTCTTCCACCCTCTTGTCTCTCGATCCATCATCCATCATCCATCATTCGTTTACCAAACAGCTCGTTTCACATTCGTTTACATCTCATCGCTCATTATCCACTACACAAATCATCACATCGCAAGAAATTGCACCCAAAGATCTTCTATATTACCTGTCATTTCTGACGTTTCCAAACACGATCAACGCAATCACAACCCATTCGTTGAGAAACATGTCTCATTCTAAACCCCCTCACGATCGCTACATCCCAGAATATTTCCGCGAACCGTCGAGTGGAAACCAGACACCTCTCTCCCCCAGCACTGCCGGAGAGGGCAATCCCCAGACCGACACTGACGAGCCTCGGGCCAGAACGCAAGATCCTGTCCAGCCCACCGCTACGGACGAACGCTGCCCTTCGCCGAATACCCAGTGTGACCCCGAGCGGTACGTGGTCGAGGACAGCCACGAGGATGGATCGGTCGGTCCGGACAAGATTGACATGCTCAGGGTGAAGGCAGAGAAGGATCCGCCACTCAGGGAGGAGCTCATTCGGCTCGCTCAGTATCTCCAGGAATATAGGCCGGGTTTGCTCGACAGTACAGACGAGATTGGGAGCATCGAACATGAAGCTGGACAGGATTGGCAGTTCAGGCGCCGGCTGCTGGAGCTCATCCGCTTGCTTGATTCCAAGAGCATCCTGCGGCGCAACGGCCACTGGGTGGTTCACTGCCCTCAGGGCGACAGGCGTGCCTCGGCTCCATCCAGCATCGATGTTCCGCCGTCTTCAATGCCGGCCCAGCCACGCACCATACTCCCACCAGCCACTGGCCCGGTTGACCCTTTGTCTGAATCGAGCTCAGCGGCAAAACAAGTTCAGGCGGAAGAAAGTGCAGACTCTCTTCAGGTTGAACCTGCGTCTGAACCGGACTCGGAGGCAAAACAATCCCAAGCGGAAGAGAATCCACAGCCGCCTCGATCTAGCGAGACGGGCTCACCAACTAGGCAAGTCTCCGACAAGGAATTCGCTTCTGATAGCGGCATCCAGCTGGTCTCTCAACCAGGCCAAACACATCCAGCCCCGCAGCGAGGAGGAGGTGGTGATGTCCGTAAGCGCAAACGGGACCCTTCACCCCCCACTGCTAGCAAGCTATCGACAGATCCTAGACAGACCTGTCCTCGGCCAGTCTCGTTGTCTAATGATCCGTTCTCGGACCCTTCAGCACCGGCACCGTCCGCTCACTCGGCTTCTACCCCTGAGGCCATGGGCATGGTCGACCGGTGCACGCGAGAGCCTCAGCAAGAAGAGCCCGATTATACCTCATTCCCCGAGCCAGCGCCAAGTGAGACGTCCAACCAGCCCGCGTCGAATGTCGGGGATGAAGCGAAGGCTTCGGTGTCCACCTCGATGAGACCACAAGGACCACGCCCAGAATCTCTTCGCAAGAAACAACCGCCAGATCACTCTGTGCAAACCGATCTCCCCAGCGGCTTTTCGGAAGGGGGCCTGATCTCGGTTCCCGATACCCCCACGCACCCACGCTGGGGAACCTCTCCGGGTCCGATTGAAGGCAGCCAGGGCAGCGGAAACGCTGGGCGTGATGGCCAATCCGGGGCCAACGGATCCAATGCAAGCCACTCCAGCCATCGCTCTTCTTTCGAGAGCCCCCCAGATGGTGTGAGACGCTACTCAAGGCCTATCAAGGTCCAGTCACCAGAGCCCGAAGCCAAGGGACCTCCACATTATGCGCCTCCACGCACTACACCTCCACCTCGATGGGATCCTCCTCAACCCAATGACCGATCTGCCTCGCCACCTCCTCCTCAACTCTTCACTGGACGTCTGACCCGCGTAAATGCTTCGGGCGAAAGAGGTCAGTCAAACGCTACCCAGCTGTGGGCGCTTCCGATCTCGATGTGTGCCTATTGTCATGGAGCCATAGAGGAAGGGTACTTTTCTCGTCTGCAAATACCCCCACCCGTGAGAGTTATCGACGGTGTGCCCGATGCCCATCCGGAGAGAAGAATTGATAGAGGCGGGCGGGCAGCACAGCCAACCCAGGTGTGGGTTCGCACGGAGATCCGCCAGCCATTTGGGCCATTGACGGTGATTTGCGAAGTCTGCAACAGCTGGTTCCATCACAGATGCGTCGAGGCGTACAAGAACCAGGCAAAGGTGGACAGCCGCAGCGGGCTCATGTGCCCCCGCTGCCCAGAGCCTTGGGATCCGCAGTCGTGAGGACTGATTGTTGAAATTCGTGTGTTTGTTGTAGTTCTTTGTAGTACTTGCATTGTTTTGCTACTTTAGGTACTCTTGCTCGAATGTCTTATTATTCTTAGCATGGCCAATCTAACTGTTCCTGGTCCCCGATCAGCTCGTATTGAGTCACACCCGCAACTATACATCTTTCACTTCTTCCTCTTCTTCATTAATCTCTTCTCCTTTTGTTAAATCTTCCTCGAGTCAACACTTTCTTCTCCTGCCTCGTAATCATCACAATGTCGACCGCAGCCGACTCTGCCTCTACAGCCCGTCCCAAGACCAAACAACAGTCCAACAACATGACCAACCCAGAAAACCCCCCCTACCGCCAAATCCGCGCCCTCTACACTCCCCAAACAATAACAATCTACCAAGCCTACCCTCCTTCCATCGCCCTCCCCGCTCTAGCCACCCAATCCCTCTCCAGAGTCCCCACCTTCAAGCGAACCCGCATGACCTGGATAAAACCCTCCTTCCTCTGGATGGCCTACCGCTCGGGCTACGCGACGAAACAAAACCAGGAACACGTCCTCGCGATCGAGATTTCTCGACCGGGGTTCGAGTGGGCCTTGGGCCATGCGGTTCTCTCGCATATCCCCGGCTCCGCGAGTGAGGATGAACTAAAGCGATGGAAGAACGCTGTTGAGGACAGTTGCGTCCGCGTGCAATGGGACCCCGAAAGAGATGTGCATGGCAATCCGCTGGCGTATAGGAGTTTGCAGGTTGGGCTGAGGGGTGAGGCGGTTGAGAGGTTTGTGAAGGGGTGGATTGTCGGTATCAAAGATGTGACGGGGGTGATGCACGATGTTAAAGAGAGAGTTGAGAAGGGGGATTTGGAGGGTGCAGAGAAGTTGGTGCCGGTTGAGAAGGTTTATACGCTTCCAGAAGGGGTTGCAAGTGGGCTCGGGATGGTCTGAGAGGGGTTATCCGTGCGGGGAGGGGGAAGGGATGCTATATACCAGATGCTCTATGGGTGATTGATGGATTTTACTCTGTATGATTAGCGATTATCGAGAGGGCGGAGGCTTTTTGGGGACGAGGTATGGCGGACGAGATATATATATTGTGATATTAGAGGATCAATGTCGAAACCATTAGTATTGTCTCCTGTTGGCGCTCAAAAAGAGCAGAGCAGAATCCAAATAACCTCCAAGAGGCAAGAGAAAAGCTAGAAAGTTGAAACAAATCATTATGCATTGATCATCGATTACTTGCTGGTTATGATTGTGTGGTGGGTGAGTCGAGCAGAGCAAGACACAAAAGACGTTTTGTGTGCTTCCACATGGCACATCCTGCATAAACTCGAGCACATTATTCATCAAAGGCAAGGTGGCCGAGCGGTCTAAGGCGCGCGGTTAAGGTTTCCCAATTCGGATCCCTCATCTGATCTTAATCAGTTTCCGCGTCATTAATTTGGCGTGGGTTCGAATCCCACCCTTGTCATTTCTTTTTGATTTTTTGTTCTCCTCCCTCCCCACAAGGACACAGCAGATTAGTAGAGGACGAAGAGGGTGGTGGGTTTCTTTCTTTTGGGTTGAGAGGATCAATGCTCAGAAGGGAAAAAGGAAGGTAGCAAGCAGTACAGAAACACAGTATATAAACGCTATGCATTCAATTCAAGTCATAATTAGTATCATTACGCCCAGCGCAACCCAAGAAACACTCCTCTCCCTTTCCACCCCTCTCTCTCCTTTCGCCGGCCGTCTCTCATCTCAGCTCATCTTTCGCCCTCTGGTTTACTAGGACGTATAAATACCCCTATATAGGTATATATCTCACTCAGTTTCACTCAGGCTTCTGTCCATAGAGAACATGCACCTTCGTGTACAGATGGATCGAGTAATCCCGCAGCTCCTGCCTCATCCCCGCGACCAGCGCCTCGATCTCCGTGCGTTCCCAGCCCAGCACTCTCGTGAACAGCGCGTAGCAGTACGGTGGAAGGGCTTCGAACATGTTGACTTGGTGGTAGCGGCCGAGGTCTTTGAGTTTGGGGTCTTTTGGCCAGGGGCTTTGGGGGAGCTGTTCGCTTGTTAGTGGTTGCCATTGCTCAAGAGGACGCAAAGGAGGAGGAGAAGAGATTTAGGGTAGACGATAAGAGAAAGAAGTGACGCGACGCACCTTATAAACCTCCTCGGTAACATTAACAAACCCAACCTTCTCGATCCTCGCCTTCCAAGTACTCGTCGTATTCATATCCTTGCCGAACGTCTTGGACGCAGCGTGCATGTTCTTGACCCCCTCGAGCATGCACTTTGCCTTGAGATGTGTGTCGTCGTCCGAGTACGTGTTGACGTCGATCGACGCAATCTCAAAGTACCCGCCGGGCTTCAGGTTCTTGAACGCCTCCTGGAACAAGTGGTCGTGGTCGCGGATGAAGCCCTCCAGCTCGCGCCCGTGGATGTAGTCGAAGGGTTGGCTGTAGGACCAGGTGAGTTCGAAGTCGTCGACTTCGAAGCGGCAGTTTGGGGGGATCCTGCGTGTGGAGTTAGTGTATGTGAGAGGGAATTGTGTTGCGGTCGCGGTGGGTAGATGATGGTCAGTACCATGAGGGCTGGATGGGACTCAGGTCGTTTCCTGCACGTCGTGGTTAGTCGCGGTCGGAACGAGTGTCGATCAATCGATCACTCAGTCGATTGGTTTCGGGGACATACCGATGACTTCGGACTCAGGGTGTTCACTATCCTGCCTGTCAGTGACGCCCGTCTCTCACCAAGGTACCGAACGAACCTACTCTGCAAAATCAATCGCCCAGATTCCCGTCCCAGTCCCGATATCCAGCACGCGCTTGGGGTTCTTGATGGGCGCCCGATGCAATTCACCGTTCAGCAGCATGCGATAGATGTGGTGGCTCTATTGTCATTCCGTCAATTCCGTCCGTCCCTTCATTATGATTGTGATTGATCTCGCATCGGCGGTAACGAACCAGGTCAAGGCGGTCTTGTTCTTGCTCATCGTTTGGCTAGTCAGATCGTTAGATGGGTCGGTTTGGAGTATAGTTTCGAGAGCGAGCGAGTGCGTACCAAGACGTATTCTCCTTCGTGGTATGAGTGGTATCGGCGACCGTTCTGCGGGGAGGTTTAGCGGTGTCCGACCGGGGTTCCTTGAAGTAAAGTACCTCATATCTAAAAGGTTAGCGCGCGAATGGACAAGGCAGTAAAGGAACGTACGTATAGTTCATCGCACTCGACGTGATGCTGGTTGTGTAGCTGGCATCGCCCAGCCTGCGACAGTTAGCGACAACAGGAACACAAACAAAGCAGTCAATGTCAATGCACGTACGAGCTCTGGTAGGTAGAATCCCTGTCATCGAAGTCCTATCGAGGTTAGACCAGAAATGGCGAGATGGGATCTGTGACTGTGACGAACATCGGGCTCGATGAATGAGGCGGACTGCTGCTGGATCTCGGGGTCGGTGTCGGCGGTGTCGGCGGTTTCGGCCATCTTGGCAGAGCGACTGACAGTCCAGGATTCTTCCGAGGTTTAGATCGATCGCAGAGGGAAAACAACGTCCAAACGTTGAGGAGACAAACAATTGAGGAGAAAAAGGGCAAGCAGAATTCGAAAAGGGAGGAGTGTTATTATTGTAGCAAACAGGACGGTTCCCAGGCCAAGGCCGAATCATTTCTTCAAAGAGAACAAGACCCGTGGGCCATGCGGGACAGCCGTTAAAGGAAGAGAGCTCCAGCAAACGAATCGACGACCCTGGCTGAGACTGACAGCAGAATCTGCCGTGTCGAAGAGGAGGCGTCTGCCAGTCAGCGAACTCGTCAAGGCGAGGACGAGGCAAGCGGCAGCCACTAGTCTTGCTAGCAGTGGTTAGTGGCTCTCCAGATGGTCCTCCGCGGATGCATGAGGCCTTTGCCGTTCCGTCGATCCCCAATTTGTGCTGCCATTGACGAGTTCGCGCTCCTGCTCCCCAGGTGGCCGATTGCCCGGCCTTGGCGGGCCTGAAGAATCAAAGCACGCTTGATGCAAGTGTAAAAAGGACCATGATGGCCACAAAGTACAAAGTACAACATATAGCTACGTTGTACAATGTTCTGAATGGGCCGTGACACCTGTCACTGTCCGTGACCCCGTCGTCCGATCAGTGGTTCCGTCTTCGATCCGTCCTGATTCCGATCCCCCGTGGATTGTGGAACGATGCATGACTAAGCCTGCTCTTCACAAACCTGTGCTCGCCGAGTTATGCTGGATTGTGCCCCATATGGTGCAATTGCAACTCGACCCCGACAAGTCGCCGACTCGACTGGTCACATTCGTGGCGGCCTCGGTCCACAACTCCACGTCCACGCCAGGCCATGATCAAGTTGGAATCGTCCAGAAGCGAATCACCGATGGCTGGTTAAGTTCTCCTCCGCTCGAAGCGAAGAGTGGACTTGCATAAAGCGAGCGGATCTCCAGCAGAATCGTCAAAAGTACATAAATGCACACCACGGCCTCTGTCATCTGGTCTCCTGCAAGTCGAAAGCACCTCCGATTCTTCAGACGCCGGTGCGTTGGATTTGCTGGACTATTTACCTAATTCTCCTGTTCGCAGGCTTAATTTCTTCAGCACAACCTTGCAGTCTGTAGAACTGCAGGACTGAGGAATGCAAGTGCTGCAAAACAATGGACCCGTCCTCGTCCGTGTCTGTGCGGCCGCCAGCCCCTCGACTACTGCCACACCGCGCTTTGAGATCATTATCGTCCGATTCAATTTGGACGTGATTTTGGCGAGTCGCGACTAATGCAGCAAGACATTTTGGGGGTTCATTGAACATTTGTGCAAAGACACCCCCTCAGTTCGCAAAGTGCGAGGCTCGAGCAAATACAGACTGCTTATTCGATGGTTACTCTCCTCTAGTCCAGGCCCTGCAGAACGGTGAGTGAAGGACCAGAATCATGAGCAGGGAATAAAGCTGGATCCCATGTGGCGGCGGGTGCTTGGCTTTGCTGGATTAAGCAGGAGTTCCACTGCCTGGCCTGGCCCGACGCTTCACATGATACTTTGTGGTGCCATTGGGGGTTTGGGATTGATGCAGTGGAGTTTACTGCACTTTTTGAATCAGAAGCTATACTTTGTAGGCTATCTTCACATAGCAAATCTTTCTGGTCAAGACGGCTTTACTCTGTAGATAGACGAGTGTCTTGTTCTCACGGCCACTAAGCTAACATGTGAGCATCACCAAAGTCGAGGCCAACAGGCGGGGTTGCTTGGCGCTAACACAAGACTGCGACACAACCTCAGCGCCAAATCTCCCGACCTCGTATTCGAGACCAATTCACTCGTTGCAGTAAGGCACCCGTCCGACCTCATCACAGCGGGGTCTCAATCCCTCGCCCGCAACTCAGAATTACGTACCTTGTCTCTGCTTCAAGTGGTGACCGGAGATCCTCGCTGCTTCAATGGTTGGTGTCCCACCCCGCACCAGCAGCTGTCGAGAGTGTCTCCAGCGTCGCGTCAAAGTGAGTCCATGCTTCCAGACCTTTGTCCCTTTTGTCCCCGGGCCTTATCTTGCATTGGAGACAAACAAGCTCCCTATTTTGCCTGCCCTAACCGTCCTAGTGTGACCGCACCCGCCCAGAATGTCGCCGCTGCCAGACCCGTGGAATTCGCTGCCCCGGCTACCGCAGAGCCCTCAAGTTCTACAACCAGACCACGGGAAAAGGCGACTTTACGGACGCACGAGAGTTTGACAAGAAGCAAGAAGCGCAACGCAATCCCGACGCGGCACATGCGCATGCGCTCGCACTCATCCGCCGACCCAGCATCGACGGAAACATCATCCCAAGCCTCTCAGGCAAAGCGCTCGACCGCCAAACAAAGAAAGTCTTCGAGTACGTAGTGCAAGCAACCTTCCCATTGACATTCGCGACCTTTGCGCCGCGCCTCGAGCCAAACTGGCTGGATTTCATCCGCTACCACCAAGCCGCGCAGACCGAGCCCATCGAGCGCGCAGTCCGATGTCTCAACACCTGGTTTCTCGGCGTAAAAAACAAGGACTCAGCAATTGTCGATGAAGCTCGGTACATCTACGGTGGCGCCCTGCGCTGCCTTGCTGGGCTAGTCGCTGACCCGGCCACCAGAACCTCGGATACCACTGCAGCGACCGCGGTCATGCTCAGTGTGTTTGAGATGCTGGATCCGCTCACGCCGCATTCATGGTTGATCCATTCGCGGGGACTGGGTGCGTTGTTTCAGGCACGTGGCGCGCGGATACATAGTCAAGGTTTTCCACGGACGATCTTCATCACTTTCCGATCGTTCCTTCTTGCCGATGCCTTTGTCCGGCAGGAGCCGTCGTTTCTGGAGCAGGATGACTGGCGTGCCGCAAACCTCGAAGCGACTTTTCATGAAGACCGGGTGGGCAAGGGGAACTGGATCAGCAAGATCGTCGAGCAGACGTTTAACGAAATCGCTCTTGGCCCGGGGTTTCTATCGCAGACTACTGCGCTCATCAGAAGTCGTGTCCGAGACGACGTCTCGCGCGACGAGCTGACATCGCGCATCCAGCATAGTCGGGGTATCCTGCGCAACCTCCAGCGCCAGCTTGCATCCGTCTCAGGACGAGAAGGCAAAACGATTGAAATCGACAGGTTGACCGACGCCGACGGCGTGAAAGAAGACGTCCAGACGACGGCCGGTCGCTGTCTCCAGGGCCTCTGCTCGGGCCTTGCGCTGCTGGACCAGCTGCTGGTGCTCCTGGAAGCAGACAAGAAGCGCGCGGGGCAGGGTCGGGTTTCCGAGATCGCTTGGGGTAAAGAGATTAATATCCCTACAACAAGCGAGACAATTGAAGGGCCATTTTCTGCGCCGGATCGACCGTTGGACTGGCTCGATCAGATCTCGATGTCGATGGGGACGTTGGCTATTTCGAATAGCACTTGAGCTAGGAAAGTGTGCTTTTTACTAAGCAGGGTTACTTCGGGCTGGAATGTTTGGTTCTTGCCACTGAGTCAGGTCAGGTACCGACTTGCATAGCCGGACTCGTTATGTCCGAGGTGTCAAATCTTGTGCAGAGCATCGCCGATAGGTTGGCGATCAGGTGGATCTGCCGTGGATGTTCCGCTACACTACACGATTCACATTCTCCAGACTTTGGAGATGCATCCTCAAGGTTGTCACGATTGTGTGCCCCTTTCTGTTTTCATCAGAATACCATGGATCGCAGCCGCATTCCCGTCTGCAACCGGGCATTCCAAGTTCCTACCCCAACGCTTCGTCGCAACGACAAACAGTCACAAACCACTCAGCTGACCCCTCATTTCCGACAATTAACACAAAAATGTCTGCCTAGCCTAGCCCGATCCGTCCATACCAATCCACCTGGACCGAGCTTGCTCATTGCTTGCGTGGCTGCGATTCCTCACCCCATCGCCCATTGGCCGCTCTCCCCCGGCTAAGCCTCGGTCTGTCTGCATTAGTCGAAGCTTGGCGGCCACTCAACCAACGGATGCCCCCGAGACGCCACTCGTTCCTCATCCGGCCGCGTCAGTCACTCGTCTCTCTCTGCAGACGGACGGGCGCTCGTTGCGATCAGAAGATGCGCCGCGCAGGGGGCTTATATGTTGCGGGCGCTGGTCGCCTGGACTGTCAAGGCGGCAGCCGAAAACCGACCGAATCGAATCGCTGAGTGACTATACACTTGGAGTCAGTGATACCCGAGAAAATGCCCTCCTCTCTCGCGTCTACCCCGTCCACCCGGTCGAACGACTCGAACCAGAGCGGCAAAAAGACCGCGAGCACGCTCTCCGGGAAATCGGATGATCTAGGTGCGTGCCACTGCGACTCGCCCCATCTGAAACATGACCTGTGGGACACGAGAAATTGACCAAGCCAGCGATCGACGGCGCGCCTGTGGTTTCCCTCGGTGCGATTCAGCATCTTGATCGGCAAGGAAAGGTGATCGGTGCGTTTCCCCTATCTCACTATACATCGGAGTAGATTCTAGGAGGTCTGCAGTGTGTACTCCGTATGTACTAACGTACGCAGCCGACCCGGACCGATCAAACCCAACCCGGCCCCGAATGGAGCGGCCCCTCGACACAATCCGCGGGTTTGAGGCCGCCATCGCCTCGCGGCGGGGAGGGCACATTGCATGAGACTAGGCTGAGAGAGATTGTGCTACGCATAATGATGACTGGCTGTGTCATGATGAGTGGGGAGTCCGGGCGCTATTACCATGATTCCTATTTGATTTGATTTGATCGTACCTTGTTTGCTGCAATCTGCTTCCTTGCTAGTAGTTGAGTCTACTAGTCTACTCCAGCAACCATTGTTTATCTATTTTGGTACGCTAGCCACGAATCCTCGAATCCACGTTGCGTATTCCAATCTTAGTTCGATGTCTCGAAATAGAGCCAGCCCTCGGAGATAAACATCCCCACAATTGTGGGAAATGGCGCTAAGGGACGCGTCAGCTTGGCTTCTGGGTATATAGCGAGATTGTGTCTGACTGCCAGGATCTCTGTGTAAGATTTTTGGTGTTTGGATAAGACTGAGTTCTGTGTTTTGTGTTTTGCGCCATGAAGTTTGCTCTTGCTGCGGCGGCCCTTTTGGGGACCGCGTTGGCGGATGTTGACCCCATTGTCATCAAGGTGTGTATCGATTGGATATTTGCTGACTGAGGTTGGGCTAATGAGTGGTCTTAGGGCTCGAAATTCTTCTACTCGAGTAACAATACTCAATTGTACGTCCTCTCTCCATTCTACCTACTGGACATCACTAACGAGACTCCAGCTACATCCGCGGCGTCGCCTACCAACGTACACCCCCCAACCCAAACCTCCCCTTCCAACTCAATAAAAACCCTAACAACCTTCACACCAGAGGACTACTCCACCAACGGCACAACCTCCTCCTCCTCCAGTAGCAGCACAAGCTACAAAGACCCGTTGGCCGACAGCACATCCTGCACACGCGACGTGCCCATCCTGCAAGCCCTAAACACAAACACCATCCGCGTCTACGCCGTCGACCCCACAGCCGACCACTCCACCTGCATGAGCCTCCTCGCCGACGCCGGGATCTACGTCATCGCGGACCTCTCGGACCCGACGGAGTCGATTAATCGCGATGATCCGCGCTGGGAGACGGCCCTCTACACGCGGTACACGGGTGTGATTGACGCCCTGGCGAACTATACGAATACGCTGGGGTTCTTTGCGGGCAATGAGGTGAGTAATACGGTTGATACGACGGATGCGAGTGCGTTTGTCAAGGCTGCGGTTCGGGATATGAAATCGTACATCAAGAGCAAATCCTATCGGTCCGGATTGGGAGTCGGGTACGCGACGAATGACGACAAGGATATCCGCGTCAACATGGCGGATTACTTCAACTGCCAGGAGGAAGACGAGGGGATTGACTTTTGGGGGTATAATGTGTACTCGTGGTGCGGGGACAGCTCGTACAAGGCGAGCGGGTACGAGGACCGCACGGAGGAGTTTCGAAATTATAGCGTCCCCGTCTTCTTTGCCGAGTATGGCTGCAATGATGTGCAGCCAAGGACGTTTACGGAGATTGAGACGCTCTTTGGGGATACGATGGCGGAGGTTTGGTCTGGGGGCATTGTTTATATGTATTTCCAGGAGGATAATGATTATGGTATGCCCTCCTCTGCTAACCTCTATACCAACCTCGATCCCCTTATGTTTTGTTCCTGGCTGGGTGCAGAGAAGCTAACAAAAGCCCAGGCCTGGTCTCCGTCGTCGACAGCACAAGTGTGTCCACAATGGCCGACTACAAGTACTACTCCAGCCAAATAAACGCCGTCTCCCCCTCCGGCACAAACAAAGCCTCCTACACACCCACAAACACCGCGCTCCAAACCTGCCCGTCCGTGAGCGCCGGCACCTGGCTCGCAAAAGCCTCGCCCCTCCCGCCAACCCCCAACACCTCGCTGTGCTCCTGCATGGACGCCTCAAACGCATGCGTCGTCGACTCCTCCGTCTCGTCGTCCGACTACGCTGACCTCTTCTCCGTCGTCTGCGGACTGACGGATTGCACGGGGGTTACGGCAAATGCGACGACGGGGAACTATGGCGCGTATGGAATGTGCAAGCCGAAGGAGCAGCTGAATTGGGCGCTGAATAAGTATTATTCGGAGCAGGGGGTTGCGTCGGCGTGTGATTTTAGTGGGAGTGCGATGACGACGAGTACGGCCTCTGCTACGGGGTCTTGTTCTTCGATGTTGAGTGCGGTTGGCACTGATGGCACGGGGACGGTTTCTGCGACGGGCACTGGGGCTAGTGCGTCTGCGACGGAGACGTCGGGGGCCGGCAGGGTTGTTGTTGGGGGTGCGCTTGCTGGACTGTTGAGTCTGCTTTGACTTACTGACTAGGATTCTGCGTCTTCCGTGCTTCCTTCTTTTGATTTTCATATCCTTGTCATCTCATATGTATCTATATCTACATCTCGAGGCTACCCTTCCATTCTCTACCATCTCTTACCCTGTATATACCTTCTAGTTAGATAAAACAACAATCAAAGCTTCCGCCTCGCCAAAATTGCCGAGTTCTCATTCAGCGAAGCCCAGTCGTGTGCGTCCAGACAAGCCTGGTGACTCAGCTGCACAGCGCGCTCGCCTCGCTCGCGCATTTCGGTCTCGTAATCTGTAATCGCACTCGCTGGGTCGGAGCCCGAGTAGATCGCCTCGATCGCGGTGACGAGGTTGTATACGTCGAGGATCCCGTGGTTGCAGGCTTCGCCTCGGTCTGGGGTTGGGATTGTTAGCTCTCACACCAAATCCAAACCCAGATGAAAGAGAAAGGTGAGAAGGACATACACATCGTCATCGCATGCGCCGCATCGCCCACAAGCGTCACGGTTCCGCCACGATTATCCCAAGGCTGCGGCTTCCAATCCGCCAATTTCACCTCGACGACCGGCGTCCCCTCGGGAATATTCTGTATCACGTCACGCAGGAAGGGGACGAAATTCGCTGCGCGGCGCTTCATGTTCGCTAGGCGTTCTGCGTCTGTGGCTGGGACTTCGTCGGTAGGGGAATTTACTGGCCAGGAGAGGCCGAGTTGGACTTTGTAGGGCCTCTCTTCTCCATTCTCCGCTGAATTGGTTTCTTCCTGGTTGGATGTTGGTGGTTGAGCTGAAGAAGGATGACGCGATGGCGCATCGAGCATAGAAAACCAGAAGTAGTCACCCGTCTCGGGATGACAGCCCTGGAAGAGCAAGGGGTCCATCTCACGTAGGGGCGCGACTTCTGCCGCTGACAGGCTGATACCAACGCCTGTGAAGCGAATGGGGAGCGGGTTATTCGTGTAGTTGTCCGGACAGAGGAAACGGCGGATGGAGGAGCGCGAGCCCTCCGTTCCAACGATGAGCGTTGCGGGTTCACTTTGTTCTTCCTCCATCTTTTCCTCTTCTTCCCTGTCGGATGAGTTGATTCTGCGTTGGAGGATAAGCCTCGGCTTCTCTTTCCCATTCCCACCCTCGTCATCAGCAAACTTCACCCCCTCAACCCTCGTCCCCCACTCGATGTACTCCTCAACACCCCGAAGAAGGACTCGCCTCAACCGCTCCCGATTAACCCTCCACCGCCGATTCGGCGGAATCCGCCACTTGACTTCGCCCGTCGCATTATTGATGAACAAGAAATTCCCATTATCGTTCGCTGCGACGACGGGGTCGACCTGTGCTGCTTCAATGGCTGAGAGTACCGAAGGCGGTAGGAGTGAGGGGAGATATTGCAGTGCCCAGTGGAGTGTTAGGGCCCAGCCTTGGTGGCGTGAGGAGGGGGTTGGATCGCGCTCGTAGATGGTGAAGGGGATGGATTTCTATAATATTTGGTAGGGGGTGGAATGTTAGTGGGGTCGCTGAGAGGGTGCAGTGCGGGGAAGAAACCAAGGGATGGAAACCTGTTTGAGTGCATGCGCCAGGATAAGGCCTGTTATGCCGGCGCCGACGATGAGGACGGGGTCCCTTTTAGCAGCTGAGGACTGCATCTTGCTTGAGCAAAACGGTAAAAGGGTAAGAAGAGAAAAAGAATCGGGATGAGGGGCAGATGGACTGTGGCCTTGCAGGGTTGCAGCGGGTGGTATAATTGCTTTTGCTAAGCGCAGGGATGAGGGCTGCTTCCATCTCGGTAAAAGGCGATCAAGGTGTGGCGCTCGTCCGTGGATTTGAAAAGTCTTGACGTTATGCTTTTGCTTGAATGAACTAGATGGAAATTATTTCCGACTAATTGAACCACAGAATCTTGCTGCTTGTGGGATATACCATTATAGATGAAATATCGACCAGGATCTGTCCTCGCTGCAAATGTCGGTGTCCAGGAGAGGCAAGTGAAGTCTAATCATGCCGATCATACATAAGCCGCTTCTCTCCCTGTGCAACCTCGTCCATTCCACCTCTTCCCGCTTCAGCTCCAGCTCAACACGATGGGTACGCAGCGAGAGGCTACAGTCGACGCCCACGACACTCGCATCGAGCAAGTGCCAGTGTCCGATGCGGCTCTCCTTCGCCGCATAGACTGGCGGATCATCCCGATCATGTTTCTGGCTTATTTTCTGCAGTTTCTGGACAAGGTGGTGCTTAACGTAAGCCTCCTCGTCCGGCCAACGATGCAGATGTTAAGTTGCAGTACGCAAATGTCATGGGCATTCAAGCCGACCTGGGAATGTCTGGGAATGACTTTTCCTGGCTGGCAACGGCTTTTTTCATCGCCTACTGCATCGCCGAAATTCCACAAGGTACGCTCTCTTGTTGAATAGTGATCCCAGCTAACAGCATAGGCTTCCTCCTCCACAAGTACCCCATCCCCAAAGTCCTCGGCTGCAACATGTTGATCTGGGGAATCACCATCTGCTGCACTGCTGCAGCACAAGACTACGCGGGTATCTTGGCCTTGCGAATCATCTTGGGCACCACAGAGGCCGTTATCGGTACGCAATTCACCCCTTCATAGTTCGACAGAGTACTAAGCAAGACAGCACCGGCCCTTACAATCTACACCAGCCTGTGGTACACGCCCGCAGAGGCAACCCCGCGCTTCGGCCTCTGGTACTGCGGTCTCGGAACCGGCCAGATCCTCGGCGGGCTGATCTCCTTTGGCGCGCAACATGCCCCGTCCTCGCTCTCCTTCGCCGGATGGCGCATCATGTTTGTCGTCGTCGGCGCAGTCAACATCTCCGTCGCCCTTCTAGTCCTTACTTTCCTCCCAAATAATCCTCATACATCGCCCTTCCTCTCCCTAGCGGAGAAAACCCACATCGCCCACCGCCTCAGCACATCCCCATCTCTAACCCTCAACTCCAAAACAATCCACATCCCCTCCCTCTACGCAGCCCTAACCGACCCGCAAACCCACCTCCTCGTCCTCCTCACAATCCTCACCTGCACGCCCTCAGGCCTAATAACGACCTTCTCCGCACTGCTGATCCGGAATTTCGGGTATACATCTCGCGAAGCCGCGCTGCTGAATATGCCCTCGGGCGTCGTGAGTATTGTCTCGACGCTGTGTGCGACGGTTGCAATTGCGCGTGGGTATCCGCGCTGGCTGGCGATTAATGTCCTCCTCGTCCCGACGCTTGTCGGCGCGTGTTTGATCTCGTTCCTTCCGCCCGAGGGGAATGAGGCCGGGTGTTTGGTTGGGATTTATTTGGTGAATACGGTACGGCATTCCTCATTTTATTCTCTTCAGCTTGAAGACATTTGATCAAGATTCTTCGCGTTGCATGTGCACTAACTACCAGGAATAAATAGACCGTCGCCCCGCTAGCCCTAGTCTTCGCGTGGACCGGCGCGAATTTCAAAAACACCACGATGAAAGTTACGGGGTGCGCAGCCGTCTCCGCGGGGTTCGGGATCGCAAATATCATCGGCCCGCAGACCTTTCAGGCCAGGGATGCGCCGGAGTACGTTCCCCTGTCCCTGTACCCCCTTCATTTTTTCCTACCAATTACAGTATAGCCGTTGGATTCCGCATATTGTATATTCATAGTGAAGAGGTGGCTAACCGAGAATCTGGGACAGCTACACCCCGGCAAAAATCACAATCGTCGCCGTGAACGCGAGCGCGATGGTTGTTTCGACGGCGTTGAGGGTGTTGTATGGGATGAGGAACGCGAGGGCGCAGGGGAGGGGTCCGGGTGGTGCGGCGAGGGGGTCGATTGAGGCGAGGTTCATGAAGGATGGCAATACCACCGATGAGAGTCCAGGGTTTCGGTATGTGTATTAGTGCAAGGCAGCAGAAGGATGGGATGGGATGGGATGAAATGGTATGGAATGGAATGGCAAGTCCTATACCGTGTATTTGATCCCACTGAATTGGATCGATGTACTGTGTGCAGAGGGAGAGTGATTGGGAGGTTATTATTGTTGCTATTTTCCTACGAGGCTTTGTCACAGAATATATACATGGCAGTGTCTGCGTAAGAAGCACAAAATAATAGTCCCTCTGTATCGCCGCCACCCACTTGCTTTTATCCCCTGTATTATCTTACTGGGTCATAAATCTCGGCTCTGCTCCATGGGCGGTGGGTCAATCTAGCAGCGAAGGTCTTGTGCTCGAAGAATTTAAATAAATAGTGTCGGGAGAAATGCAAAGCAAGGACATACAGGAAGTGTAACAGGTTGAACTAGACGGAACCGTTTCCATCTGTCCGCAGTAGATTTGGGGAAGAAAAACATGAAAAAAATCCACAAAAGTTGGGGTCCGCCCTAAATATAAAGGAGCACTCGCTCGCTAAACTCTCAAAACACCTCAACACCTACACTGATAAACCATGCATGCAAATCAAGCATATAAAGCCTGTCCATCAGTCAATCCACGTTCCAGGCATAACCACCACCTCCCTCTCAACCATCCTCCAAAACTGCCCCACAACCTCGTCAAGCGGGTTCGTGACCCAAATAAACCAGTCCTCTGGTTCGGGCCCGTACGTAAAATCCAGCAGACGGAACGTGACCCACCTGGATACCGGCTCGGGATCCGTGAAGGCATTCATATTATCCATACTGTCATGACCAATATCCAGTTTAAGTTCCAAACTGACGTCTCCGTTCCTGTGCAGCTCTCGCTCCAACTCTCCATACTCTTCGAGGTCCACGCCAAGTGCTTGGAGCTCTGATACCCATTTCCGAAGAGCCGGGTTGAATGACCACGGGTACGGCCTGGGATAATTAAGCGCCAGGCCCCACGCACGTAGGAATGTGACGAGGGGCGTCTCGCACATTGTTGATGACACTTGGTGTAAGTCCGCCGGCGCAACACTGGCGTCCCTGAGCATTTGTCTCCAGCCGTCGGCATTGCGCGTTATCTTACAGGCGAAGTCGAATGCCATGCATTCAGTAACTCTGTGTAGGAGAGTGTCACCATTCTGGTCCACCAATAGATAGGCTTTGGGCTCAATTCGTCCGCCCATGAGGATTTGGAACATTTCAGGGGCCGATCCCCTGGCGAAGGAAACGTTGATCCTCATGGCCTGCTGGAAGCGCACCGAAAGGGGCAGAGCGGGATAGTCCACAAAGACACGGCTGTGGATCAGATCAAGGGCTTCAGGGGGGCATAGAATTCCAGTGAACCAATATGGAAGCTCGCTGCGGTCCTCGAGAAACACATCTTCGTCTTCGTCGACGGCTATCAGTAGTCGGTAGAGATCGACCATCGCCGGGATCTCTTGGGGAAAGTCAGCCCATATTCTAGAGTGGACATTCGCGTAGTCCAGAGGACCGCTGTTGCTGTATTAGTCGAGCAGTGAAACTGGGGCGGATTGAGAAGCGTACACGCCCATGTCATTTCTGTAGGTTCGGTTGGCACCATTATTGAGCAACAATTGACACATTTCAGTCCGGCCGTTGAAGACTGCAATCTGGATGGCGTTAGAAAGTGAGCCACTGGGGTCCAAGACTGTCGACACGTACGGAAAGTAAGCTGGTCCCGTTACTCAAGCAGTCAACAGGAGACGCGAGACGGGAGGAGAATAGTCGCTGGACCTCTGCCACATTGCCCTCGGCACAATATTTGAAAACAGGCGACGAGTCGGAGATGAGGTTATGTGTCTGGAAAGTAAAGGTCCAGCCAGACACCATACGGTTCGCCTGGAGGGTCCAGACTTTGTTGATAAGGGCCAGGGGAATACGCAGCCGGTATTCGGCATTGCGAGTGTTGGATCCACGCGCTCGTTTCGGGCTGTACCACGTTCAGCGATGATTCAAAATTGGTATCAGACCTTTCTTACCGCTTCGTTGATACTTGGAGATAGCCCTCCGGCTCTTGATGCGCGCCCAGGCATTTTGTGTTTCCACTTGTCTGAGATTGTATGACGGCGACAAGTTGGCGGATTGTAGCATCATGTTCGCGTATTGAAAGACTGTGCATCGATAAGTCGACGGGCGCAGGAAGCACAATATAATTTTTTTCAACTCACGCACCTGCAATACGACCCCTGAAGCAGCACAAGCGTCGTCTTGATAGTATCCAGATTCTGCTTCCGCGCCTTGATCGCATCTTTCTTCCAAACGAGCTTCATCTTCTCAATCCTCTTCCGGCTCGCCGCCGAAGCCGCAAACTGTCTTATCTCGTTGATCGTCGCCTCCAGATCCTTTTGAAACGTACGCAAGCGCCGTTCCGTCAACGGGCGATTCAAAACACCCAGCGACGCGGGAGCCAGCGCTTCAAGCACCCCCTGCACGACTTCCGCATCTTCAATCAGGTCTTGTAGCTCGGTCGGCGCGTTTTTCACAAACGATCGGAGGCCGCGCAGGGTGCTGACTGTTTTGATGATTTGATCGAGGAGCCCCACGACGCCGAATCCGCCTGCGACAACGCCGAAGACTTCGGCCATGGTTGTTGTTGTCACAGTTGGCGTTGGCGTTGGCGCTGGCGTACAGGGCGAGGATCGACCGAGAATCGGGGTGCGTGCGGAATCAAGTTGAAGTGTTGAGCTGACATGACAAGGAATTCAGGGGTTGAGACAACTTGAGAGGGAGGAGGAGACTGTGGGCGAGGCGTTGACTTTGCAGGTTCACGCGCGCTGCGGCAGGAGGCTGTGTGCAGGTGAAACAGGCCACAGCCACAGCCGGCCAAACGCGTAGCGCCCAGCAGGGATCATCATGATAAAGTCGGCCATCATTGGAGTCTGGCGATGCAGTCTTGCGCGATAAGACTAGACTTGGCGCGCGGGGCAGACACGGCGACATTCGTGGAGGATTTTGCGGTCGGAAGAAGCTGTCGGTTGGAAAGTGGGAGAGGATATTATACATATATATATGCTGGATTTTAATAGCGACAGAGAGCTAATCTCCGGTCGACCGGCTTTAAGGGAGGAGCGAAGCGGCCCACCAAATGAGGAAGGAGCTGGAGCTGGAGTTGGAGACGACAGAGTAATGAGCAGAAAAGAAAAAGATTACTTGTTACTAAACGGATTGAGAAGCGAAACATTAGATTGCATATACGGGTATTCTCTAGAGCAACATCGACGTCATACTATAAACAAATCACATAACACCTCACGGTCTAAAAGTGAGGAGTGTTCAGGGCCATCAGGCAAAGCAGACCCGAGATCAGACCAGCGCTAGGCAGGGTCAGAATCCAGCCGGAAAAGATAAAGGCAATCTGGCGCCAGTTGATAGCAGCGAGATCGTAGTTCATCAGGGCAACACCAACAGCGGAACCAGTCAGGCACTGGGTGGTGGAGACGGGGAGGGAGAGACGCGAGGCGAGCAGGACGGTGATGGCAGCACCGAGCTCAGTGGCGAAACCACGGGTGGGCGACATCTGGGTGATCTTGTTACCAAGAGCCCTCATGATGTGGTATCCGTAGAACCAGAAGCCACCACCGAGCAGAAGACCGGCGAGGACCAGGAACCAGACCGGGGTGCTGGCCTCGGTGTCGACCACGCCGGAGCGGTAGGTGTGGTACGAGCCAACCCAGGGGCCGACGGCGTTGGCGACGTCGTTGGAACCGTGCGCGATGGACATCATGATGGCGGAGATGACTTGGCAGTAGGTCCACATGTGCTCGACGCGGTCGTCGTAGCGGCGGGCGCGGGAGTGGATGTCGCGGAGGAGGCTCGAGTCGTGGGTGATGACGTCGCGGGTGACGCCCTGGAGGAAGCAGTACTTGAGGTATCCCCACCACTTGGCCGGGTTGAGCCAGGAGAGCTCACGGACGGGGTCGAGGAAGCGCTCCTCGGGTTCGATCAGGCGCTTCTTGGGGACGATCTCGGGGCTGGAGGTGACCGAGTCGGGCTGGCGTTCCACGTCGGTATCTTTGGGGCCCTTCTCTTCGGCGGGAGCGTCGGGGTTCTGGACCCCAGTTCTGTTGCCACCAGCGTTGACGACACCGTAGGCATCCTCGTAGTGGTTCGTCAGCGCCCACTCACCCTGGCGGGGGTAGTAGAGCGGGGGGTTCTCCTTGTATAGAAGAGGACCAAGCGGGACGTGGTAGAAGCGGATACGGGAGTCGCGCTGGACGAGGCGGCGGTGGAAGTAGGGCATGAAGAAGACGTAGCCGATCAGGAGACAGCCGAAGAAGCAACCTAGAATGATACCGGCAGCCTTGCCGCCACCGAATTCCTCGAGGGAGGGGGCGGTGGGAGCTTCGACCGTGATGAACAGAGCGAGGATGCCACCGGTGAAGGCCATGTACCAGGGGATGAGGCGCAGAGCCCACTTCAGTGGGTCTTCACGCTCGAGAACGGAGTACTTGAGGGTGCCGAAGATGATGGCAGAGAAACCGCAGGCGATGGCGGGCGCGATACCCCAGGAAGCAGCAACCTGCGACACACTGCCACCAGTCCAGCGCCAGGTGATGTCGGCGTCGGTAGCAAACCCGACACCAATGAGGGCACCGACAATAGTCTGAGTGGTCGAAACGGGCCAGCCCATAAAGGTCGCGGCAGTCAACCAGGTGGCACTGCCAACCTCGGCGCAACCCATGGCAAGCATAAAAGTGCCGGGGTTGCCAATGAAACGGTCGGGGGTGATGATGCCGGACTTGATGGTGTCGGTGACACGGTCACCGAGCGCGACCGCACCGACGAACTCTGTGATGATGGCCATAATACCGACATGCCACATCTTCAGGGTGCGCGCCGCGACGGAGGTGGCATAGGCGTTGGCCACATCGTTGGCTCCGTTACTGGCAGCACTGAAGACAAAGGCCATCGAGGTGATGGCCAGGATCCAGTCATACTTGGCTGTGATGGCGGGAATCATTGCGACGACAGTGCTTCAGCAGAAGACTTGTCTGGCCTTGAGAGAAGGAGGAGGAGGAGGAGGAGGGGGAGCTGGTGGATGAGAGAACGCACAGATTGACCGGAGACGAGCAGGATTAAGTACCGGACCCTGAAGCAGCAGAGGCGACGCGACTTGTCGGGATGCTGGCTGCCAAGTGTCGTCCGACAGGCTCTTTTCGAGCTCCGGCAGAACGTGAGGGCTGAAACGGCAGGCATTGGCTCGATTGCTGCTGGCGTGCCAAGCAGTCGCCAAAGGAGCGGACTTGGCAGACTGCGAGCTGGTTGGCCAATCAAATCACCGAAAAGAGCACGTTCCTGAGCTTGTGGTTGAGAATCGTCCCTGCAGCCCCGCCATTATTGGCTGCACCCGCGCCAAGTTCGGAAACCAACGGCCAAGCCTCTTGGCCTCCCAATCATCATGAGCTCGTTTCTAGGCACTCGATCACATACTGTTTCGCGAAATCTCTGCGATGAGACGCAGCCTCTGCATCAGGTGGCGCACTGTCGTGTTTTAGCGCACGTGGGGGAGTTGCTCCTTCTTATGGCCTCCAGTCCACCATCGCGCCCTCATCCAAGGCATTCCAAGCCCATATCACACTGGGCCCTGGGCCCTGGGGCACCAGCGACCATGGCTGATTCGCCATGAGCCTCGCTCTCGCGAAGCCCTCAAGCCACCCAGAACTTCTAGAATCCTCAGCGTCAGCTCATTGCGTGAGTCGCGTGCTCAGTCGCCAACAGGCCCCATCATCCCTGCCACGCTGATGCACCTCGGCCGGTTTTCTTGCAGCTTCAGGCGAGTACCCGTTCCAATTCTCCACTCAATTCGATGATCTCTCGTTACCTCGCCTCGGCAGTGGAGTCTGCGTCCAAGACGCGAGAAAACTCTTTCTTCTGTAATCCGTCGTCCTGACATCACTCACTAACTAGCTTGGTGCTGCCTGTCTAGGCAATCTTCCAGAACACTTCGCTGTCAGCATTCCTGCCACTCAGTGATCTGATGGCTGCACGCTTTTTTCGCACATCCATGCTCTCTCCCAGCGTCCTCCTTCCTTCTGGAAAAAGCAATACTCACCCGACATGGGTTCGGTTCGACCCCTCTTCCTCCCTCCAATCTCACTGCCTGGCAGTCCTCCCACGTTCTTGGTTCAAGCAGCAATCATCATTTCCAGCTAGACAGTAGTCTCATGCACTCCGCTTATACCTGCCCTCGTATATGTTTACCTCCGCAAATTATAGATCTGGGCGTCCCTGACGAATCCGCGTCTAGATTTAGAGCACGATGTACTCTCGCAGGGCGATCTGATGTTTTTTCTCTTCCAAGACACTCGTTGCCCGGCTTCAGCCATCAACGCGTACGGGCGCAAGACGAGTCTTAGCTATCAATCACTGGACAGTGGAATGATGGTCTAGATGCTCTTCATCGCGACGCCGAGGAGAGGAATTTTCTCGTCTCATCGCCACAGGGCCATGCATGCTGCGCAGAGCTCGATACTGCTCGGTTCGCGTCGACCGTCCCACACGCGCACACACTCTCTCCCTTCAGTCCACCTCGCCACCGCGCAGCTCCCAACACATTCGGTACGCATACGTCCAACAGGACGCAACGCGTTGGTAATAGAATCTCGAGTCCCCATCTACGTCTTACGACATGTCCGTTGCGACTCGCTGGAGTAGCCGTCTCTGCATTAGTCCCCGAGCCATCGGCCCTCGACGAGCCGTTCCCACTATCCTCGGTAGCCTCACGACAACTGACTCGCAGCGACGGTTCCTTGCAGCTTCCAGCCGCTGATCATGGAACACGTCTCGGAGGTGCCGGCCAGCGCTCACATACATTGAAGCCGACCGTGGCCGTGGCTCACTGTAACCTCCTGACCCTGAGACAAGTCGCGCGACTCGATGCCGACTGTGAGGTACGGGGTCTATCCTTCTTACAACGTATGTCTTCTCGCATGGTACTCAAAGTTGCCTGGCATGTAGCTTCCAGGTAATATCAGTAAGTTGCCTTCGGGTGCTCCCCGACCGTGTGTGAGGGTTAACCCTTTTGCCTGGCCTCGATACTCGGAAGGATGATGGGGTCGTTTTTGAAGTTCTGGACATTTTTGCATAGTATGCAATGCGTAGTATTGATAGAGCATGAAAACGGTGTCTAGAATCAGCATCAGGACTAGTCTAACGCTTGTAGCCCAGCTAGAGTGTCCCTGTCCCATCGCGTACGTGGATAGTCGCTGTGTCGCCGCTGATTCTGCAGAGCACTCTGCAGTCTTCCGACTCATTCACTGTGATAAGCATTTGCTTTTATATCTGCTCGCTCACCAGATATATAGCTTCCATGAAAAGTGTTTACTAAGAGTCAAGATAAACATGTGGGAGGCGGAAATATATAACGTGGCGGGTAGCCAGCATAGATAGCCTAAAAGCCACCTTTAATTTAACCTTAAAAAGAACCACACATCCATCGCGGTAGAGGCGTTGAAACAAGATCTGGAGGACCTCCTTACTATTCAGCAGATCAGAAACACAAAAGGCCGAACCAAGATGATTAAAGGTTCTCACACTCAAGTCTCAAGGGCAGGTAAATATCGTATAAGAACTCTTAAGCGCCTATTTAAGTAGTGGCCTCAGGCTAAAGTTACTGATGCCCTACGTATAGCAGCAGCTTCCTTAGAGGTAATGGGACTCTATAGCGGCCGTTCTTCATGGCTTGACAACTTTACACTGGTCAACAAGGGCAGCCCAGGATATAAAGCACTCTGCATGAGTCTCTAGCACATACGACCACAGGGTGTGGAGAACAGGGCTTCCCGTCCGCTCAGCCGTACTTAAGCCACACTAATAAACGTGGCTAGAAGTTAAATGAGCCCCAAGGGTGTCGCTGCTTTATAGGTGACAGGCGCTAAATCATGGGTGAGTATAGGTAAGATGGGTGAGAATTTAGTGAGAATATTACCTACTAGGGTGAGTAGGGGTGAGAAGGGTGAGCTATAAAATACTATATAAAATAGGCTATAATCTTTATTCCTCTATCTCTAATATAAATAGAAAGGGCTTCTCCTACTTTTATCTATTCCTTTTTATTATTCTATATTCCTTGATTCCCTCCTTTATCACGTGATCATGGCTAGGTCTATGGAAATGAAATTAGAACGTCTAAAAAAGGCTATAGAAGCCCATAGATTTATAGAAGAATACTAAAAAACTATAGAGATAAAGGAAAATATTATTAGTAGTAAGAAAAGGTCTCTAGTGACTAATTGTAAGCGGCGAGGTCGGATCGGTGGCGGCTGCCAGTCGGTCTTCACCCGCGGCGAGGTCCCAGCAAGCAACGAGACGTCAGGCTACGTAGGATGTACAAATAAGGAAGGAGAAGCTATAAGCTAATTAATTTAGAAACAAATCACTAGGGATTAGGAAGACTAGTAATTATATAGGTCTTTTATATATAGTAATGCCAAGAGAGTCACTTGGGATTTGGCCCAAATAGGTTAGGCCTAATCAGGTTAGATCCTAAGCAGTGGTCGCGCGGCCTCCTATCAGAGCTGCCTAAGGCACCTGCTATAATAGCTATCCCCCCTCCTAGTAGTAATCCATCCCAGATCACGCTAAACCTAAAATAGAATAACACGAGGAGATGGCTATTTAAGTATAATAATAATAGAATAATAAGAATAGCAAGGCATAGTATTAATAAAGATATTTAAAATAATAATAAAGAAGTTTAGTTATAAAGAAGAATACTTTTAGTTTAGTAGTAATAGCTTAGTAGCTATCTTTAAAAGTAAACCTTCTCTTATAGTTATAGAATCTTTAGTAATACTATTATTACTACCTCCTCTCCCTCTAACATACATGAAGAGCTACTCTATATTACTATGTCATCAGGACGCTAGTAGTGGTTGGTTAGATTATAAGCTAATATTTCTAGAATAGCTAAAAGAAAGCCTACTAGTATAGTACTAGTATTATAGAATATAAAGAAATAAAGACTTGCTTAGTAAGCATAGATTATAAGTCCTAATTAGCTTCCTTTCATATCTCTATTAGCGTACTAATAGCTATAATAGCCTCTACCTCTCTCTCCTCCTCCTCTAGCCCCTACGCCTGCTCCTACTCCTGTCCCTACCCCTAGGCTAGCCCTAGTCCCTATAAATAAATAATACTACTTAGAACCCTATTAGCCTTCTAGTAGTATACTAATACTATTAGCTAGGCTCCTAGAGCTTTAGCTCTATCTCCTCTCCCTTCTCCTCTAGCCTCTAGGCTACCTCTCTTAATAGGGTTAGCTACTAGTGCTATAAGTCTCTTCCTATTTAGTTCTTATTTAGAACCCTATTACTAAGGCTTTAAAGCCCTATTCATGCTACTACTATATAAAGGAGCTCTAGGTAAAAGGCCTAGATAGTATAATTATACCTAGCCCTACTTATATAGGGAAGCTATGTAGAAAGTACTAGTAGAGGAAGAAGGGCTACTTATAGCTAGTAGTTAGTACCTACTTAGAGATTAATAGGATTAGAGGGTTAGGTACCTATAATAATATTATTAAGGCCTATAAGGTATTTAGTAAGCTTTTAAAGAAGAAGAAGAATAAGTAGACTATTACTAAGAATATAAAGTAAATAATAAGTAATAATTAATATTACCTTCTTCTCTTAATTCTTAATAAATTAAGAGATTAGGTATTTAAGGAACCTCTAGTTCTAGAGAAGATTAAAGATTAGGAGATATTTTAGATAGGGGGTTATTAGTATACTAGTATACCTAGATTAGTCTTTAGGCCTATTTCTCTATATTTAAGTTTTTTTAAAATAAAGAGATTCCTCTTATATATATTCTTATAATATTATAAGTTATAAAGAAAGGTAAGAATATCCCTATTAAATCTCTAAACTCTATAAGAAAATAAGAAAGGATTATACTAGTACTTTACTATTAATTAAGCTAAAAACCTTATAGAATAAAAAGGTTATAATTATTAAGAAG